GAGTAGTCAGGCACCACACACGGCTGTCCCTCATTGACATGGCGTAGCTCCGATAAAACGGAGTCCGACGCCCGTGTAAATTACGTCAGTGACAGCTGAACCGGATCACTACTGCAACTAACATGGCAACAGCAAGCACGTTTGCACATGGAGAATGGCCAAGTGGCCATTCAAGACCAACTCGGACAATACACCGAACGCGGAGAGGGATTAGCGACGATGAACCTATACGACTTTTTTACCAAAACTTATCACGACTCACGGTCAAAGGGACGACACCGAGCGACAACTTGAGCGAGAGGAGCTGAGAGCCAGGGGTGTCAAACTGCGAGGAAGGCCCCCAAGCGAGCGGTTTCCCTACCTCAGCATCTCTGATCGGAAAGGAGCGCGTATAATTCGGGGAGTCAAACAAGAAACAGCGCTCCACATAGTAGGTCGTTGGGTACCCAGCAGAGAAAGCGCTAACCAAGAATACTACTCGGCGCAAATACTGCTTTTGTTAAAACCTTGGAGGACCTGGCAAGACTTACTAGGCGATCATCACACCTTCACCGAAGCACGTTTGTCATTCGAAGCTGAAGCCTTACCCGACATTCATAGAATAATCATGAATCTTGAGTACTACCACGAGTGCTCTTCCAGCGCAAAACGTCGTCGCTCACGTGAGGGAGGTGCGACCGAGGACGACACCGAACTGCACGACGATACACCCACAGAGGGTGTTGGCCAGGGACCACCGAGAACCTACACTGAAGAGGACGTTATCAAAGCACGGTCACTGAAGTTCAGCGCTGCCCGAACAACTCTACGGCTGGCAAGCCATGGACGTAGCCTACACCTCGGGTATTTTCTCAAAACACGTGCCGCGCGTCGCAGAGCTTCCACTCCTACAGCCAATATCACCGGAAGAATCTACACGCTATCGTGAGTGGGAAGCTAAGGTGAACGGCATGCAACGCGCCGACTCTCGACGAGCAGAGCAGCTCAGTCAAGATCAACAAGCACGCCGTTTTCAAAACCCAGGAGGTGTTAACCAGCTCAGCGATGCGCCCCTCAACGCGCCCCTAAACAACATCAGAGCAGGGCCCGGAGTAACGCCATTGAGCGATGGGAATCCTAGGATACGGTCCCCGCAACAGCAACATCAGCTCGAGAAGCTTAACACTGAGCAGCGAAGAGCGCATAACATTATCGAAAACCACCTGACGAGCTATTTGCGAGGCGAATCTCCGCCACAACTGCTTATGATCGTGCAGGGAGAGGGGGGGACAGGAAAAAGTGTGTTGCTTGGAACTGTGACCGACACTTTCGAATTTCACGGCGTGCGCAATCTGCTGGCCAAAACGGGTACCACGGGAATATCAGCCAGCTTGATCGCAGGACAAACCATACATCAATGGGCAGGAATACCGGTTGCCGTGGCCGACAAAGAAGACTGGGTCAAGAGTACGTTACACGCTTGGCGTCAAAAGCGATGACTCATCCAGATCAAAGGAGGCAGTCCCAAAATACAAGAGCGACGAAAACGAAATATCCTACCCGTCCGGTACCTCGTAATTGACGAGTACTCCATGCTCACCAAAAGGACATTAGCACAACTCTCTCAGATTTTAGGATACGTGAAAGCCAGGCAAGGGGAAGCTCCCCCCTTCACAACCCTTCGGCAACATCAGCGTTATCCTCGTCGGGGATCCTCATCAATTCCCACCGGTAGGTAACACGAAAGCGGCACTTTACAACCCTCAGTGCGATCACTCAATTCTGTCGCCATTGGGCCTGGCTTTCTACCGACAATTTTCTATTGTTGTGACTTTAACGGAACAAAACCGCGTCTGTCAGACTGCGGGTCGGGCCGTGCAAGGACTTCTCCTAAGAACGCGCGCCCGGAACAGAACAGACGAATAGTCGGGCCCGCAAGTATGGCGGGCGGGGTAGATCGAAACCGAAAGGGCCCGTGAACTCGGTCCCTTGCCGTAGTCGGTGGTCGAAGGTTCGAATCGGGTCGTGTCGGGCCCGATGAGTCGATAGCGTCTCCTCGCACGGAGTAAGGTAGTTCTTCAGACGATCTAAGCGATAGAGTACAGGGTACACTATCGCGCATTATATACGCGGGCCCGCAAAGGGGGTGATCGGACACCCTGGCCTCTCCTCCTCCTCCTCGCTCCCGTTCCTGGCCGCAGAGGGGACGATCGCACATCCCTTGCGGGCCAGGCGCTACTCCTGACCTCCTAGCACTCCTCCCCATTCCCCTGGTGTCGAGTTGGGCTCGGCGACGGCTCGACGCGTCGTTCTCGGTCACGTGCTTCCCACGTGTGCGTTCCTCCTACTGGGGCGCATGTTCCCCGTCGTCACGTGCTGCGTGTTGCGGGCCCGCAATGGCCCGACACCAGCGCCGGAGCGGACGGGCCGGGTCTTATCCGTGACAGCGTCAAAGACGTTGGTTGGAACAAGTTACTGCGTCGCCTTCGTGAAGGAGAATGCACAGTCGAAGACATGTCCATGCTGAAGTCATTGACCGTAACAGAAAACAAAAACATGCGGTGGGACCGACCACCTTGGATAGACGCAGTGCTCGTAACACCTCGGCACGCAGCACGAACGCTATGGAATGCGGCCGCTCTGGATCGTCACAGGGCTTCCACCGGAAATGCAATATACGTTTCCCCGCGCTGAAGATACGACAGGTCGCAATACTAGAGCGCTCACCTTGGAAGAACGAGTCATAATTGCCGGAATCAACGACCAAAAGCCGGGCAAGCTTGCCGAATTTGTGGACCTCGCAATAGGCATGAGAGTAATGGTGCTCTGGAACATATCAACGGAGGCTGACCTCGCCAATGGCACTCGGGGTACCGTTGTCGACGTAAAGCTAGACTGCAGAGAGCAAACTCCTTTACGGCGAGCTGCTGACGGCAAAATCCTACTCTGCTACCCGCCATGCACGGTGCTCATCAAACTAGATCAATACTCCTTCGACCGATTCGAGGACCTCGAGCCGGGGGTACTGCCTGTATCGCCAACGTCCAGCTCTTTTACCATTACCAAAGCGGGAGCAGTCACAGTTACCATAACCCGCAAACAATTTGCCATAACAGCAGGCTATGCGTTTACGGATTACAAGTCACAAGGGCAAACTATTGCATATGTGGTGGTTGATTTAGCGCAGCCACCTCACGGCAGACTGAGCCCTTTCAACGCATATGTGGCACTCTCACGCAGTCACGGTAGGGATAACATTCGACTGCTGCGGGGACTTGACCCAAGTATTTTTACTACACATCCTTCTGAAAGCCTGCGAGAAGAAGATCGACGGTTAGCGAAACTCACGATGTCCACACGCGAACAACACCCGTTACAGCCAAACTCCCATACAAATGAACCGGTCCCACGTCGATAGAAAGCCTGTATCACTCAACAAGTCGCATATATAAGCAGTTCAAAGGTGTACATGATGAGCATTGAGCAACATGCCTCTCGCCTCCCTTCTGACGCAGTGGACGACCAGGTGCTCTGCTTGCGGACACAAGAACCCGAAACGTTGTTGCTCTGCCTGCAAAGTAAACCGTTACTGCGACGTAGCCTGCCAGAAAAAAGATTGGCCGAGCCACAGAAGTGCCTGCAAACAGCATTCAACCAGCCTCGATCAAATTGGTGATCCCTTGACCGCCAGCATAGTCCAATTCTTTGCCAACTTTGTGGACGACCTGGAGGAAGTCTTTCGCACAATGGGCGCTATTCGAGGCGGACATCGCTAACCAAGCCCCTGATTTCTTGGAGACTCATTTGTACGCCCCTCTTGTCGCTTGCAACTAACCACCTGCCAAACTGATGCGCTTCTGAGCAGCTTCGCTATCGTGCTGGAGCCCTCTGAAGACCCCTTGAGAACTACAAGACGTTCCTCTTTCGACGTGCGTCATTCTTACCATTGCAAGGTCTGTTCCCAGTCGTAACCTCCAGCGCAGGTAATCGAGGCTTCCATGATGGAGAACCACACATTTATCAGCGTCCTTCCAAACCAGGCGCTGAAATCTAAGGACGTTGAGAAGAACAAGGAAGAATTTGAAGAAGGTTTTCGAAAGCTAGGCACAGATAAAAAAACTCTGCGCATAGTCGTGACGTCGTCAATCGTGTGCACGATGTACTCGGTACCGGTGGACGCTGTTTTCCCTCCAGAAGTGCAAGGCTGGACATCAAACAAAGAAATTAGTGCATTCATGCACACCGTGTTCGCCAAAGAGTTTAAAGGTTCCGTTGCGTCCGGAAAAGGTGCAACACATAGTTTACGGATTTCTTACACGCACTAACTGAATTTCAGTCCACAGACCGCTTCTCCGGGTAGTAGAGTTGTTCGTTTACGTCCTCACCGGCAAAGTTTTGTACGTTCCCCGAAGACGAGTAGTTGAGAGTTGAATGCAGAAGTTTCCCAATGCGTGACAAATCATGGATTGTACAAGTCGCGGCCCGCCACCCCAAAAATCCAGATCAGTGATGGTGATCGGACGCTAATCAATCAGCTTTGTGCTCAACGACGCTCACGAATTTAGCGACCCATTCATGAACGGCATAGTATGCTTCCGACCCGTCAGTAAACCGTCGTCCTCGCCAGCGACAAAACAGTTGCTACTGGGGCACGCACTGTCACGCAACCCATGCAGACGTCAAGTCGACACGACATTCTCCTCAAACCTACCCAACCGTTTAAGTGGGGGAGAACAGCGCGTGATCATTATTGCATTCCCGCTGCACAGCTTGTGCTGCTAGTAGACAACGAAGCTTGGTATGCTACTACTGTGGACGTCCACTCTTGCCTCCGACCCCCCTGCGCAGAGCACTATGACATCCAACTAGTTTCCTGCCGGCTCCATCGCGTCGAAATGCAGCCTAGCACACTGCAAATGGTGGTGGAGGGGTCGGGACCGCTGACGCGAACAGAGATCTGTCAATGGGAAGAGATTCAAGGACATTGCGCTTGGGACATACATTGCTCCAGCGATGGTCCCATGCTAGTCGCGGGATGTCGTGTCTCCGTGCCAGCGTCGGTCCTGCAAGGAGCCGGCCCTGGGAGTGGTGTCATCGTGGACGCTGATGTCAAAGGGGCATGTTGGGTGCGACGGAGCAACAATGGAATTCCTCTGGACATGACGAAAACGACGCTAATCGACGATCTGTTACTGACAGCTGAAGACCCACGAGACGAAATTCTTCTGGACCGCAGCTGCATTAGACCGCACTTCATCAACGGCCCCATTGACATCAAACTTGGAGACCGAGTTGTCATCATGAACGGTCATCACCACAAACGGGTGGCAAGGGTAGAACGCATCCACAGCGCACGACAACCTCCCATGCTAACACTGTTGGACGACAGAATACCAATCCACAGCGTGGCGCTGTGTAATGTGGCACGATTATTTCTACCTGGTGACCCCGTAAAGCTAAATTACGGGGCATATGCTGGTGCGCGAGGCAAAGTAGAAGGGACGTTTGCTCTCAGACAGCTGCAAGAAGGCCTACATCAATTTCCCCACGGTGGACTCCGCATTCTAGTACGGAGCTCTCAGACACATCCAAGAACCTTCTCACGATACCTCAGCTTAACGACGGAACGAAAGTAAGAAACGACAATCATGCCTCGAGGAACACCAAAATAATGACAAACAGGTCGATGTGCCAACGCAATTCGCACAACTTGACGTAAAAATACTCGTATCCAGTAACCCCGCAATACCCATACGAGTGGAAGATCACTGGCTCAGCCACCCCTCTTTGAGCGGCGTACAACTACACGTACGCATAGCACCGATACTCAGAGGCAGGATCTCGGAGACGTTGGCGCGTGCGATCGGTAAAGAGGGAGTCACGGTGCTCACTGAACCTCTCACCCCCTACAACTTCAGCACTCCGCTCACGGTTTCAATAAATGAAACCTCAAGGAAGATCCGGGTAGCAGCGGAATGGCTGCTCCCTGTACATGAGCCAACAAACAACGAGAGAGGAGACCAAATAGCAGTGGTAATAGGCGAAACCAGCGAAGGCAATAAGATGTACATTGGACGCCACGTCATCGTCGTTAGTGCAGATGCGGAAGGGCGAAAAGAGGTTCTTTTACTGGACGAAGATATGGACAAAGGCACAACCATAGAGTTCCCTCACACCTCCCTTTGCGGCACCCCAACGGCAACTACTTGAACACTGAGCTCTTTTAATAATTACCACATAAGATATAATGTCTTTGTTTGCATTTATTTGTCTTTCTTGTTTACCTCTATTTGGCCTCTATTTTTTCACATACAGGACCTTACTAAAGCAAGGTAACAAACAAAGGATACAGCAGGTACGACAACAAGAAATAACGATACAGTAATGTAAGAATTCTACACAGTGATTCGAGCCCAGAAATTCAGCCAAAAATGTTCCACCATTTCTTCTTCTTCTTCTGTTTCTTCTCGTACGGTTCGTAAGGGTAGTACCCCTTGCCATAATCGTACTTTAACGCAGATTTGGCTGGGACTGCAGAGGACTTTGCCTTGGTGGCCTTCGAGTCACCCGCTTTCTTGTTGGGCAGTCTAAACAAGCTTCGGTCAAAATAAGTAACAGGAAAGGAATGAACAACCCACTCGTCTACGAGGACATAGTAATCCTTCTCCTTCCGAAGCCCGGCCAAAGCTAATCTACGCGAGTCTTCAGTGATCAAGAACGGAGATGTGACCACCACACACGATATTTCGCCTATCCGCGAAGTCCTGAGTGACGATCGAATGGGAATTTTGCGCCTCCACATCGCAAGACTGTTTCCACTCTTGGATGGCAGAAAGACGAAAACCAAGGTGGTCGCAGCCGGGTCGTATAAGGCAACGGACTCTTGCAAAATCTTGTCTCTCGAAGGTTGCAACTGGTCGAAAGTGAGCCAGTCAAACGCCGGTTCATCGGGATGGTTTGGAGGTCGATAGTCAGCATTGGCAATTAAAGCACCGCGTTCACGGCTCTGCAAGAAACGATGCAGCTGTGAAGGATTAGAAAACAGGAATCAAGTCTGCAGAAAAGGTACCCCGTAGGCTGCGATCTGATCCGACATTTGGGAAATCCAGATAAGTAGGGAAGCGACACGCTCGTCTTTGTTTGGTGGGAACATCCAATGGATTCGGTCCTTGGCTCTGCGGACGGTGTAGCCAAAAAGAGCTTGCTGGGCAGCAACGAGTGCGGCGCCTTTCGAGTCAATGAAATGAATGTCGAGGCCTTCGCCGATGTTGTCACGAGGAGGGCCAGCAAAGAGCGGCGTTGCGCCAGTCGTTCCCTGCTGGGCATGAGCAAGAGTTCTGGAAGGCATATGATACGTCGACTCGGGCTGGCTGCCTCCCCAAACGTTGGCCGTTATTGGAGTGAAATGAACGCGACGGTCGTCTTCAGAGTCTGATTCGTCGCTGTACATTTCTTCCTCTGGCACTCCCCAGTCGGCTGCTGCAGATGTACCCCAACCACCGTCGTCCCAGCCTCCACCTCCGCCCCAAGGATCCGCATGTTTGTCTTGCTTTTGCTTGCTCTTTTGTCCTTTCTTGCCTTGAGGTTGTTGGTAGTACTGCGATTGAGGTGGCTGTTGTTGTTGTTGTCCCTTCTTGCCACCTTTCTTGCCCTCGGATGCCTGGTATGGATTGTGACCATTGAGTAAGGCTTGCAAATAATCGCTTTGTTGTTGGGGTGATAGGACAGAAGTCACCTTTGGCTGTCGTTTCGCCTCCTCATGCCCCCAACCTTGTTGGCCCCAAGCACCGGCGCTACCCTTATCGTCGCCCCAGTCAGTATATTGCGTCGCAGCAGTTTCGCCCCATGCGCCTCCATTGTTATTTCCCCAACCACCCGCAGCACCCGCATTTGTGTTTCCCCAACCACCAGCGCTCCCATGTGCGTTTCCCCAGCCTGCAGCACTCGTATTTCCCCATCCTCCCGCGTTTGAAGTCGCTGCTCCGCTATGCACAGTCCCCCAAGGGTCACCCTTCGTCTGACTCTCTTTACCCCAGCTTTCCCAAGCCTGCTTTCCACCCTTGTCTTGTTTTTTCAGTTTCTGTTGTTGTTGGCCCCATCCGCTACCGCCCCCATTCCAATCACTTCCGGTTGCCTCGGCGCCCCAGCTTTGCCAGGCCGGAGCAGCTTTCTTGTCCGATTTCTTGCCTTTATTAGCAGATGCAGCAGCAGCAGCCATAGCAGCTGCCGCCGCCTGTTGGGCAGCCATTTGCGCTGGAGTCGGGATTGTAGTCGTCGTATTCCATCCGCCAGCAGCTGCATTGGTCGCAGAAGGTGCTGGGGTTTTACCCCAGCCGTCCCCACCAGTAGGTTTTCCCCAAGGATCAGCGGCGGGGGTAGCGGCAGGCTTACCGGTACCATAACCCCAAGCGTCGTTCCCAGCGGCATGCCCAGCGTTCCCCCACCCTGATTCTTCTTCTGTATTCGACATCATATCCGCTACATGTCCAAGTGAGTAAAAAACACTCGAAGAGCCCATTCTGACGCGCACCAAGCCCATAACCAGCAGCAGCAGCCTCAGCTTCCTCCTCCGCACTGTAATCGTAGTATTCGTCCTCTTCGTCTGGCTCGGAAACCTCCTTCACCTGCTCAAGCACCGTTGGCTTGGACATTGGAGGCTCCTGCCTTGGTGGTTCTGGCCTGGGAGGCTCGTGCCGCTGGGGCTCCTCGACGGGCGCGGGCGCTCCATTGGCCTTCTGTTTCCCGGTCTTCTTACCCATGATGGGCTGTGAAGAAACGCGTTCAAGAAGTAGTAGTACTTAAAGCTGCACAGCCACTATTCATCGTGTATCGGGGCACGTGTCGGTTCCGCGGAAATCGGCGCGGATTTTCCTGAGTACTTACTTCCAGTCGAGTGTGTTTTCTTGAAGCGGACGCCGCACAATATGCGGTTCGATGTGTTCAGTGACTTCCAATGTTGAGCTTGAACCCCCTCATTGACAAATCGCGATTTCCTGGCAAGCAGCGACGTGCTTTATCGATTTTGTCAGCTGGTGAAGAGTCGCCTAGATGTCGCAGCGGATCTTATCAAGGTAGCTGCACTCTTTCACATTGAGTTGCAAATATTTGTGTTATCAGCGCAGACTAGATTTCATCGGCCGTTTCATTGATTAGATCCCACGGAAGATAGAGCTAATGAACGGGGAGGACGAGTGGCTTGCAGCTGCAACTTTGCGCGAAGGCGAACAGAGAGCTCTGGAATTGAAATTACTCGTAGTCTGGTATGCCTAGATTTCACAACGTCGACCTCACATACTAGCTGTGAAAAGGTCAGGACTGCGTCCAGACAGAGTCCGAGGGCTATTTTTTAGGGAGGCTTGCTCAAGTCATCTCGCTCTTGAACGGGAGGTCAATCTCTTGAATTCTACGTGTTACATAAGACCAACTCCTACGGCCGTGTTGATGCTTGGATGATGGTGGGCGGGCAGTTTGGCCGTGTTATGCATGATCCCCTCGCGCACAACAAACAAAGGCAAAACAAAACAAACAACCCCGGCGACAAGAACAAACAAACAACCAAACAAACGGCGGTCTGCACTACGACGACGACCAAGCATGGGCCAGCGATGTTGTGGGCCCGCTCGCTGTTGTGGTCACCTGATACCCACCCCTTGACTCCCACCAACACCAACCACGAGCATGGCGGACGACACAGGCAGCAGCTTCTACCCGCCAGACGAGGTCGCTGGTGGGCTGCCCATTAACCTGGACTCGCTGCGCGACGGGCCACCAGGCACGAAGCCGTTCTACCCGTATTCAACCCTTATTCGGTTTGGTTAAATTCTCCGAGTTGCCAACGTTTGCCAACGCGCTGTAGCTACGCAATCAAGGGCTCGCCAAATCAACGGCTGCTACTGGAAGATATCTATTACGCCATTGAGTCGCGCTTTCCGTATTTTAGGACAGCACCTAATGGGTGGAAAGTGCGTCTCAGTGCCTTGTTTTCTCTCTCTCTAAATAACTGACAACGACCAGAACTCTGTCCGACACAACCTGTCGCTCAACCCATGTTTCCAAAAAGAGGCGCGGCCGCTGACTGACCGTGGGAAAGGGTCATACTGGATCGTAAACGACGAAGTGGACCCACGGACCGGCGTCCATCGAGTGCGCAAGAAGAAGGGCAAAGCATCAGCGCCCCCGCCAGAGTATGTCCAGCCCGTCGCCAGCGGCAGTGCCGGCCCGCTACCCGAAGAAGAGGTCAATCCCGAGCAGTACCCGCCCTTTACCGGCTTCGTCTCCCCAATGGCCGCTGCGATGATGAGCTTTGGCATTCCGCCACCGCTGTCGCTGATGACCCCGGAAGACCGTGTAGACGCAACGGAGAATGGCGATGTTGACTGGCGCGCGCTATGGCTCAAGGAGATTGAACACCTCCAAGAGATAACTGCCCAGCAAGACAAGCTTGGCGCACAACAGCAGTGGTACCAGATGATGTTGTTTAGGGTTCGCAGCGTGTTACTGGCGCCACTTGCACCACCAGAAGGTGAACTATATATGCAGCCACCACCTGAAGAAGAGGAAGGAGAGCCACAGGGGGAGCCAGTTATTGAGGAGCAGTAGTTTGTTTTGTACCCAGGAATTGTCCTAGATCTAGCCAAACAGTAGGGCTGAGCTATTTTGCAAAAAATTGGTATCCTTCTATCTAAGTAAACTACACTTTGCTTTGCTTGTAAATGATATAGTACAGGTACATTAGACATAGCATGTCGACTAGATGATCCATAATAAAAGACGAAGAAAAATGCGTCAACAACAAAAAATATAGTCGTGTTACTCCCGCCTAACCCGCCCGTTCTTCTCGTCCTCGAGGTACTGGCCAATCGCAAGCATGTCCTGGCCCGCACGGCGTAGGTAGCCTGCGAGAACCGACCGCTCTGCCTGGGGAAGTAGATCGGACAGCTTGTCCACCTGGCTTTCGAACGCGCGGTCCCGTGACTCGGAGGACGAACTGGAGGTGGTGGGCGTGAACAGCGACGGGCGGCGCAGAGCAGCAGCATTAGACGATAACGGGGAGGGTGTGGGTGATATGCTCTGGGTCTTCTGGGCGCGATTAGGCGGGGCACGTGGCCCGCCGGGAACTGCCGGTGAGTTGGGGACCAGTAGCGGCCGCGAGACTGAGGGTGGGGGACTCTTCACGAGTCGGGTCGTCGTGGCAGAAAATGACATGTTCGGCTTGTCCTTCCTGCTCATGCTGGCCTTGCGCCCTAATGATGAGAAGAAATTGCCCTTGGCTGGACTGACGGCCAACATCCGCAGTGACGTGGGCGGGGACAGTGGTGCAGTCATCGAGCGTGGGGAAAGTGCAGGGTATGGTAATGATGGTGCGGTGGGCGCAATGTCGCTTGGCTTCGTGGCCAAGTCAGTAGCGACCATCGCGTCGGGCCGGCGCGGGAAAGTTGCCTGGGTTGCGTGTGACTTGATTGACGAGCGGGATACCTGCCGCGGCTTGGCTGTTATCGTTCCACGTTTGCCGCCACCTGCATCTAAAGACTGATAAAACAGTCGCTTTGAATTGAACCATGAAACGCACTATGGGTATGGGTGGCAACCAACCAGTCGCTCAAGCCACTATCATGGATATAGAGTTCGTTGATTTTCTGAGCATATAACGCGGTCCGATCGGTACTCTTCTTCAGTGATAGAATGTCAGCAGAGAACAACGCGGCTGGATACTGCTCTATAATCTTCGGAGGTCGTCGTATGGGAAGCGAGACTGGATGTGAAGCAGGCGGAGATCTCGATGTGGAAGATCTTGTCAAAGAGTTTCTCGACGGTGAACTCGTGCGTGGAATCGAAGAAATGCGGCGCAGTCCCTTGGTCAGGCTCGCCCTAAAGCTTTTTGGCGGTGGACTGGGAGTGAAGCCCTCCTGCGAAAACGACTCCCACGAAATCGCGTCCTGTGACGCATGGTCATCGGAAGACCGTGACGGCGTCCATTCCTCAGCAATTGTTGGCTGCGGAGGGGACACGACAACGGAAGCGTGTTGTTCATCTTTTGCTTCTTCAGCGATCATCCCGTTGATTGACCGGTTAACGTGCACAGTCGGGGGACTATATTCGGAAGGACTTGTGGAGATGACAGAGGGCGAAAACGCGCCTTCGCGGCGGTGGAGGGTGCTACTAAATATGAGCGGTTTATTTAGCATGAAACACCGTTCAACACTTACTCGTCATGTGGGGAATCGTCCCCGCTGCTGCCCAGAGGCCGTGCAGGTGACACAGATCGAGAATTAGAGGATGAAGGGGTGCTTGACCCGCTCGAGCTCAGCACGGCAGTAACACCCGGCAACTGTAATCCATCTTTCCGGTTGGTGGGAGGAGGTGAATGTAGACGGGGAGGCCGGGGCGGAGGGGGCGTAGAAGGGTTAATAGCGAATGTTGTGCGTGGAGGCGGTGGTAAAGGTCCAGCAGTCGAGTGTAGCCCTGTCAAAATAAGAGATTAAGTGACATGACACGACAGACAGACAAACGGACCCGGCTCATATTTGAGGTAAGCCGAGTAATCTCTCGCAATGCTAGGACTCAGCGAGGGGTCAAGACCGAGGTCGACAACTACGGGAGGCGCGACGGGGGCATCGATTTTCTTGGACTGGCCAAGCTCAGGAGTACGAATTGACAGGTCTGTTGACCGGCGTTTTGGGCCAGGGAGCGAATTAGGCGTCGCAGCGCGTGAGGGGTGTGGTTCCTGGAAAACAGGGGGCTGTAAAGAAGGAATTTCGATGCGAGGGAGGTCGGTGCTGGTGCCCACAATGCCAACGTCGCGTGAAGCTTTGTTGGAGACTTCAGAAGCGGACCGGTGATGGGATTTGTCGTGGATATATGCTGAAGATTTGGCGTCGGGAGGGGCAACCAACGCGATTCCGTCCAGATTAGGTGCCTTGGCTACTGGCTGGGAGTCCGTTTGAACAATTGCCAGCCTTCGACGGTCATTACCACCCTCAGATGGCAGACTTGGCCTGCGAGGAGGGGAGACAGAAGACTCGTCAGAAGAGTAGTCTGACGAGCTCGTGGATTCTCCGGACAAAGACTTGCGGTGGTTGTCGTAGCCAATACCAGCATCAGCCAGTGGCGACTGGTAATAACTGGCAAATAGCTCCGAGTCTTGACGCGAAGCACGCGCAAGCTTCGGGCGGGCGGTGGCGGTAGTCGGTTCTAGACGAATAAAAGTAAGCATAGACGGAGAAGCAAAGCAACGAAACGCGCCGACCCAGAGCGGGCATTATATGGTCATTGCACAAGTTGAAAAGATGATCACATCACCCCTCTTCATCTGGACTACAACGTGCTTGTGGTGTGAACTCGACAACCGCTCCATATGTCCTACTACGAGGTTGCCCTCTTCGGCGAGTTCTTCGCAAAGGACCTTAAACCCATAATTAACCGCATAACCCTGCACTCGTTTGTCTCGATCTACACAAAGTTGACTTATACAAAATCTGACATCATTTCTCAGCGAATCGTCGCGTGCCATGCATATCCGTGAAGTCGTCTATGAACCCATAGACGCGGCCCAGCAGCGTGACTCAGGCAGTGAACCGGCACTTCTTCGTGCCCGAAAAGACCTCACAGACCCAGATCAAGGCTGGGTACTCTATTCCTACCTAAAACCGGAGTCAGTTCGCGCGCACCCAGAAGCAACAGTCCGGCCGTGGGCTACCTGCGAAGTCATCGGAGACGCGTTGGGCTTCGCTTCTGCTCTTGGTTATGTCCGTCGCTCCCAAATATTCAAACGAGGCTATCTATTTCGTCGAGGACCACTTGTAATCCAGATGTTTCAGCAAGAACAGGTGCGTTATAATCTCAACACTAAACTAAGTTAGCTTGACGTGCACCCAGGTTGACCCTAGGACCCAGCAACCCATTCCAGCCCATGCAGACACACTTTGGGAAGTCGAAGTTAAAACTGCTTCCCCAACGCGAAATACACAGGAAACACCACTAAGCATCGCTGTGAACGCAGTTGTCGAAGTCCAACTGCTTATGAAAGGGCTGCTCGATTTGCGACGCCAGGATTCCTAGTCATCGCCCCAGTCAATTGCTTCATCTTCTTGTTCCTCCATATCGGGTGTCCAATTCGCGTCTCCTCTTGCCTGCCTCATCAACTCAAGCAATGCGGCTGGCTCAAGTTGAATATCCTCCTCGTCTTCGCTTCCCGAATAACCTCCAAGCATATCTAAACCGTCCAGCTTCTCTTCTTCATCGACTTGCTCTGAATCGTCGCTGCTGCTCCCATAACCGTCCAAGAGCCCCGCGATAGCCAGCCCACCCGCCTTCTTGTCTATTCTCCGCCGTTTGGCTGGCCGTTCAGCTTCCTGGGTGACCGCGCCAACCCCATCCACCACAGTGCCACGAAACTCGTCCCAAACTTCGATGGTCGGGTATTCAACGAAGCTTTTGTGTCGCAAAAGTGTCTTCAAATCTTGCGACACGTCGAATCGAAAGTATCCGGGGGTACCACGGGCACGCATCACGCATTGGGGCGGCACAAAATTTTCGGGCACGTCGGCGTCTGGACATACGAGGGTTTGTACCCATTCCGGCGTTTTCCGTCCGGAAACATGTTTTTGTAGTAACACGAGTAGCGGAGTAGACAGAGGATTCCGATGTGTAAGCAGAGTATACGGGGTTTCAGAGGGGAACACAAATTCTAACGTTAGCCCAGCAGAACGAGTGCTTGAAGTCGTTGAGTAGGATTTTGCACAAGAGAAAAAAAAACACTCACCCAGAGTCCCAATGAGACTGATTGTGCTTCGCACGCTCCATCCCAACAGGCAACAACTCCATCTCGATGTCCATAGTTTCCAACTCAGTTTTGAGAATTTCCCGCTTTGGCCTCGCGCCGCCTGCTGATCCGCCTCTGCCTCTGCCCCTTCCCCGACCTCTTGTCTTGAAGCTACCTCTCGCAATCTCGCTGCCCCAGTCACCAACTTTCCGCCCCACATCTTCTAAGTACGTATAATCGTCCATCATCGTCCCCCAGTTGTACTTGTTCATTGGCACATACGCGGCCTTGTTGCGCTCTCCAGAGCATTGCGTGTTTGTTTTGTGCGCTTTGGAGCAACCCAGGGAGCACGTGTGAGTGGCGCAGCGAGGGCAGGTGTATTTTGCAGGTTGGGGGCAGACGGCACATTGCGAGCTTGCCATCGCGGCTTGGAGGACTGAAAGTAGGTCGGACGGTAATGGTAGCACGTCACTGGATACGCAACGAACCAAAACTGAGGATGAAGTGAAGATTCAAAAACGAAGTCGGGAGCTGATGGCGCATCAAGCCGAGATCACCATTTCTCGGCATTGACCGACACGATTATCAGATTGTATTTTGTGGTCGGAAGCAGGTCCAGAATGCAAGGTTAGAATTGAAGAGAGAGAGATGCGATCACGCGACTAGACGCGACAGCCAGTTATGAAAGTACAGTGCATTAAATATCGTCCATCCCAAAGTCTATTTCCACCTTCTCGCCTGGCTTGAATGGCGGTAGCCCTGGATAATACCAACATTTAGCATCACGCTAACAAATGAACACGAAAAGAAAGACTTACCAAGATATGGGCAACTGGCGCATCTGAATGCATCCCCGAGGAAACAGCTCCCACAGCTACTTGTGGCCTTTGGCGCTGCCTTTGCTGCTGCTACCAGTCTCTGTCGTTCGTCCTGCGACACCTCTACTGCCTCCCCGTCGACTGACCCATCAAGGATAACAACCTTGCTCGCCCGCATTTCAGCCTCCTCTAGCTCCCGCAGCCCACACGAACAGTTTTTGCACGCTTTCTTCCGCCTTGGCACGCCTGCTTTGACAGGCTCACAGGTAGGCACCGGTCGAGCCCTGTCAGCGTCCGTGAGAAGGGCCTCAGCATCGACAAGCGGGGTATTCGGAGCAGGCGTCAGTGTCCACAACGCTTTTTTCGCAGCGGCATCCATCTTCTTGCGCTTGAGCGGAAGCGCAAGGGGTGTGGGGGCAATATTTTGTGCCGGCTTTTGTGCGATCAGGGCGGTGTTGTTGTCGGTAGAGAGGATCGTGAAGCCGGAAAGTGTCAGCTCAGATGTCAATGACTCAGATTTCGGGGCGTTGTGAATGTGAAGCGCCCCTAGCGGCTGGAGGCCGTCGCGGAGCTGGACAAGCAGAGGCTGTATTTTAGGGAGAAGAGAGTCATATTCGGCAGTGGAGAGTGTGATGTGAACAGTCGAGTATGAGGAAGCCTCTAGTGTGGTTGCTGAGGGGTATTGAGGGGTTGTGGGGACTGAAAACAGCATCGATGAACGCACCACCGTCGACTAGTCTGTCAAGCATCTGTCTATCCACCTTCCTGGTCGCCTCCAAATCCGCGATGAGGCCCTGATACTTCCCATCTTGCGCAGTGGCAAGGGAGCCGATAGCTAGTGCAGACCCCTTCGCTGGTGGAGGCGGGGCATCGTTCAGCGCGACTGGAGACATGAGCGAGTGGAACAGAAATCAGCAGTCGTACTAAGCGAGTCAACTCAATTGGTCATTCAGATCTTTCATCGGCCGAAGATTCGGACTCGCTCCAACAGGTGCTGACTAATGTGACGCGTGACATGATACATCTCGATTCTGAACGATGACCGACGCGTTGCGCGTTCCAGCTGAATATCGCGAGTTCGCAAAGATCGAGGACCCCGATATTATTGAGCGGCTGGAGAAATGGAAGAACAACTCTATTGAGACGCTTCAGCGGCTGCAAACGCGTGTCCAGCAAGCACAAACCTCACTGAGCATCAAAGAAACAGCAGACATCGTCGCTGCAGTGACTCCGCTCTCTGGCGCGGGCAACTGGGTGTCCGACGCATCGCATGCCTATGCTCACGGTAGACAAATTATTCGTCCATTTCCAGTGGTAACATATCTACTTTTTAGCCATTTTACAAGAGTTGAAGGTCCCGGAGCCAACACAGTCGCTAGTGGCACATATCTTGCTGCATAACGTAAAGCCTGTCTTCAGGGCGAATGCGCACCCCTCGATAAACCCGCAAACAGGGCGAAAGCTGCCAAGACCTGCTGGAGGGCCACAAGCAACACAGGACTTGTACGATTCACAGACGTGGAAAGACCATCCTGGCGTGGACCTCACGGTGCTTTGGTGTGTGCAGCATATTCCGGTAAGATTTTTTTGTTTTCACGAAATTTACTAATAAGCCGATATATAGACCAATGCATACGATGAGGTCTGGCACTTGGTTGTCCCGCCGCTGATGACGCTTCTGGACGACTACGAGGCGCAGTACAAATTGGCCGGCGTCAGAATAGCCGCCGCGATGCTTGACAGCGTACCAGGATCACTTCTGAAACGCACCGGTGTCGGCTCTCTCCTCCTCGAAGTAAGCAAATCAACTCTCTTAGTTCCAAAATAAAACAGAATCAGGCTCTCAACAGAAGCATCCTCGTACTAGACAGCCCAGAAACGCCTATCCTCCTCCCAGCTGCCGTCTCAGCATCGCTGGCACTCATTGAACTTACCACCACAGCCGGCTCTGAAGAGCGATTCGCGCAGCTCTGCGGGATATTGGGCGACAGCATTATTGGGAGCGTGTGGCCCTACTCAAGTAACCGCATCGACGCCCTTATCGCCTCAATCGACGCCCTTCCATCCATCTTCGCAGTTCTGAGTGTCGGGTGTGCGCGTTATTTCAAGGTCTCTTGCCTCAATAATGTCGAGATTTTATCATCTAAACTTGTCCAGGTTTTAATGGCCCAACTAGTCTACCCACTTGCTCCATTGGAACACCAACAGACCACAGTCGAGCTGCAAATAGCATCGCTCCGCGCGTTAACCGCGCTCTTCAGAGCGTGTCCGCAGCGTATAGCCGGCTGGAAGGGCACCATCCTGAATGGTGTCGCGCGATGCTGGGTGGACACCGTCGAAAGCCCCTCAGGTTAATCATTCTCCCTCATTTGTTGACTGATACTCAAAGCCCAACAGCAGAAAACGATCAAGTCAGGACAGAGCTGAAAACCGTCTGTCGCGACCTCGCGGCCGTCTGTCCAACTGTGCAACAGGTACACTCTATCAACATGGAGAATTGCTATTTCAACAATTTCAGGAGGAATACCCACAACTTCTGGCTCTTGACCAAACGCTATTCAGTGAATTAATACAAGACACCAAAATCTGAAGCTCAAACCCATTCAGCAAACCAGTCTGTTATATTGATGGTATAAGCTACAGTCGTCTAAGAATTGAGAAATACATGCACAGACAATTAAAGAAAATACACTAGATTACGTCGAAACCATGCCTGGGTCCTCGTCTGGTGCCCCGAAAATCTCGTCAAAAATTTCCTTGCCATCGGTGGACAGCGGCGGCAGTCGCGGCTCGTTATCTCCGCCCGCCTTGATCCGTCTGATGCGCTCGTTGTTCCATATCTGCTCCAACGTCGACGCCAGACTCCGCAGGCCAAACAGGAACCCGCGGTCGGCCTCCTCGGGGTAGTGTGGCGGAAAACGGGCGTAGATAAGCCCAGTCTCCGGGTCAACATCTGCCTGGTAGCCTTGGTTCTGCTGCGACTCGTGGGTCCGATTGTCGGTATAGGGTAACCAGTCACGGCCAGTTGTCGTATGAGCAAAGTCCACAATTCGCACATTGATTTCCCCGCGTCCCCGCCTGCTCCGCTTTCTCACGGGGCCGGCTAACAGGTCCTCGCTGTGGGTCCGGCGTAGCTGAGGCTTATCAGGACTTGGGCGCTCCAGCGACTCTCCGCGTTTGCTGACTGACGAAGGCTGCTCTTGCGTACAAGAGCGCAGGTGGTCCTGTAACTCTCGATCGCCATCATAGATAAGCAAAAGGCTACATCCATAAAAGCGATAACCTTTCAAGCGATGAAGGATGCGAGCAAGACCGTACAGCTTCTGGAGTAGGATCGGAATATGGTAGGCAAGTAAGCGCTCGCCATCGTGCAGAAAAGATGCCAAGACGTCTGCAAATTGTTCTGGGCGAACATCGCGACCCATATACTTGTCTTGTGAGACATATGCATTGGTCACGTGATTCCAGACCTAAGTTTAGCTCAGCAAACAGGGGGGAAATGCTCTCTTTGGCACTGACCTGCATACCACATACCCTGACCCCGAGACTTCTGCTCGTTGTTCGCTCACACTTCTTCCGCTGGCTCTTCTTCTTGACCGACGTCGCATCGAGACCATATTGACGTGTGCCCATTTTGAGATCCATGACACAAGGATGTTTCAGTCGTCCGGTGAGGTCCTCCATGAGGATAAAATGGTTTTGCCGGGTGACCGACGGGTCCATCTCGAGTAAAGATAATGATGGAGATTGTCTTGCCAGTGGCGGAGGAGGAGAGACACCGAGATTAAGTGAACGCGATCGACTGCGGCGTCGAGTAAATGAAGGGGAGAGATCAACATCCCGCCAGTCAGGCGAGGTCGAAGCACGGTGGTGGAAGCTTTTCATTCGAGGATGCTCGAAATCCATGTCAAAGACATCAATCATGTTTTTGCTTCGGTGCTCTTCCAACTCCAGTGCTTCCAGTTTACCAGGACTGGCGATGGTGGTCTCGCTGTGAACGCGTCGGATAGGCGGTATCGGGGGTTCAGCTGTTCGCAAGCGTTCAACCTGACTAATCAACGGTCGCATCTTGCCACTGCGTGTTCGACGAGGGCCAGGACGATAGCGTCCTCCTTCGTCAGTTTCGACATCAGCAATGTCGCCATCGTCGTCCGTGCGACTGTCTGCTGCTAATCTTCCTCCAGTTCGTCGCCGGAAGCGTCGCAACACAGTGCTGAACACGTGATCCTTCAATCGTGTATTCACTGTCGTTGACCCTAAGCCACCAAACCAAGGCGACTGAGGGAGCGGAGTCGAAGAAAACGACGGTAATATAGGCCTGTGGAGATTGTCGTCGTCTTCAGAGACATGGTTTGCGAGGAATGGGGGCGGAGCGACAGGTTTTCCTGCTAAACTCGATGGGAAAGCTCGGGTAGATTGACTGGGTGAATTGACAGGTGTTGGAGCATCCATATCGCTCGTGACGAATGGTGGATAACGTGTCAACGGGCTGGGGCGCGTCCGTGTAACATTCATCAGCGAAGGTACTCCAAGATCTGGACTCGAAACCGCGCCGCTACTCCAATGGGTCCGACGATCCATCCAAGGAAGAGTAGCATTTGACTGAGAAGAAGAGCGCCTTCGACCTCGTAACAGCCATTCAGGAATAATATGGCGATTGTGGTCTAATGCCACTTCTGGCATTTCTGCAGAATCAGTATCAGTGTCGCCATGTCCGTCTTGCTCGGCCTCTGTGATAACACCATCATCCCGATCGTTGGTAACACGACACGGAGTTGAGGTGTCATTGTTAGATGTCGGCGGAGAAGCGGGTGCTTTTGGAACCCGTCGATAGGTGACGAGCATAACACCCAGATAACGCGGAATATACCCGAGAAGGGGAGGCGCCTCTCGCTCTACAGACTCGTAAAACAGGTTCTCACGGGAGACCAGCGGCTGAACAAATGGTATTTTAATAACATTTTCCTCGAGGACCGAATACCATCACCTTGCAGACAGCCTGTTTAGTAAATTTGTAAATGGCGCTATGGCCGCCAACTTGATTCCGAAACGGCCGAAGGGGAATGTGTGGAAGTTGCTCGGTGAGATCAGCATCGAGGTCAAGCAATCCATGATATTTGGGCTTCTGTGTCGTTTCGTGTAATAATGGCGGTCGTTGAGGAGGATGGTAGTAGGATTGGGAAGGACCGGCTGAGGTTGTTGAGGTCGTGGTAGTTACGGAGGCAGTTTCCCATGCAGACTCGTCGTCAGTAGACCATGGAGAAAAACTGGATAAGTCGGTCGGCTGGGATGGGACGGTAAGTTCTGGATGAGGTGGCGACTTGGTGGGAGGCCGAGGAGGGGGGAAAGGAGCTTCGGGCGTTGGAGTATTGTTAAATGAGGCTTCACGAGGACTAGCCTCGTGTCGGAAACGGATTGAAGGGACACGGACTGAGCGTGAGGGAGAAGGTGAAGGAGGATAAGGTCGATGTGAAGGCTATAGCTCTGCTTAGTATCCACAATAAAAGTCGATATTGGCTGCTCCACGCACCTCGAAGTCAAACACCTGCTGTTCTTCTGTAGGTCTCTGTCGAGGTCGACCCCGGCTATTCTCCGGTGAATTCGAGACGTCTTCACGCCATGACATCACATCTTTCACGACCGAATCGCGAGCTGGAGAATTTGCGACGTCCTCTTGCACAACGCTCTCTCTTGTTTTAACACGGCGGAGAGCCGTCAAGCTCTTTTCCCGCCGAATCGCAGCCGCCTCTCTATCCGGCCACTCGGACCGTTTGAGGAACTCAAATTTTGCCTCGGCCACATCCTCAGCACGCTTCGACGAGCCAGCCCTCGAGCTGCCACTTTCCTTTGTCTCCTTGAATAGTTGTAGTGTCGCTGCAACCTTGCGGCGAATGCCAGCCGGGGGTGGCTGGGAAGGAAGGCGATCCGCTGAAGACGATGAACTTGAACTGGATGACGAGCGAGAGCGGGCGGAAAGAGGACGAGGGTCAAGATGACTGAGGGCAGTCATCGAGGAGGAAGTTGGTAGAGTGAGGGCCCGAGTTGCATTATTACGGGTTGCTCGGACAACCCTGCGTGGTGTAGAGCGTTCAGTGACATAGCCGTCCGAACTACTAGCTTCGCGGCGGTGGTTAGGCTTCTTGACTGATTTCGAGCGGGGGGAGGGTTGGAGGTAAAACATGTGGTGAGGATAGGGTCGAGGAAGAGCCGGAACTCGAGGGAGTCAGTGGGAAGTGGTATTGGCGTGGTTTGTGTTCCAGGTTCGATCCCATAGACGACGGTAGATGGAGGTCGTCCGAAAGCGGGAAGAGCGTCAAGTTTATCGGTTCTGATTAGGGACACGTGCGCCCCAGGCGACCACCAGAAGTCGAAAAGTTTCTTACCGCTAATATACTGCTGTCGACGCACGTTCTCTGAATACAAAATATAACCGTGGGTGTTTCCCGTCTGTAAAAAAACGCCAAATCATGACGTTACAGTCCACTACACTTATTTGCGGTATCTCCGCCTAAATCACACAGCATTGCATCACTGGGAAAACTCTCCGCGCTAGTTTAGACCAGACGTCGGCTTGTGGATGTGATGGACCCACGAATATTCGAGATTAGCCACGAAGCAAAATATGAGTCATAGCTTTCTTTGTTTTGACATGTGTGGTGCTGTTTATTTACTAAAAGCTGTGTTCCTGGGAATTGCTATATAAGCCCATCAAAAAACTCCCATACTCTTTGCATTTTTTCCAAGCACCCCCCACTATCATCACCCCTACCCCCCAAGTCTATCTCTCATTATGCAGGATTCTGAGGCAAGGATTTCAGCCTGTATATATCAAAAACTCACTAACAACCCTTTTCAGGAGAGAGATGTTGTTGTCCATAATACTGTTGATGTTGCCAGTAGTACTTTGGCCCAGAGGAATGGTGTTCATTCAGCTTCTCCCTTTTCGGCTTCCACTTTGAACCCAAGGCGAACTGGAAACATTTTCCAACAATTCGAAATCAAAAAGCATTCTGTTGAGCACTATCCATCTGAAAAGATGCATAATACACTATTGATGACCATTGCTGGTACCCTGGGTAGGAGAACTATTTGGCAGCAAACAAAGTCTAATAAAGATCTAGGCCAGACACCTCAAAGCATACTTGCTCTCAAAAATAAAAGATTGGCTGCTGCTGCCTTGTTGCAGAAATCCTCTATCAGACATACTCAAAAAGCAACTCGGAGTTTTGGCGACAATATTGCCAGTGGCAATGTCGTTGCAACCAACGGCGAGGAGGAGGAGGAGGAGTGTGACAATGACATAAGTCACAGCACCGCCTCACTTCATCAACTCCGTCTGTCACCCGGACCTTCTCCGGCCCGGAGACAATTGTCACCGGCCATCCAACAATCTCGATCTTCCCGGCCCCCGATCGCAACACTATTTTCCCCTGCCATCACGGACGAAGACAGCTCGAGTGAATACTCACTCTGGACTGGGTCCATCAGTGGTGACAGAGAGAGTCCAATCACAACCCCACCAACCTCTCCGACAATCAACTTCTCTGATGGGATTGCATTTGGACGCCGACTTTCAGACCCAGCCAGCGCATTGTTTAGCTCAAGCAATAATGCGTCTATACCACGTCGTGTCCCCGAAGAGCTGGCCCATCTGAAATATGGTCATCAGCGGAAGTTGATGCAAGGAACCAAAAACAAGCGCGGAGAATCACCCAAGTATCACACCTCTGCTGTGCTCAGTCGACAAGCCGCTTCTTCCTCGTCGAACAGCAATCCCACTTTGACAAACCGCACGAAACGTCAGCGCGAGCTGAACTCGGGCTACGAGAGACCACGGAAGAGACCCAACATCGAGCTGGTCCACACAAAGCCCGCACCAATGCTGCAAATAACGTGGGATAATGAACTGAAGCGAGCAGAACACATCCTATACGAAGGCAAACACAGCTACCAACAAATTGAAGTGTTAATGCCTCATCTGGACAACATGTGGAGGTACAAGAACATTCCCACTAGTTGGATTGAGGAACGACTTCGTCTTCGCCAAGTTGCTGGCCAGGATGAATTCAAGAATAAATTGGAGCTTCTTGAAAGATTGCTTGATGGTTTCGAGGAGATTTCGGGAGGGTTGTCTGAAGTATTCCAGGATCGAGCGAAGGAGCTTTGGAGGCGTTGGGACACGCAGCTCGGTCGGGGAGAGAGGTGAGGGAAGGAAGCAAGATGTTCATTCAAGTGCACAGCATCATTGTTCTCCATCATCACAGCGTGATCAGTATACCCTTTGAACACGTACATGATTATAATTACGCGGACTCTCGAATTAAATGAGAATCTACCCAAGAAATATAGCTATGATACGGTGGTCATCGAATCATCCAAACGTCTCCGCTTCACGTTTGGCTTCTCGTCTCCATCCGAGTCATCGATAATGACCAAAGGAGAGCCTGCTCGCCCCTCGCCTACTACAGCCACACTCTCCACTTGCTGTGGCTTAATAGGATCAGCCGGTGGTGCATTTGTCGACGACTTGGGAGTCCCGTGACCAATACCTGATTCTCGTCCTGGCCCTGGTCCTCGACCCCTTCCTCTTCCTCTGCCACGCCCTCTTGCAGCCCGTCTCTCCTTGAGTATCCGTACCATGTGACCGGCTAGAACAGCCAGGGCCTTTCGAGCACCCATAGCCTCTAATTCCTTCAGTGTGTCCGTTCCCAGTCCACTGAATACTCCAGGATCAAGAATAAGGGTTCGTTCGTGAAGAACCATATAGCCCTCCTTAGCTGAATTATTCGGATGTGAAGGAGAATAATCCGGATGTGTTGGTGGTATTGGCCCTAGAATGATCGGAATCGATACATCTGGTTGGCTCGCGGCAGGTGCTGCGACAGGTTGTTGAGGCACAGATATTAGCTGGGGTGTCACAGGTTTCGGCGGCAAAGACGGTGTGGGTTTATTCGCAGTCGGTTGCAGCTGGCGGGATGGAGGGACAGTCGAAAGTGATGTATATGCAAATACGCCAGAGGGCGGTGGCGGTCCGGTGACTGGCTTAAGTGCTGGGGCTGCGGAAGGGTGGGGTGGTAGAGCTGGTATGATGGGAGCCACTCGGGAATGGACGGGAGGATTCGGGACTGGAGGGATTCCGGTCGATGTCGAAGACGATTGAGCGGGCTTCTCACTTTCCACGGCCTTATCATTATTTCCGCTGTTGCTTGCTTTCCCTCCAGAAGTCGCTTTGCTAACGCTTGCCGCTACTGGCGCCACAGAAAAGCCCTCTTCATCAAGTGCCCAAAAGAAACCCCTTCCTCTCAGAGAATCGCCACACTTCTCCATCTTCTTGAATCGCTTGTCGGAAGTTAAGGAGAAACGAACGGATGCCTACAGTCGTGTTTAGCTAAGAATTAGACAGCGAAATAATCGTACCATCCACTGCTCATCAGTGTGTTTGTAGTACTCATAGCGGCTTGATATCCATGCACAAATCTCCTGCAATGTTGATTTGGCGCCAATACCTCGGAGAGCATCCTCGGCAAGCTGCGGAAGCGGAATGAGGGGTTTTCCGGAGGTCTTGGCTGAGATAATCTTCGATTTGGGCGTGGAATGTGCATCACTCTTTTTCCGTTTCTTAGAGTTCTTAGATAACTGAGGGTCCGGTAGTGGGGGTGCGGGTTTCAACTCCTTTGGAGGTGGCGAGTGGGATTGCGGTGTAGAGGGGGGCGATATGGAGGTGATATCTACAGACGGGGAGCGAAGTCTGAGATTGGAGGAATGCGAGCTTGGTGAAGGTGTGTCTTCCGGTGGGGCTGGTGGTGGCAGGACAAAATGGAACGTTCTCGAGGCAATTTGAATTTGAGAGCTAAGCGATATGAGTTGCGAAACAGAATTTAGCAAGACGCAAATGACGCACCGCTCGCCAAGTGGAGTTCGTGACCCTCTAGCAGACCAAACCCCGTCAACCCATGCGCCATTGCGACCAACGACAACGAGCATGAAGCGGTCTTGGTCCTCGTCATATTCTATCTTGGCGTGAAGGCGAGAAACGCTCTTGAGTGCCCCCAGGTCTACATCAACTTGGGTTGGGTCGGGAGCGGATGAGGTAGCGGCAGCATTCGGATTGGGAAGACAGCGGCGTCCGATAGTAACAGATAGAGTGCGAACATAGAAAGTTACGGTCGGAAACACTAGAGAGTAGTATGCAGAGATCTTCTCTGGGCCAGACGACGTCGACATGGTGGTCGTTCGCGGTCAGACTCTGTGACGTGTCACATGCCGAACGCCGAGCCGGCGCGTCAGTCTAAGGCTTGACACTAACCACCACTAGCAAGCATGTCTTCAATCACAGAAGTAGTCGAACAAGAAATAGAGAAGACAGCAGATGAACTAGCCCAGCAAGACGCGGACTCTACAGACTCCCAGATTCGCTATGCTGCTTATGGTGCTCGATTGAGAACGGCATTGCGGGCCAGCTCACGATATATAGCTTACACTTCGTGAGTTCGCGTTGTGGTCTTATGTTTCTACCTACAAAATGTCAGTGATGTTGGAGAAGCTTTTCGCCCTCTAGTCCCTCCAGCCGTCGTAACGGCATGCTATGGCATCTCTTGGTTATATCGTCAGTCTCCCCATCGCCATTGTTGCACCATCTAATTAGTGGGTGCAGTTCTGGGAGATGTTGGATTTCACAGCTACAAGACTCACCGAAATGGCCCTTCCGCTCTTGAAGCTGCCACTTTTACCGAATCGACACGGATTGCGTTTGCCGCTGCAGAACGCGCCACCTTCCAATCCATCGCTTCTATGGCCCTTCCTGCGTTCACCATCCATACCGCAGTCAAACAGGCCAAGAAGGTGTTTGACAAGTCACCCAACCCCCGACTGCGCGCTTGGGGACCGACAACAAGCGGCTTAGCGATCGTAAAAGAACATTCGTTGCACTTGTCTTTGCCTCTTAACTTGCTCCTAGGTTCCTATTCTTCCCTACCTGTTCGATCACCCAGTAGAACATGTCACTGAACGTGTCTTTGGATGGCTGAAGGTCAAGATCGCCCAACAACAACAATCAAGCACTCCAAAAGACGAGCTATGATATAATGTAGATTGATTAGACCCACAACTCTAGCTACAAGCACAACTGCATAGATGTCAAACACTTCCTCACCATCCACGGCCACGCCCTCGAGAACTATTATTATACCCTCCCCGCGGTTGGTTGTAATTGGCAGGAGGAGGCTGACCTAAGCCGTATCCACCATACCCTCCATAATTACCGGGCGGTGGTGGGGGAGGCTGTTGATAATTCGAGCCATACCCGCCGTAGTTGCTACCATAGCTGCTGGGAGGACCGCCATAGCCACCTCCGCCGTAGCCATTGCCATATGAATTGTAGTTTTGTTGAGGGGGCGGTGGCCCACCATAACCACGGTAATTATTCTGGGGTGGTTGACCGTACTGTGGTGCTGGTCTCGGGGGGTAGTTCGGTTGGGACTGTTGGTATGGATGGTTATTCTGTGGAGGTCTATTATTATATGCAGGCCCTCGGTCAAAGCCTCGTCTGTCATCGCGAGGTGCTGAATTCGGGCGAGAATGGAACATATCGTTCCTTCCGCGATCAAACCTTGCTCCATTATTTCCATTTCTGTCACCTCCCCCCCCCCCCACGATGACCACCGCGACCCCGTCCACCCCGTCTCACTGTTTCCAAGTCTCCTGCATTCAACGTACGAGGCGGTGCACGAGCGCGGGGGAGCAGCATAGAACGATGTGGTGTGTGTTGTTTCGGGAAAAAATAGTACACCGATAGCGATTGGTCATTCTTCACATCTGGCATCAACTCCGACAAAGAAGAGGGGTATGTCGAGCCAGGTATACAGTCAGGATTGGGAGCGACACTGCCGCTCATACCATAGCTGAGCTTCGTGTCGAGTGGTAAGGGCTAAACGGAACAAGTTTAATTCAAAACATCGTTCTGTGAAATGAACACGACATACGTCCTGTTTCTTGCGCTTCCCATAAAGCTGCTCGTAGAAAGGGTAGACGGGGTGGTCGTTGGACGCAAATATCACGTTATTTCCCCATGTGTTGCGCTTTCGCTCCTCGGGAGTCAGATAAATGGAATACGGCGGGTCATGAGCACCAGGCGCAGGCATATCTGGAGGCAAATGGAGAGCCGGACGATCTTCTTCCGCCAGAAAATCGAAAGGTTTTGCCATGTTCTCCAGGAGAGCACCCTCGTCAATGAATGGCAATAGCGCAACACCTTGCCACGCCATCCTCTTGCCATTCATATCGATCTGAAACTCCTCGGGGTAGAAATCGACAGATGGAACGTTTTCCTTGTTTGAGCCTCCCCTCAGCGGCGAAAGTGGGTTGGTCATCAACTCATGGAAAACAGCGGGTATTTGTTTACGACTATATTCTGGTCAATAGTTTCCTCTGCGTCTAACGGAGGCTTACCTGGCAGCAGGGAAGACGCCCATAAGCTGCTCGAAAGGCTTGAAGGGACGACCGATGTTGAAGCTAATTCCCATATCTTTGACATCGACGAAATCGGCCGCGAATGGGGCAAAATGATAGGGATAAAACCATTGCCAGGACGGAGTCTTGTTGATAATGAGAGAGCGGTGCAGTTGAAAACGAAGCGAAACTTACGCCCTGATAATAATAGTGGAGCACCCAGCACAGTCCCTCGATGTAAGCTTTCGTAATCCTGTGTTTTTCAAGTAAGCATACGATCAACCAAGACAGCCACCGATTATACCTTGTCTTTAGATTGGGATCCCCAACGTCATCTGGGAATTTTTGGGCATAATATCTTTCACGGTAACCTGGTTCCCAAAGTCTGCGAAATGTCTCAGTCTAAGTTCCAGGAATGACTGCAGAAATCTACTTGACGGTGTCTTCTTGATCGACAGTGCCATCCGCATTGACTTTCAGTTTGACGGACGTATTGGCAGGGACGTCACCGTCGTCATCTTCAGCAGCAAAAGTGTCCTCTACAGTCTCTTCTTCTTGCTCGACATCAGCTAGTTTGCGTTTTGGCCCACTATTAGGGGAGGCGTCGCCATTCATGGGTACATCGCTATCGGCCAAGTTATTGTCCAAGCTCGGCTCATCTATCATTTCGGTCATGGTTGACTCAGTGGCGACATGAGTCTCGACTGTTGTTGGAGAGCGAACAGTCCCAAGGCCGGGAACCCCTTCATCTTCGGGCTCAGTTGTGGAAGGAGGTGGGGGGATAGGAATGGGAATAGGAATGGGAATGGGACTGAGATCTGTGACAGGTTTTGGAGGCAGAGACAGATTAGGCTTGACAGGCACTGCTCCAGCGAGCTCGGCCTTAAGCATCTCAGCAGCACTCATATTAGCCATTCGAATGGCACGACGATTGGCGACAACATCATGGTTAGACCCCGCAAGGGCTTGGGCAGCAATAGGAGCATTTTGGGCGACAGTCTGAGTTGTGGCCGGGGCACCAAAGCCCATCGTATCGGCATTCGCAGCAAAATTAGGGCGAGCAGGCAGAGGATGATGAACAGGAGTAGGGGCAGTGGGTAGAGCAGTGAGGGACAATGAAGATGATGGCTTGATTCTCTTTCGACTATCTGCTTCCAACTTACGTCGCTTTGCATTTTCGTCTTGACGAGTCTCGGCTATAGGAACATCTTAGCAAAAAAAAAAATGCGGAAACAAGACCACTCACTTTCACGCCTCCGCCGGAAGATGTCATCTTCCCTTTGAGCAAGTCCTTCGAGAATGATTTGCGCGCGATCCAAAACCATATGCCCATGGTTGGTGATATAGCCGCCCATTCTAGGAAGTTCTTGCTTCCAAATCCTCAAAAGCGTGTCAATGGCGCCTTCACGAATCTCAAGAGAAGGGAGATGGGGGAGGAAGTCGTTGCCGACAAAGAATATGAGTAAGACCCAATCATCAACAGCTTGTTCGAAGTTAAAAGGGAAATAGATTTCTGGGACGTCCAGTTCAACTTCAAGATACTCTCGCAGAATAGCAATGTCGAGGAAAATAAATGGTTTTTTTGCGTCGGGGGTCTTCTTTATTTGCTCTACGGGCTCAGGGGCAGTACAGTTCGCTGCATAGTGTCCCTCTTGCCCACATTTGCGACAGGCCGTGCTGTTAGCGTCCGCGAATACGTCCTCACGCAACACCCAAAAGTTCGGCTCGTGGGTGGCTATGCCGAGCATGATAAGATCCGCATCCTAGTCTCGTGCATTAATATGAATGCTGGGAAAGTCAGTGAGCCACATACCAGTCCATATATAACGTGCTTTGTGTTGGGGTTGTAGTCAGGATTGATGCGTTGCCGTCGGATGAAGTCCATGATTTTGTGTTCTCCTTCTCCAGGTACTCCTGCGTCGGAAATTAAAACTTGAATCTAAGGAAAAGTCAGTCTACTGAAACGGTCAGACTAGTCCAACTTGCATTTTTCCAACCTGGGTCTGTATTCAGTTTATGAACCACCCAATAGCGCAAAGAGGCAGCCAAAAGGTCCATGAACGGTGTGCCAGGCGTGATAGCATTGGTATCCCAGCCTTGCTTTTCGTTGAAGTCGGTTATTTCCTTGCCCATTTCTGTGTGGAAGGTTATGCGAGTAGCAGAAAACCGATTTATGGCGCGCCTTTCCACAGCAGAATGGACTCCTGGCGCGCAATCTCCTTGTCTTTTGCATCTTGGGCAGCTCGGAAACGACGCGAGCGTTGTTGGTTCATTTTGGCTCGAGGAGCGACACCGTCTGAGGGAAATCAATGGGACGTGTCAGTCGATGAATGAGAAGACGCACCAATGGCCATGAAAAGCAGTTTCCGAGGCCGAACCATATTGACAACACGCTCAGTGTACTTGAAAATTTCAATCATCATCTCTTGTTCAGTTTCGGGAGCCGGCTGCAGTCAAGAGTCAGATAGCCTCGCAAAGCAGAACGTCGCCAACGCACTCTCCCTTCCGGGTGTGTACAAGGGTGGACCTGAGAGAGAGAGAGAGAGATTAGAAAATGTTGATTTTGATAAGAGGAGAAACCAACTCACAATACCGTTCATGTCGAGATATAAGTTATCGAATTCCTTTCCGTTTGGGTTGTTCATAGACATATTAACGGGTATGCTGGTGATAGCGCCATCCTCGCCGGGAACTTCAATTTCCTCCTCTTCGACAACGGGATAGACTGAACAAGTTCAAGAATGTGACGAAAACAGTTGCAACGCAGGACGCACTGATTTTAGGGTACTTTTTGCTGAGCCAGCGGAAAAGCGCTGGGACACCCTGAAAATAGCATGAGAGAAGACACCATAGAATGTTGAAGCGCACCATAGTTCGCTCTGGGTGGAGTCGTGAGTAGTCGTGGACAACAAGATGAATGTGTCACGCCAAACTGTCACGAAATTCGACTCATTTCCTCGAACACCATGGCCACACCTGCCGTTGAATCTGCGGCTCCAGTGGCATCCGGCTCTCATCCAAGTCAGAAATCTATGACAAAGGCCGAGCGTAGAGAACTACAGGAGCGCCAACGTGCTGCTAAACTTGCACAAAAGCAACAAACTCAGCCAGCCGACTCCGCTGCTAAAGCAAAGGCGAAACCCAAACCTGCCACGCCCAAGAAAGCTGCGGCAGGGGCAGAAGCAGCACCTACATCTGGCCCCGATACTTCAAGATCGCATGCCATAGCCAGCGCCGATCATGAAGCAGATAGCTCGAAGCGGAGTCTACGAATATTTTCACATTTTGGATTACCCAAGAATGGACCCGGCGCCAAAGGCGATATTCATCCTTGCATAATCAGACTCGCTCTCCAGTTTTCCGAGTTCAAGATCTGCGGTGCAAACGCGCGATGCATCGCTACTTTGACTGCATTCAAAACAGTGCGTTCTTGTTGTTCATTTGTGTCTTTTGGAGTCACATACGTTACGTGCTAGGTGATCCAAGACTACACAACTCCACCGAACAACACCCTTTCGAGGCATCTCATGACACATCTTTCGCCTCAGATAACGCATTTAGTTTCCGCACGACCCATGTCGGTCACGATGGGAAATGCTATCAGGCAACTCAAACTCGAGATCAGTGGCTCCGATATTGACCTTCCTGAGCAAGATGTTAGGTTGTCCTTGCAAGCTCACTATCTGCACTGACGCACACTTTCCAGGCCAAGGACCTTCTCTGTCAACAAATCGACGACTACATTCGAGATCGAATCATCGTGGCGGACGATGTCATCCAAGACTTTGCTCTGAAGAAAATCAAAGACGGTGACGTTATTCTCACCTTTGCAAGGCATGTCCCATCATCGAGCATCGTTTGCCATTAACTTGACTTGAAGATCGTCCATCGTTGAGAAGGTCTTGCTGCATGCACATTCCCGCGGCAAGCGATTTTCTGTCATAATAGTCGATTCACGACCATTACTAGAAGGTCAGATCACCCTTCGGCCGGAGATTTTGTCTGACTATCATCCAGGAAAGGCTCTTCTTCAAGCTCTCACTTCCTCATCCACGTCATGGACTCTTTCTGGCGGTGCTCTCCAGCCTCCCTTGCCCCCAATACCTTGCACATACGCTCTTCTACCCGCTCTCCCATCACTCATCACGGAAGCAACCACCGTTATCCTTGGCGCCCACTCCCTTCACTCAAACGGGGCTGTATTTTCCCGTGCTGGGACTGCTTTGGTCGCTATGATGGCGAAGCAGCACAGCGTTCCAGTACTCGTCTGTTGCGAGACATATAAATTCAGCGATGGCGTTATGCTGGATGGCTTTGGGAAGAACGAGCTCGGTTGGTCTCGTTTGAACTATATTCAACGCTTGTTCTTATTCTATTCCAGCACCCTCTCATCTCTTCCCGGCTTCTACACCGACTCCAAATCTTGAGGTGCTCAACCCTCTGTATGACCTAACTCCTCCCGCGTATATCACAGCAGTCGTTACTGAGGCTGGCCTTATTCCCCCGAGTAGCATCAGTTCAGTGAACATGGCCTTGGGTAGAAGCTCATTACCAGTGTAGAAAGTAGAACATGTTATAACCCAGAAAACATAATTACAAGTAGTAGTAATGACATGCTACATCCCATAAGCTCCAGCATGACTAGTCATTGGCATTCCACCAGTAACGGCACCTCCGTATGCGGCGGGGTTCATCGACACCCCACCAGTAACAGCACCCCCGTAAGCTGAAGGGTTCATTGGCATTCCCGCCATTGGATTTACTCCTGGCACAGCGCCGCCCATTCCAGGCTGAACACCGCCAGGAGGCACACAGGCGATATAAAGCGAGTATTTTTTCTCTCGAGCTCTCGCTTTTCGCCGAGCTCTCTTCTCTTTCCGCCGCTGCTTCTTCTCGGCCTTGATTTCGCGTCGTCGGCGTTTGCGCTCCATGATTTCGGTCATGCCCTGACCGGACTGTTGGTCATACATGTACATCTGGTTGTTGGTGAACCTCGGATCGTCAGAGTCCGAGTCTGAGTCGGAGGTTGAAGACGAAGACGAAGAACTGTCATCGCGGCTATCGAAAAGAGGAAGTTGGATGTCTTCCATGCCAGCCTGTGGACCAGAACGACGTTCACGGCCCTTATATAGGATCACCTAGCGCGAATGTTAGGTCTACAGCGATGGGTAAGCAATGGGAACGGACTAGCCTCGACACCGCGAGGAATGAAAAACGACATATTCCATAAATCCACCAGGTCAGCTGTTAACGTGGATTTCCGATTAGAGCGTCCTGGAGCTGGCAATCTTCCGGTCCAAGCAAGACATAAATCCTAAGAGTGGGAGGCTCAGTAATAGTTGTTCGGGCGTATCGACTAAATACGAACCTGCATGAAACGAGTCCCTATTTGAACCAGTCAGTATGGCTTGGTTCACGAAACCTAACAACCTACAATCGCCTCCTTGGACATCGTGTGCTTGAAGCACAACTGGCATACGAGGAGCACTAAGAACAAGTTCGTTCATGTCGTCAAGCCTCATTTTATCGAATGGCGTAAACGTTGTTATCGCGCTCACAGGACGAGAAAACCCGTCTGGAGCTGGCAATTGACCTTGATCGCCAGTATCTGTAGCAGGTACTGGCATAGACTGGTAGGCAGGCTGTCCAGAGGTAGATGCAACCAAGCCAGGAATGGGCGGTGTCGCACCAGCTGGAATTGGTTTCCCTGCTAGGACATGACCGGGAGGATAAACAGCCCCATTGTAGGGCGTCGACGGATGAGCCATGGCTGGTGTAGTCGAGGCACCAGCGGGATAATTGGCATTGACATAAGCAGACGCTGAGTAGGCTGCCTGAGGAGTCTCTGCCGGTCGCATGTTGGGTGAAGGGTTGCCGAAAACAGGGTATGCGGTCGTGGGGTATGCTGCACCATATGGTGCCTGTTGACCAAGATTATTGCTTAGCTTACGAGCGCGTTCAGCATCAGTTTGATATTGAAGTGGGCGTGCAGCTTGGTTGGTGAGATCCATCTCACGAAACTGTTGGTTGATGTCCCCCATATTGGCGCTATGCTTTCGCTCTCGTTGATCGTAGGCTCCAGCAGGAGGCATAGCATTATACCCAGCAGTATAAGGTGTGGTCGGATAACCGGCCGTACTAGGGAAAGGTTGAGGTTGTGTACTTTGATTAGCGCTTTTGCGGCGCTCTTTTTCAGTGACTATAGCGTCCCGTTCACGCGCCTTTCGAAGTTCAGCATCCGCAGAGTGTTGTTCCTTTTCTCGCTGGCGTCTGGCCGCCCTTTTCTTCTTTCTTTCTCCTCTTTTCTTCTTGCTGTTGCCTGAATTCGCTATTAGATCGGATACACCTATCGAATCGAATGCTACCATTCTCTCAGCGCTTTCTGCTCCTCCTTTGTTATCGGGCTATTAGACCAAGCTGCAGCGAAATTCTAATGAAATCAACGTTTATCGCCACGAAATGCGTTCGAACTGACCTCGTCGGCTGGACGCGCTCCCACTGGCGCCGTGAATGTTTCCTCGGCGGGCACCTTTGGATGTTTCAAAACACGAAAGCTTTGTGGACAAGACGACAATACCCATTGAATGCCAGATATCACACCGTTTTGTGTGGGATAACTTCAGACGGATCGATGACCACACAAGTTGGGGTAAGAAGCGATATACCTAGCGGCAACAGCTCTAAAAGAGTGGATTGAGTTGAAGAAAGGCACGACGGCGGGTGATAGCTACTTGAACGAGTGATAAATGACGCGACCATTGGGATCGTAAGAGGTTGTATAGGTAAGCTGACCAGGAACAACTTGAGGAGAAACAGGGTGCTGTTGCCCATAGGACGATGTAGTGGCGTACATCGTGGTGAAAGCCAAAGAAGATACGGTGCTTCGAATTCGATTCGCGTGATCTATGCCACGCCCAAAATAGCGATATTACTAAGAATCGAGAGGGTCTACACTAGTAGTACGTTCAAAAGAACCTCCAGTACAGGATAATAAGGAAAATAAAGGCCACAGCGCCTATGGGGGCGTATTGACGCAACATCGCATGCAGATTGATATTTCGTGCCGCCTTCCTGTACTTCTCAGACTCAGACCGCAGTGACGTAGACAAATGGGACATTCCTCGAAGAATTGTCAAAAGGATTTCCGGAGAGTGAACGGGAAAGGTAAACGCACTGTCAAGGGAGTCGCCTCGCCACAAAAGCTCCTCCATGTTTTTTGTCATTATCCTCGTTACGTCTTGGAGGTCGTCATTCAGCTTGTCAAGTCCAGAGCCTGTCGCTGCAGTTGCTGTTCGTGTGTCGCGGTACAGACGAGCCGTTTTGGACATAAACGTGTCTCAAGTAACCAGTTAGCCTTATGAGGGTGACACGAATACACGACACACCAAAGCCCACAAACGCATAAGGCTTTCTCACAGCGTCGACCTTGGCTCCATATGTTGTAGCAAACTCTTTCGAGAGTTCGTCAAGATACGAAAAGGCCAGTTTACGTGGATAGGATTTGTCGGCAATAGTTAGAAAGACAACATTCTCCGAGATGAGATAGCTGCATGGCTGTTGAGAATGTGAAGGAAGTAGAAGGCTCCACAAACTGTAGCGTATAATGACCGCTTTCGATAGAGCAGCGTGGTTCTGAGTTGGGGGTAATGCGACGGAATATCAGTTTCGACTGTTGTTTATGTTCTTGAAGGGCTTGTTCAGTCTGCGGGACCGGTAAATATGGGTTTGGCTAATGGGATTCAACCGCCCAACCTGTTCGTCATCCACACTGGCCGCCAAAGGAAGAGCGTCCGAAGCTCTCACTAATATAGTCGACAGGACCATTATATGGCAGGCTGGCCGCAGATGGGTTTTGAATGGAAGTCGGCCTGGAGTTGGTCGAACCTTGGTTTGTCTGGAATAGGTCGGACGTGGTCTGGAGGGAAGTCAGGGAGCACGCGCCTGATGTGATCAACCAGCTGCTTTCCACTATAAATGAAGACGATTTTCACATTCGAACATCCCTTCCCCTCCGATGTCCAAACTGTTTGACGTGCAAACCCAGCTCACCTTCTATGGTGCTTACCATTCGAACCGAATCAATGTCCTCATCCACATCGTCTGTGTGCCGATGATTCTTTGTTTGTCCGGTCTTCCTCTTACCGGCAATGCCTGACATGTTTTGTAGGGTACTTGAGACTTTTTTGCTCGTCGCCAGTTTCTCAATGCCTCCGTCTAGGTCTGCCTGGGTCATGGCGACAACGATTCCTATGCCGGACGCGATCCCGAAGATCCACTATGTCATTAACGACTACCTCGTGTTCGACCTTAACGCCTCCTCTATTGCGGCTGCCTTATACCTGGCCTACTATTATGCTCTTGAGCCTGTTGCTGCTGTGCGTGGAAACCGTATCAAACGAACAGATTGTTTACCGCAAATTTATTCCCAGCTTCTCTACACTCCTCAGATGGTTCTAGGATTGCTATCTGCTATCGCATATGCTCGCTCTCCCGCTCACATGACCAACGCAATAATACTCCATGGAATATGCTGGGTTGCACAGTTCCTCGGTCATGGTCTGGCTGAGAAACGGTCTCCAGCGCTTCTGGACAATCTGCTCGGCGGTAATTCAAAGCCATTTTCTTATCGCACTCCCTGCTAAACTGCGCCTCAGCCGTCGTCCTTGCCCCCTTCTTTGTCCATCTCGAGCTCTTGTTTGGCTTGGGCTATCGACCCGAGATGCATAAACGTCTGACGAACGAGATTGGCAAAGAAATCACCAAATTGCGCAAAGCTCAAGCAGACGCCCGTCGTGCCAAAACCAACTAGTTCAATCTCCAATTGTACCCACTCAACTATGTAGTACTTAATGTTCACTTAACGCTGTTTGACTGCCTAAATCAGACTTGCTGGAGGAGGCAAAACTGGCTCTCCCAGTGCTGTTACATAGGCGGAAGAAAGGCCACCGTCAACCTTGAAATCGGTACCCTAGAACGAGAACGGGTCAGGATATTCTTTCCAAGCTCTTCCACCTTACCGTCATGTAGCTGCTCTCGTCACTGGCCACTATGAGTGAGATTAGCGACCCAAGAACTGCTTCTATGGAAACGTGCGCACAGAAGAGGGCTGCTTTGGCAAGTTCCACCGCCTCGCCAAAACGACCCATTGGAAGGTGAATCAAACGCCGGTCGCGCTTTTCGGCCGTATTTAGGAAGTCCATGAGAAGAGCTAGCCACGTTTAAATAGATGGAATGCTGGAAACGAGAATCGCACGCGTCTTGAGCGGACCACTGACTAGGTATCAGCTAACGATGTATTCCCAAGGGGTAAAACGCACGGGCACAAAGAGTTGAGACGGATGCCTTCTCGAGCATGAACCATGGCGAGTTCTCTTGTCATGGCAAGTACCGCACCCTGACAGATTTAGCGGGAGAGATAGGAGAAGTTACAAGTAATTCACCTTCGATGCCGTATCTTACAGGTCGATTCAGGTTTCTTGACTACTATGTGCGTAAAATTGGCTTACAAGCAAGTTGGGGAGTTGCAGCACCCATCAACGCGACGAAGCTGGCGGTGTTGATTATGCTTCCGCCGACATGAAGGCCTTGGGATTCATCCGTAGGGTTGTTGCGCATAGCAAGAATAGCATACTTGCACCCCCACCAAACACCCTTGAGATTGATTGTCATAGTGAGGTCCCAGATACGCTCTTCCGTGTTGAGCGCATTGTCGTCCTCTGGATGCATGATACCTATCGACAATTCTCAAAGTCATGGTCCGCGAGAGAGGTCATTGGACAAACCAGCATTGTTGAACTACACTTGTCAGAATAATGGCCTTGGAGTTGAGTTGCATGCGCACCATTATGTCGAGACGACCAAATTCTTTAACGGCCAGATCGACAGCCGCTTTGATATCGTTCTCTTTGCCCACATCTGCCTTGGTCGCGATTGCCTTGACATTGGGAAATCGCTTCGCGATGAGGTCAGCGCCTTTCTGTGCGCCATCGAGGTTAATGTCGACAAGTAGAATGTTGGCCCCCTCTTCAGCGAACAAGAGCGACGATTCAAGGCCGATACCACTAATCGTTGTTCAGGCAGCAATTCCTCGCAAATATAATTCGACACACGAGCCGGCACCAGTGATAAGAGCAACCTGTGTTCCTATGAGGTGGATTGATGACAGAGAATAGACCACACTTTGTTCTGCAGACGACCAGGCATGATGAGGGTTAAGATAAAGATGCCAATTTGCCTCACGCGACCACGTGACAATTATTCAAATATACTATTGCGTGGCTTGCAAGGATTGGGGAAAGGACTGTGGATAACTCTCATCTCCAATCATATCGAAAAAGTCTGCAATCTCTTTGGGTAGCGAGCTTGGTTGTGAAACCGCGTCCTGATCGCACTTTTGAGCAACCTCTTGCCGCCCGACCGGAATATCATCATCGGACTCGGTTTCGGACTCGTCTAGCTTGTTGGAAGCATCGTGTGTCGGTAGAGGGTCGTCGTCGAACACATCGTTCAAGTCGACCAATGAGCTAAGTAACAGTGTTAGCATTGCATTGACAAAGTCAGTTTGTGGCCCAGCACACCTTATGGGAATAGCTTGATCTTGGTACTGGCTCTGAGAGCTTGGAATATCGTCTTTGTAGTCCGTTGAATATGAAGATAGTGGTGGCTGAGATTGAGATGTGGGTACATCTCCATCATCTCGTTCCGCGGGCGAAGGAGGGGGCGACGGTGAACGTAGTAAATCAAGAGTTTGTTTAGTTGGTAGATAATGGGGAGGTGGTGAAGCTGACAGCGAGAAATACTGTGACTGGGATGACGGTACCTCGTCAGGGTCGAGGTGTTGAAAAGTAGATGAGGGTGGAAAGTATTGTGACTGGGAAGAGGGCACCGTCTCTTCTAATTCTAGATCGTTGCCTAATGCCACTGAGGACTGCATTGGAGAAGCTGATTCCTTCTTTGGAGGCACTGGGTCGTCATCCAAAGTGAGGTCAATAGCAAACGCAACTGTCTTGCCCTTCTTCCGCTTCGAATTTACCACCTCCCCTTCCTTCTTTATTTGTATCGTTGGCTGAGGATGAGTTCCGGCCTGGGTATCACCACAAACATCTTTACTTGTGGACGCGCCAGAGTCTGATGGCAGTGGGTTGCTCAAACGCTTCCGTTTGGGTATAGGCTGCTTGGCTTTGGGGGGCGCAGCTTTCCGTTTTGGAATGCGTGCAAAGTAGTTAGTGATGGGGAGTTCGCTGAAGGTCATCTTTCAGGTGGCTGAATCATGGACGCGTTGAAAGCGCGAGTCACATTCGTCACGCCTGTGACTCGCGCGGTGCTTGCTTTCATGTCAGATATTCAACAAAAGAAACGCAAGATGGACGACGACGTCGACATACCTCTTGCACCCACGTCTAACCTCCTTATCAAGAGGCTTTCAGACAAGGCAAAGTTGCCCACAAGAGGTTCCCCATTGTCAGCGGGCTATGATCTGTACAGGTTGGTCTCGACGCGTTTTTTTATACCATCTACGCGTCTCATACTACTTAGTGCCGAGAAAAAAACTATTCCCGCTCGCGGAAAGGCTCTTGTAGACACCCAAATCTCAATTGCAGTTCCGGCAGGAACATATGGACGCGTCGCGCCGCGGAGTGGCCTGGGTGACCTTATATAGATGATCCCCTGCCTTCTCTGATACTTCTCCAGCATCAAAGTTCATGATAGACACTGGTGCAGGCGTTATTGATGCCGACTATCGTGGTGTTGTCTTTGTTCTTCTGTTCAACCTCTCCGACAAGGACTTCGAAGGTGCGCGCATTAGTCGTTCAGTAGAAGTACCCTTTAAACCCTTTTTCAGTGGAGGAAGGAGATCGCATTGCGCAACTTATCATCGAGCGCATCTATACGCCGGAGATTCTTGAAGTCCAGGTGCACGTGCTTCCCAACTGCGTCATTATCTGCTCACTGTCATCTTACTCAGGATCTGGATGAAACTCTGCGCGGGGCAGGCGGCTTTGGTTCAACTGGCGGCCATGGCTCACTCTAAACTCTCAAAACACCAGCCAAATGTTCTTGTACCAATGTACCATCTCTTCCAAAATTTACCCTGCTTTCTTGCTCTCCGAATCTTCCGCATTCTTATGACATCCACTTACGGCTTTGTTGCGGGCTCTCATGTGGAGCCATCACAGTGCTTCTGTTCTACTTAAACCCACCGGCTCTTTGGGTGTCAATGAAATCACCTTTTGGCCCCAGCTGCTATGTATTCGCCACCACCAACGACACCCCCACATTCCGAGAAACCGTCTGCAGACGCGAAGCCTGAAACGGAACACATCGACCATAGTTTCACTGATGTAGAATCCAGCCCTGGGTCAACAGTCAAGCCGGAGCAGAAGCTGGTTCGACAATTGAAGAACCGTGAGTCGCTCTTTCTGTGTGTGTGATTGAACGTTATGCCAACTTCTATAGGTCATGTTGCCATGATCAGGTACGCGGTTTTCTAAATTTGTTGAGTCGGTCTCTCAGCGAAAGTAGTATCGGCGGTATGTGATCTGCAATCGTCAAGTAAGCACATACTGACGAATCATAGGTGTTATTGGTACCGGCTTGTTTCTATCAACAGGTAAGCACTTTGCAATTTCCTTTATGTGCCTCTCACGCTGGTCGATCCAGCAAACGCACTCCGTTTCGGCGGTCCTGTGGGACTATTATTGGGCTACATATTTGTTGGAACAATTGTCTACTCGGTAATGTGCGATACCAACGTTGCTTTCTGCCCCCAAGGTTTACCCGTATTCCTACAGGATCTCCCTCGGCGAAATGATCAGCTATCTACCCATCCCTGGAGGGCATTTGACGCTCGCCAAGCGCTTTGTTGAGTTATCCGCTTGTTCCCTTCCAGACCATTGACATATTCATTTTAGGTAGATCCTGCATTCTCGTTCACCATGGGATGGAATTATTGGTATAACTGGTAGGTTTCGACTTCTTTGAATAGAAGACATTCTGAAGAGCTCTTCAGGACAATAATTCTACCGGCAGAGGTACACATACCTTCTTGATGTGACTAGAGCGCAAACCCTTGCAGATTTCTGCTGCTGCAATTCTAATAGACTTTTGGACGGAAAAAGTCAATAATGCTGTAAGTCTATCGAGACTCACTGATCATTGCTGAGTCAGTGTAGGTGTGGATGACGATCGTCATGGTTAGTGACATGGGTGCAGTACCCTGGCCTTTTCTCATCCGTCTTAGTTGGTTGTTATTGGGATCAACATGTGTGGTACGCTTCCGCATTACTATCTTGTTGCCTCTCCTTCAACCGATTTTCAGGAGCAGGTTGTGTCGATGATCCCTGCCGACGGAGCGCTGACAAGACCATCAGGATTTTACGGCGAGATGGAATTCATCTTCGCCTCCATTAAAGTCCTCACCATCACTGGACTTATAATCCTCGGTATTGTGTTGGATCTGGGTGGTGGCCCAAGCCACGATCGGTATTATGACCATATTTGCTCATCGCTTTACCGACTCACACGATCTACCTACTAGAATCGGTTTCCGCTACTGGAAAAACCCTGGTGGGTTGCCTTGATGCGATCAGATAAGATAATGCTGACAGATTTGAAGGTCCCTTCGTTCAGTATCACGACATCGCTGGAGTCAAAGGACGCTTCTTAGGCTCGTTTTCTGACGAACTGGGGTACTGTACTGACTATAGCTTTCAGGGTGGTGGGCTGTTATGACCCAAGCTGCCTTCTCGTATATGTAAGTTGAAGTTTAACGCAACACTGATGTCTGATTGCACCATAGTGGGACAGAGATAGTTGCTGTATGTGTGCTGCGCTGCAGTGACCTCTGCTGATGTGAATTTTCTCCAAGATCGCAGCAGGAGAAGCGAAAAATCCCCGGTAAAGTCACCAATGTTGATATGAACCACGCTAAATATGCAAAGGCGCAATCTTCCCAAAGCAATCCGTCGTGTTTACATCCGGTATGCATATTCCCACTCGACAATGAGTGCGACTGAAGTGAATCCACAGAATTTTGCTTTTTTATATTGGTAAGCGTCCCTCTGTCTCCCAATGCTCGAACGGCGGTTTAGCTTGTTATAGGTGGAGGTTTGGGCTCTTTTTATTTTCATTCCCCATTTCACACTCCTGAAGTCATCATCATCGGCCTGCTTGTTCCTTCAAACGAAGAAAAACTGAACCTCGCGGATGGCACTGCTGCTAGCTCTCCGTACTTTTTACCATCCTCTATGCGATTTTTGGCTGATCCTGTTGGCAGATTTGTCATTGCCATTGAACGGTACATTTTTTGAAAATTCCGTGTAACTCACGCTGAGCTCAACCAGCGCCGGAATCAAAGCGCTTCCATCGGTCCGTGCACTCTTTCTTTTGTGTCGACGCGACTTAATTTGGTCAGATTATCAATGCTTGCCGTAAGTCAACATTTCAGCATTTACGTCGCTGCTCAATGCTCATCGTCTCCAGTGCTCACCTCTGCCTGGAGTGCCGGTAGCAGTGATCTCTACACAAGCTCCCGAGCCCTTTGTGTGTGATTAATACTCTGGCGTATCAATTCTAACTTGTGTTTCCAGATGGATTAGCGGTTGCTGGCAACGCCCCGCGTATTTTCAGCAAAACTCTGCCCAATGGCCTTCCTATAGTATCACTCGCCTTCTGCTCGTTATTGTAAGAAGAATACCCGGAGAATCTTTAATATGTTTGAACCTTTCCAGTGCCTGTTTGGCCTATATGGGAGTTGGGTCTGGCTCAGGCAAAGTCTTCACTTGGCTATCCAACATGACATCGGTTGCTGGTCTGCTTACCTGGTTTGGTGAGTCCTCGCTACCTGGACGTAATTCGAGAATCAACTGAAGACGTCTAAAGGCATTTGTTTGACTTACCTCCGGTTCCACGCCGGAATGGCCGCGCAAGGGTTCAATCGGAAGGAGCTGCCGTTCTCCTCGCCGTTGCAGCCTTTCGCCGCCTGGTATGCCCTCGTCTTCACCGCCTTGATCTGTCTCGTATGCTCGACGTCTGCACTCCACCGCTCCAGTCTGACCCTCTAAACAGCTCAGCGGGTGGGCAGTCTTCCTCAAGGTAATAGTCTCGGGCCAACCCGTTTGAACCACAGCTGACAATCGCAGGGAAACTTTGATATCGCAACTCTTATCACCAACTATCTGCGTCGGTAGTTTTCTACACCATGGAAAGAATTCTGAAACAGCCTGCAGCTTTCGTCATGTTCCCGATTCTGTACTTCGGGGCAAAACTGTACTACTGGCGCAGAGGACATGCATTTGCGTGGCGGCCGGTCCACGAACTTGATTTCGTGACCGACATTGACCAAGTCGAGGCTGATTCGTAAGCCACGTTCAGTCAAGGCTTATCGTCACATTCTCAATTGGCATAGGTACGACGAGCCGCCGCCGAAAAACAGATACGAGGCATTCTGGAGATGGCTTGTTCGTCCTTGTTTTCGACACAAAAGTTGTGCGCTAACCCAAGTTTGTAGATGTAAACTGCAAAATGTTGTCCTCGATAATAATAATGTACACTAATGTTACCTTCTTCAAAACAATTCTCTTGCCGAATGATCAACGTAGGACACCATCTTGTCCCGCAGGAATGCGTCCACAGGTGTCGCGTCAATACTCGCTGACGTAAGATGCTCCGACTGCTCTGAGGCACCGATAATCCCAATCAAGAGCCCAGCCGTTCGGACGCCGTCAATCAAAGACGGCACTTGCAACTAAACAAGCACAGTCAGCACTGGGAAATCCACGAATGAGACGGTCATACTAGGAGATCAGCGTCAACAAAAACACCCAACAGATTATTTGCTCGTGCGAATTCGACAGCCGCGCCAACACTAGTTGTACGCCAGTCTTCCATGTCGTTCTCTCCATCCGGCCCTTGCTTCTTGCCACAATGTGAAGCGAAGAAAACTGGATCTACGAGATAGTCAACTGAGGGTTAACAACGTCGATGATGCAACACACAATTGGGCTGCTTCCAGTTGATGGCTGAACACACATCGGGTGAGAAGGAGGTGAAGACAATCCGGCGTCGTGGAAGGGGGCCGTAAATTGTTCGCAAGACAGAATCCACGAAAGTGTTGAGTTGCAAACGGTATCCTGCCGTTTGAGCCCGGACTGAACGCTGTGGATAAGCGAGCTCCATACAAATCCCTAAAGTAGGCGGGAGCATCTGAAATACCTTGAGAACTGTAGCATTGTAGAGAATGACTTTACTTTAAGCAAATGGGCAAGAGAAACCATCGAAGAGGGCACAGCTGTCCATTCGGATGCGTCAACATTAGTTGATGCGCGAGACGCGTCAAATATCCGACCACTTGCAACGGCCAACGATTCGAATTGAGCAAGTGTAATGTCCGCAACGGTCAAGTCGAAACTAGTTTGGGGAAGAAGAACATCCTCAAACACCACAGGGTGCAAATCACTGGTGACTTGAATGACAAGATAGAGATAACTCCCGCGAAGAGATGAGATGGTCGACGCTTGCGTGGGTCCAACATAGCTGCTTGCTACCGACCGGTTCGATGGCGATGTCGAGGCAGAGCCAATCAAATTGGACCGATGAGCCCAACGTGGCCCACGGTGCGGGATCGTATTGGTGGCAAGCGGCATTGCTAATGACTTCCAGTATGTCTCAACGTCGCCGCCAACCTCCAACGTGACCCCTTCGAAAGGCGTCACGATGTTCACCTCAAAGTCAACCTGGAGAACATCAGTAACTGGACTCAGATGATGTTGAATTAGATAGATACCTCGCCGATGACTTGAAGTCTTGTGTCCAAAATGGGAAGCGAGAAAGGCCTATTAGTTTCGAACTGTTGGAATAAAGTGGGCAATGCGACGGCTCGGCCGATAGTTTTAGTACCAAAGTTGGGATAGACAGAGAAAACCAAGGAGAGATTGTCCAGTGAGGGAATCTGGAATGTGTAGGTACCCAAGGCCACATCGTTTTGTATGAGTGGTAATGGCACACTATAAGGCCCCGAATTGATGTTAACATCGCGAGCTGTAGTCACCACCAACTTGAGTGGAGTTGAAGCGATGACCAGGTCGTTCTTGAACGCAGGACTGATCAAACGATGGTGAAGCCGTACTCCAGGACGCTCACTGTTGCGTCGCGACATGTGACCAATTGTAACCTGGACGAGATGGTTTTTGTCGAGATAGTTGTGCCCATAGACTCGATGAGGCATAATCGGGGGCGGCAGCGAAAGGGAAGGAATGAGGTCAATCTCCGATTCTGTCATGCCAATATCAGAAAGCGGCGAGTCTTTGGGAATTCTTCCAGTATCGACTCCGGAAGCCATTAGGGGAGTAGCGTTGAGCAGCGGGCTCAGACACTGATGGTGGCCATACCACATTGCATAATAAACGGCAAGATGCCCTAATTCGTCTGTGACGCGAACTCGGGCACCAGCATCCAACAAGACTCGGATGGATTCTGTTCGTCCATAGCGTGCGGCATGAAAAAGTGGCGTCCATTCGTGATATTTGTCAGGGGTGTCCCAACCATCTTGGAAAAGTAAAAGTCGACAAACATCAGAGTGACCTTCTCGAGCAGCAAGATGCATCGGGTATTCTCCGTTAGTATTCGGTAAACAGCGGGCACCACGTTCAAGCAAAAGCGTTACAACTTCGAGATGGCCGGATTGACTGGCCAACGACAAAGGCATCGGATCACCGTTTGGCGGGGTTTTTGCCTTGCCATCATCCAAAAGAACCTTGACACAATCCACACTTCCTTTGAGGGTCGCATAGACCAACGGGGTATAATTGTCCATGTCCTGAACATCACAAACCAGGTTTGTTTGCAAAAGGCGGCGACATATGGCAGCATGACCATTCATGGCTGCATAGTGCAGCGCAGTGCGGCCATACGCGTCGATTCGAGCAGCATCAACACCCCTTTCTATGCATATTTGAACCAGACGTGGAGCTCCAGCAATAGCGGCGCCATGCAGACACGTTCGTCCATTGATGTCATCAATGAACTGGAAATCGAATGGGGTGGAGAGCGAGGCCATGATCAAATTGGCGAGGTCAGGCGGCGCCTCAATAATGGCGTTCCACAAAATTCGCGTTATGTTGACTTTGCCTCGTTGTGAAAGAATTTCGGAGAAGTGGATCCATTCGGTGACGCCAGACGTGTCGTTGCTGTTGATTGCTTTGCGAAGATTGTTCTCCAGTTCTTGGAATGGTCCCATATGTTGGGTTCGCTCATTCATGATTTGTTGAGCAACGAGATCGGTTGAAGCAGCAGAGCCCTCGAATTTCAGCCCAGATGAAAGGTCTGTCAGGTCGAGGAGACACGCTGCGACGGTGTCGGACAGCTCCGAGATAAGTTGTCGGTTGAAAACGGGTTGAACATCAACCTGCCGAGCCAGATAGAGTTCTTTCGTGGTCGATTTGGATCGCTTATCATATTTCTTGAGGATTTTCCTGAAACCTGTGGCATTGATTTCGACAAATTGCTGAAAGGCGAGTTTGGATGGAAGAGAGGAAGAGTTGGAGTGGGTGTACCTGTAGTTTACCGAGATCTCTTTCGAGGTGTCTGAATCCCTCTTCGACCGCCGTCCACTCGACATTCTTCTGGCCAACATCGTCTGATGGGTCGGGGAAACCTCTCATCGCAGCAGCCCTTCTTTTCGACAGCAGAGTCTCCAATCGCAGTTTAAGCTCGGCCTCTTTTTGGAGATAGAATTCATTGATCTATAGGACAGATAAGCCTACCAATTGCAAACGTCGTGCATTCTCCACCTGCCTTTTCTAACTCTCGCTCCAATTTGAAGAAGAAGGCAGCCTTATGAGCACGAGAGTCATCATCCGGAGTTGCTGTGTCTGGAAAGAGAGGGGGGACAAGCTGAGTTGAAGAGGGTTGGGTCGACGATTCCGATATATCGCCTGGCCGCAATCCCAAAGCTAAGGCAGCAGCTTCTGAAGCAGGTCGGTGTTGGGTGAGGGACGATATGATCTTTTTCAGGAACTTGTAGTCGAGGTAATATGTAGACCATCCTGGCACCTGTTGCGCCTGGATCTGCTTGCCGAACTGTGGTGCATTTTAGTCCATGCTTTAAATAGAAGTGAGAGCTGTTATCGACCTTCATAGAACTTGGGAGTAGAGCAGATTGATTGTGAGGCGGAGTATGTGCAATTGCCAGCCCATGAGGGATGGACGAAAAGCGTCAAAGCACTCAGAAGTATCGGGAGTATGCGTGACTGTGACTTTGCGTGACTTGTCCAAGGTTCCCTCAAAAAAGTTGCGGCTGGTTGAAGACGCGACTTAATTGCAGCGTCTGAATACCCCTGGGCTTGTGGTGCGCTCACTCCATGGCTACTTTATCATTCTCACCATGAAGGGCAGGATGACTGCAGTTGATGCTCAGAGCCTTTTCGCGAGGCACTGTCCGCAATCCCACATGGCTTTCACAACTAAGAGTGAACAAGTCTACCAAGGCTCAGTCAGAAGACGCCGAGTCATCGCTCCCCGGGACAGTAAACGACCCTCAGAACTCATCGTTGGCCGGTGGTGTTACTGCCCACTCCCCCACACAATTGTCTGCTCATTTCTCCTCGCCGTTAGTAGAGCCAGCACCTACCTTTCGCATAGTCCAGAGCAGTCGCGGGTATCCGACTGGAAGGCCATGGCGGCCTCTTCCCGTTCCCATCATCCATCACCAAGTTTTCAAACATGGACGAGCAACTCTTCTCTCTCACAACGACGAAGACGCGTTCGAAGATTTGAATCTCACCATTCTATTCGACAAGGAGAAGTCCCTACAACAAGGTGTAGATCGTGTCAACTGGCGTCGCGACCTTTTGCGCATTCTGGGCAATACTCAGTCGCATTCCCAAGGGTGGAAGGCTTACGAGACATTAGTTTCTGTACCTTTCCCTATCCCCTACCCTCATCTGAATCGTCTTGTGCGGCTTATCTCCCTCCAGCGCCCCAAAACGCAGACGCTTTTCTCGCGGCTTTTACATGTGTTGACTATAATTCATCAGTCTGGCCGGAAACTCACGACCTACCAATGGAACGCGCTCATCGATAATGCCGGAAAAGGATTGCGAAATGCGCGTCCTGCCGACTTCCAAAACGCGTTCAACGCGTTTGTCGACTTTGTGTCTGCTCGACAGCCGGGCACAGCTATATTACCAAATGAAGCCGACTTTGACCCAGGCGCTTCATCCAATATTCTCCCCGACATCCGAACATATACGACCCTGATTAATCATGCTGTGGAGAGACGCGATAAAGTCGCACTTGAACAAACGACTTCACTGCTCAAGGCATCGGGAATGTCACCCAATCGAGTTTCGCACCTCGTACTACTGAAATACTACACCAAGAACGGCAAACTACGAGACATACGCACCGTCCTCGAACGAATGAGCCGCGAAGGGCAAGAACTGGGTCTCGATGGTGTCAACGCGTGCCTCTGGGCTTTTTCCTGCCACAACCGTTTCGATATGGTCATGAAGATCTATCGTTTGCTGCGCAACAACATGGTCCCCGAAACAGCTTTGGGGCCGAACGACATAGATTCTGTGTCGCGTTCGCTTGCTGACCAGCATATCACCATTAGATCAACCATGATTCCCAACAAAGTGACCTTTACTTTAACTGCGCAAGCAGCAGCTTATCATGGGCACCTCCGTGAGGCGCTCCAAGCGTTTACAGACATGCTTTCGTCGGAAAACGTGGAAATCGGCGCCCCCCTCTATCGTGTGGAAGACGGAAACATTGTACCTTCTCCGTATGAGCCAGACTTGGCGATGTTCAGAGCATTATTCCTGGGATTTTACCGACATGGTGTCCCTTCGGCCCCTGACCACCCAGGGCAGCACCCTTGGGTCCTCCCAGTGCTGAATGATATGTTGGATGTGTTCCTCGCGCTCCCCAAACACATCGAACCGTCACGGTCGACTATTTACTGGCTTCTCGTCGCTTTCGAGAAGACGAGCAACCAGGATATGGAGCTCTTAAAGACCGTCTGGGGGCGCATTCGTAGCCACTTCAGAGAGGAATGGGTAAACAGTCGCAACATTGATCAAGTCCAAAGTCGATTCTTCGAGTCCAAATTGCCATAACACAATTCTACCAATTAGGCAGCCTGTCTCTCCCTCCACTCGACATACTCGTCCCAGCCAACAGTGCATTTCCTGGACTGATACCGGCGCAACTTGATACTCCGTCGGAGATCTTCTGTGATCCTCCCACTCCAGCCTGCCTTCTGAATCGCGCTATCGACCGCGGCTATTCTGTCCCAACCTTGTTCGGGAATAACGTCAGGCAAATATGTCGCACTAAATGTTCGGCGCGAGTTGACCGGTGGGAGATGTGTGGCGGACGAAAGCGGAGAAGGAGCTCCTGACGAATTGGGCGATGCGAGCAGAGAAGGGTGGGCGAATTTGATGCTGATCCCGTGAACCCCAATCGTCCAGTCGAGGTAGGACTGAGCGTCTTCAAAATCGGTTAATAGCGACACCCTGTCATCGTCAAGGGCCAATAAGGCGAGTGAAAAGAAGCGGGGACTCACGCGCATTCGAGTGTTGGAAGTTCGCTACGGTCAATCTTGCGAAACCGGTCATCTCGGAATGCACTGAGGAGGGCAAATTCGGCCAACCCATCATGGAGGGTAAGTGGTTCAAAGCTGCCAAGACATCCACGCAATCGTGGTGAACGGCCTTCACGGCGCGTGTTCCAAGTCACAAAGAGAGGGCTGTAAGGTAGTTCAGAGCAGGGGACACACCATAATGTACATAGTCACTATTTGTCGTCAACAAATGTCGGGGCAATGGGTTTCGCAGATGTCAGAGCGCAGTAAAGGGCATCGAAGGCGTGAAAACAATGCTCGGGAGTGCAGTCTGACGATGTCTCAGGCACTTCTTTGTTGGGGTTCGGAGGAATGAGGGACATGAGTGAGTGAGTGTGGGCAGGTAACGACAACTGACATGTTAGTCATCAATGCGTTTTGAGTGGCTTGGTCATAAATGTTGAAAGTATATGTGCAATATAGTACTTGTAGTAGCAGACGCATAAACAACGAATAATGGGGAGATGCGATGGAGTCAGTTAGAGATGCAGTAAAAGAAACGGGGCGATTGCGTGGAGAGAGAGAGAGAAAAGGTCGTAAGATGGACTAGACACGAGATGTTACAATGAGAGATGCAGAAAAAAAAGGAAGGGACACTGAGCAAACCAGACAGTCAAAAGTACAAGGCGGCGTCCGGCGTCGCAGTCAAGTGGCGCAACAACTCCAACCTCTTGCTGCCCGTTCCCTTTCCGCCTTTTCGCGAGCTTCCTCCTCATCGGCCTGAGCACTCCATGTTGGGACAGCAACCGAACTAAGATATACGCTGTCTCGTTTCTTGAGTGCATTCTCTTTCTCAATCCGATCTTTGCGAGTGATGATGGCAGAAATCAGATGGTCGAACAAATTCTGAATGCCTAGACCCAGATGCGGTTAGTTCGGACCGGGAGATAAGGAGTAATCACGTACCGATGTCGTCTTTTGCAGACACCTCGAATAGTTCCATACCCTTGCTCAAGCCCCATTCTCCATCATCATCGGGGTCTTCTTGGCCGGCCTCGTCATCCTCATTCAGACTATTATCGCTCGAGTCCTGCAATTCGCTCCATCCTCCGACCTTGAGACCGAAGTGTGACCCAAATCGGGACTGCTGTCGGGCCGTGCTCGATACCGTAGTCCGGGAGGATCCTGCAGCGCTTAACTGGGGTCGGGTAGAGGTGCTAGTGTTACTCCGAGAGAGACCGGAAGAGCGGCCATTGGCTTGTAGGTCGAGGTAGGCATGAGTGTCGGGGGCAGGGTTTGGAGAAGGAGTAATGGGGGGAGACCGCAAGCCAGGGAATGATGTGAAACGGGGTCGGATGTAAGAAAGAGTTGAAACTTGCGGGATGGGAGTGGGAATGGGAGGTGGGGGCGGTTCAGGTGGAGGAAACCACCGGCTTAAGGAAAGACGTGCCAAGTCGGGGGTTACTTGGCGGAAAGAGGCAAGATCCGCTTTCGCCCCAACGATATAGATAATGAGGTCGGGCTGGCAGTTCTTCTTGAGTTCTGGAGGCGCATTAGCTTTATTGGGGCGCGATGAATAAAAAAACTTGCCTTCAAGCCACCCACGAATGTCGTTAAAGGTAGATGCATTGGTAATGTCATAGAGCAGGAGAGCCGCATTGGCGCCTAGAATCAAAGACATTCAGCGGTGAGAAGTGTGGATAGAGAGGCATAGGAACCTCGATAATACATGGGAGCCTAGTCAACTGTCAACAAGGACAAAACAAGGCGAGTAACCGAGACGCACCATACTCCGAAATCGCTCCTGACCAGCGGTATCCCACAGTTGCAAACGAACTCTGAGACCGTGTACATAAACCTGTTCAAACGTAAGAAGAAGGTAAACAAGCTCGTCTTGCGCAACCTCACCTTCTTCGTAACAAAAAAAGCACCAGCAGTTGATACATTATTGTTGGGCTCGAACTTATTCTACGCGCTATTTGAACAAAGTGAAATCGGATGCGGAGATGGGTGGCAAACCTGGGTATAGCGCTGAAGGAGGGAGGTTTTGCCAACGCCAGAGTTGCCCATGACGACTATCTTGCTGTCGATCCCTTGGTCATAACGAGAACGAGCATATGGGTCCATGGGTGGTGCAGAAAACTGCTCCATATGAAAAGAGTGGAGGCGCTGGGCGCCGTACAGCGCAGGGGCTGGATGAAGGAAGGGAACAGGAATTGAATCGGCGTCACAAACAGTCACACAATAGCTCAAGTCAAGTGGAGAGTCAAAACATGGACTAGCATAGCATGGAATTTACTGCATATCCTAACCAAACCTACTCTTGCGCAACTACAGGGAATTCGAAAACGACATCCTTGCCCGTGAGGCGGCGGTAAACGGACGAGAATGAATCGAGTTTGTACTCGAGGGAAGTCGCGTCTTTGGAGTCGAGGAAGCTGCAAATCGATGAGGAAATATATTGTCGTTATAGCAAAAAGCATACACTTTGAGGAGTTTTGAGCCGTCAACGGCAACACGGGTGCGTTTGCCAACAATCTCAGTGGGGAAAACAAGGTCCTCGAGAATCCGCTCATGGACATTGGTGAGAGTGCGGCTACGGGGGCGCTTTTGCTTGACACGGGAGGTACGAGTCGGCTTGCGGAGCATCCGGCGCTGGGCAACAAAGACGACATGACGGTCAGAGAACTTTTTCTCGAGTTCACGGGTCAGACTAAGTCAAGTCAATGATCCATGCGCCTAGATTACGAAGAAACACACCGCTGCTGGACCTTCCTGAATGCCTTGAGTTGAGGGACAGGCACGAAGATGACGATAGCCTTTTTGCCGCCACGGACATCCACTTCACGGGCGGCGGAGATTTGAAGGGGCCGGAGCTCAGTTTTGAGCTCAGGGACGTTGTTTTCGAGGTCAACGAGAGCCTGAGCAACGGAAATCTCAGTCTCGTCAGGAGCGGTCGTTGGCGCGTTGGCCGTGCGCAAAATCTTGTTGGCAGCAGACATCTAACGAGGATTTAAGCATCCACCCCATTTCAACTTTCTAGCCCGTCAAACGTCGCTCAAGCATTCATACGACGTTTAGGACCAGAATGAATGCTGAATGGACTCACCACAAGCAGCAGGTCTTGAGCTGCGTCGGCGTCGAGTGATGAGGGCGGAAAATGAGGGTGGCTGTACAAGCCTGAGAAATTGATTGCATCTTCAAGTTAGTTCTTCCTTGATCCTGGTACTTAGTACAGAATCAAATATCTATTGTGGTGTCCTTGAAAGCAGGTCTCCTGAAACAGACCTTCCTAAAGACTCTACTGCATGATGTAAAACACTCGTAATTTTACTCCGCATCCTTGCCATCTCTTCATCGCTCCCCTTCCTCGCATGAAGTAGACTTTTGATCTCCGTCAGATCTATTGGAGGCCCAAATGTTACGCTGAGTTGCTTTCCCCATCGTGGAAGATATTTGTACGGGAATTGACGACCTTCAGGCATTAAGTGGTCAAACCCGGTCAACCACATTGGAAGAATAACAGGGAGCGTCGAAGTTTCCATGAGCATTCGGCCGCTGTTGGTGGTGTTGAGAATCGGAGGAACATAGAACCGCATTAGACACACTCACACGCCCCATTTGAATCTAGGAAGCTGAGCGACGCCATCTAGTTGTAGATATGTGTTGGTCTGGTTGATTTTACCCTCACTGAACAAGTGGATCTGAAGAGGCGCATGAATTCGAATGTGATTTAGAGGTTTTGGGGAAGAACGAACCCATTGACCAGCGTCGAGTTTGGCAATGGCAGAATCCACGGCCGGCTGATCGATTCCCCCGCCTCGGAATGTTTCTATTACCTGTCCATGCCGGAAGAAGGTAGAGAAAAGACTAGGCTGGGCAGGTTTGTCGGAAAAGACGTGTTCAAGTCGGCGGCTTACGGATTTGTGAACATAACATCGGAGGCACCCAAAGTCCAGCGAGTGGTGCGAGAACGGAGGAAATATTTCGTCGGAAGTGCGCCCCAGAGAAGAGGGTCGTCGAGCCTAGTGAATTGAGACTGAAATGCCTTTTTTTTATAGCGTAGTAGTCCTCACGTCGAGATGTGATTTGAAACTGTTGGAGATGGTGAGTAGCACAAAAAAGACCGAGGAAAGAAGGTTTTACGCGTCAATAGACCATTTGTACGCGCTTTATTGAGGGCAGCTTCGAGATAAGGTTGGCCGTAGAGGGTACAGGAGGCGACTGAATTTAGAGCGGCTTTGCAAATCAGGTGGACGCTTAGTGGAAGAAACGGCATCAGCATTACGTTAGTCAAAAATCGTGAGATCAGCCGAGCCATTCGTTGGGGATTACTCTTGCAGACGACGACCACCCTCAAGGGAGCTCTCCACCTTCCGTCTGCCCAAACGGGGGCTGCGCCATGCTCCTTCAATTTGCGGCCATTATATTTTCACTCCTCCTCGTCTACCTGTCCATTCTTGCCGCCGACGATGTCGATGCTCATGACCAATCCCCAACGCTGGTTGCTTCTCGTCAGTTGTCTACCCCCCCTCTTCTACTTGGGAGTGCTCAAGTAAATCCCAGGCAACCCGTTCAGGGAAAATGCCCCTCCGGCCAACATGGCCAAGTTGCTCATGATGCGCCAAAAGGTTTGTTTACTCCTCTATCCAGCAGGTCACTGATAACGTTTCCAGATCCAAACTACGAATCGTCGACGGCGTAGTCCGTCTAATTCGCGTCCTCCACTTCGTCCTCTCAACCAGAACTTACCCCGGAAGCCTTCGCCGTGGACCCGTATAAGCAAGGCGTTTCGCAACAAACAGTACTACTAATTCGTCCATACCCCCATACCTTGGATTCTAACTTGTACCATCACCCTCATACCGCTTTCTTGTTTGGATGATATAGGTTAAGTTAACGGTTGTAAACCTTATACTAGATACAAATCGACTTTTCACAAAAATCGCGAGCTACGGTCTGTCGCTACAGTCGCCAAAACGCTCGCCTGGTGCTTGACTGGTCTCCGAGCATCACCAGGTTTCTTGACACCCGATGAAGTTGAGGCTGTTGGTTTGACACTCGGGCGATGGGCTGTGACTGCTGTGCTGCCTGAAGCACGTCCAGTTCCCGCGTTTCGCGACGAGCGAGCTTCATTCTTGTGCCATTTGCTCAGTCGCTCCTCATTGCGCGCGTCCGTGCTTGGCCGTTTTTGTGGCTAGAGATCGGTTCGTTAGCTAATGCGCATCACGAAATGAGATCAATCTTACCCTCCGCGCGATTGACACAATTTTAGTCTGTGTTTCCTCATCGTCCTCCAAGTGTCTGTCGATCCAAGAAATGTCCTCCGCATCCATTGAAGGCAGCTGACGCAAATTTTAAGCACACGAAACAGCTCACAATGGCAAAAAAAATTACCTCGTCAAATTCCCCATTCCGAGCCATCTCCTGGGCGCGTCTCCGGACTTCGGCTGTTGTTACAATTTCTTGCTCTTCTTCGCCCTCTCCTTCCTCCTCATAATTGGCCATCGGAATGTCTTCGGGAAGGGGCTGGGATTCTCCCTGCAATAAATAGGCAAATTCGGGTTCGTCACCATGCTTCAAATCGTCTGCATATACTTGGAAGAACGGCACAGTGGAAGGGTTGTTAGCTACAAAAAACGGTGAGCAATGAGGTATGCTCTTTCCCTCAAGTCCCAACTTACCGAGGTCTTTGATGTCGCCACGGTCGATACGAACTTCGCCCATACCTCGCCGCATTCGCTTCGCTCGGAAGTCCTCGATATCGTCGTCGTCGTCACTATCATCAAGCCCGACACCAATGCGCCGCTTTTTGCGCAATTGACCGTGAACTGCAGCCTGATGAAGCTTCTCGATTTCAAGGTCGTCTTGATGCTGATGCTCCTGGAACTTTTCGATAACAGCTGCTGTCGCCATGGTGTTTTCATCCATTTCCTGGTCGTCTACTAGTGTTTGCAGAGACTGGTCTTGGTCTTCATCGTCTTCCTCTTCTTCTCCATCCCCAGAGCGTCGAAATATTACTTCGTCATCATCAGATTCCTCTGCCTCACCCTCGATGAATTCTGACTTTTGCAGCGGTTTCTTCTCCTTGCGCGACGTGGTCTTTCCCTGAAGCACATCAAAGACATTGACCGAGGACTTCAATGTGGGACTGTCAGGTGGGCTGAATACAGGTCGTTGACCCTTGACCAGCCGCCTTCGAGGAGAAGGTACAGGAGATTCTGGACTTTCCAGGTCGCCAGGCTTGAGTGATAACGTTCTCAAGGGAATTCGCAGTGACGTCGGATCCTGTCTAGATGAAGAAGTGGAGCCTGGTTGTGTTTGAGGTTGAATGTGAGATAGAGATGGCGAAAGCTGAGCAGAGGAGTCCCAGACCGGCGATGAAGGTTGGTACAATTCTGGTTCCTCTTCACCGTCAGGTCGCGTCTGAGTGAGAAATCTGCCACTCATTTAGTGGGCAGAATTGGCAATATGAACAAATATTTACCCATTCTCATCCACGTATAATTGTGGCTGTCTGTTCTCCGTGTTCTTGTTGGCCGCTTGCAACAAATATTCCTGTTCCTTCGCAAAGATCGTGTCCGCTTTCTCTCGAAGACGGTCTCCGACCTCGAATGCAGGCTGCAACTCGACATCCTGAGTGAGACCGAACACTGCAGGTTTCCGAAGTTGATCAAACAGTGACTGGGAGACATTTGTCAGCGCATTGGTGATAAGATAACGTGATCCACAAACCTTATCTCGAAACGACGCTCCTCGACTTTCGCTTTGTCGTTGTGGCTGCTGCTCTGATCCAGCCTCGAACAAATCAGAGAAGCCTGGCTGTAACACCGTTGGTTTCGTCACTGAATCGTCATCTGAAAACTGCGAGAAGCCTTCAATCGACTTCAACTTCGCCCCAAACGGTTCTGGTTCCAATGTTGGGCGAAGAGTAAGTTCGGGTGTGCCAGGCTGAGTCGACGTTGGCGATGATCGTTTTAGGCGTTCCGCAAACTGCAAGTTGTGTGAAGCAGGCTCCGAAATAAACAGATCTTCGTCTGACGACAATCTGGTTAAAGCTCTCCTGTTATCCGGTCGCACATTCTCGGCGTTTTCGTTTTCGTCCTCAGCTACATCGCCAGGAGACATCGACATCCTCCGACTAAACCCTTCTTCAAGACCAAGTAATGAGCTTTGTCGGCCAACGAGTTTAGGTCGCAGCAATGAACCCAGAGGCTGTCGTCGGATACCTTCATTCTCCTTGTCGGCAGTTGGGTCAAACATGGACATTCCGTCGTTTTCTTTGTCTCCTTGATCATTCTCCTGCTCGTCGTCGGAGTCTATGACTAGTCGCTTGGATCGACCTTTGGCAGTTTGAATTGGTGCTTCGTCGTTGTCTTCTTCTTCTTCATTCTCTTCCACCATCGTAATGTCAGCATCGCCAGCGTCCTCCTGCCAGTCTTCATCGTCGCTATCGTCGTCATCTCCGTCATTTGGAGCGTGGTCAAGTTGCATCCTTGCCTCCCGAGCTTCAGCAGTGATCTTGCCCCTCTCTGCAATCGCTTTAATGGCTTCATCCATCATCACACTGTTCTGCACGGCACTAGCACCGGTAGTCATGACAGTCCCTCCACGCCTCGCCCACTCATCCTCTTTCTCGTTGACAATGCTTGCCGTATCTCGCTGAACTTGTCTCTTCAAGTCTTTCATCACTTGGTCCCGCATTTGAGTTATGCCTCTGCTGCCACTTGCACGTCCGAATTCGCCGATCAGCATTTGCCGTTTGCGAGCCTCACTCAGTCGTGGTTTCTTCTCCAACGACGACGACGACTTGGGTTTGGGCTGGACGATTAAATCGTCGTCATCGTCGTCCAGATGCTGAGGAGGAGGAGCGGTTCGTTGTTGCGCAACAAGCATTGCCTTCTTGTCTGCCAATTCCTGCTGTCTTTGAGCTCGTTCATATCCTTGCTTGGCTTCTGTCAGCAAAATAGACGCATCCGGGAGATCGTCATCTGAATCGTCCAATGGGGGCAAATCGCTTGACTTCCGTTGAGGCTCGGGCGCAAGGAAAGGAGGCGGCGCAACACTCTGGTCCTCATTGCGAGGAATAGGAATTGGGGGAGGCTGAGGAGATGAAGAAAAGTTGGTGATGGGATCGTCCAACGACGCAGTCCGCCTGAAAAAGTCTCAATACATCGCAGGCATAACGCACAACGCCACCTACCCAAGTGCGCTCAACCCTGGATTTGTCAGCCCCTGGAAAAGATTGCTCATGGTATAACGAGCAGGCTTCTCCACTCGTTGCAGACCAGTCTTAGTCTCGGCAGCAATGCGGCCACGTTCTCGTCTAGTTTCATCTAGCTCTTTCTTGGTTGGAGCCTAGAAAATCGTAAGCAACAAGGCCTGCAAAAATAAAACTGATTTACCTTGATTTTCGGCTTTTTGCTGCTTCCCTCCGGCGCAACTTTCCTTGTATCGGCTCTGAAGGCCAAAGGTGCGCGCGAATTTACCGGTTTGGCCTTGGGTTTCGGTTTTGAGCCAACGGATAAACGCTCAGGCAGTTCATCATCCGAAGTCGGTGGCGTTGAAGAGCGTCGAGATTTGGGCGTATGGATGGGGTGCTTTGCTGGTGACGTCTGGTTTTCCGCATCAGAGTCGTCATCAGAAAAGGCCACCCGATTTGAGGTGTCTCTGTGAAGGAAAGTGGAAGGGGGGGAATGTCGCTCGGGATTGGGAGAAGAGGCATGGGTATCCTGGATGGGAGAGGTGGTGGTGTCGTCTTTTTTCTCCACTACAGGTTGGGGCGCGGGCTGAGATTCTTCTTCGCTGTCGTACTGAGCGTCTATGGCCGCCAAAGCACTGCGTATACTGCTCCCTCCTCTGTACTTGAACAACGCGTCGCTGGCTCCGTCATCAGCTGGCGAGGGCGACCTGCGCCTCGTGAATCGATTCTAGTGGGGTATTAGACAAAAGTAGGACCTGGCGAGGAAGCTGCTCACCAGAGGAGGGGTCGAGGACCTAGTGGGAACAATAACTGTCTCTACTAGGGCAAGCTCCTTCGGCCTTCCATAGGTACGAATGACGCGTTTGGGGGGCGGTGGCGGGGCCATGGATGATGGAGGAGAAAGAGAGAGAAGAAGAAGGGAGTTCGCCACTGTCCACGTCCATTATGGGTCTAAAGGTGTTTGTTGTGGTGGGAGCACTGACTGACGCGTTGAGTCACACGCGTGACATACGCGATTGATCCGAATTCGGAAACCGGGCATTCATTTGTTAACCGCAGAATGAGCTTGTTTCCAAATAAAATACAGCTAGTAGTACAGAATGGGTCCGAGTGCTCATGAAAGACACAGTATCCAATAGTCAGGAGAGTCAACCGTCCGTTGTAGCCCGCAAAATTGCTGGTTTCCACCAAGAAGGTCGATTCGTCGCAGGGGTTCTGAGTCTGCAGCTATCCTGTCCATGCCACGGCAGCGAGAGTAATGTGTGAAGCGGGCAGCATCGAAATCTTCTGGTGATATTTCGGCCATTTCGTGCCTTGGGAGAGGCTGACACAGGTAACGATGGATTCCATGGAGGACATCGGCGACGGTGACGAAAGATGATTTCCTCGAAGATGGATGAATAGTGAGTCTGAAGCGGCTCACGAGGATGGTGACTGAGGGTAGCTGGACTGCGACTTCGGCCAGGATGCGAGGGTTGAGTGGGGGCAAAATATGTGCAGTTGGGTCGTTGAAGACATTGCATCGCAGTGATGACGCATTCTGGGCGTCGAGGGCCCAATGGAGAGTGCTCTCCTGAACGACGGGTAGTTGGGCATAACGCGTATAATTGAGAGGTGGTGGGGATGTGAATGGCAACACAGTTACAGGGTTGCTATACGCAGGCGAGCCGTAGTATGTTCGTGCTGGCATGATGTTGTTTGTCGTCGCGCTAAGAAGCGACGACGGTGAGGGAGTAGTGGTTGATTTCGAATGGGCAGAGGTTGGAGGTAAGTCATCTCAAAGTCGTTATCTTTATACCTTCTTTGGAACAAGGTCAATCTCGGCTGCGGGGTTGGTGACCGGCGTGACATGTCGTCAAGCTGACTCGAAAAGCAAAGAGAGCGGCAACTTGCTCGTTACTGACTGCGACACAACTGCGCACGCAGTAGGCTTGTTGTCCTAGTGGACATCTATCTCGTAGTTGGTTCTAGCAGGCTGCGGACTGTCGCTCTCTGCGTTCACCAACTCTGAGCGTCTATTTAAGCGCCTCTTACCCGAGTCATGCAACGTCAGGACAGACCTTGCTGGAACTTGGGAGAAGTTAATGAGGACACGTTGCCCATAATCAAGTATGACACGCATAAATTAGACTAGAAAGCTGACAGTAACCACAATATTACTCCACCGTCTCTGGCCCCAGCATAACAGTCTCAAGTACACTCTTGCAAGCTGTGCCCAATAAGAGGTGGACTTGCTCTTGTCCTGAATAGAACCACGTGCAGAGCGCAATCATAACTAGAGCCGTCGGTCAGGTATTGCTTTGAACGCATTTTGGATAAATCCACGTACAATAGAACGACAACATGGCAAACCCTTCCGCCCAGTTTGTCTTCGCATCGGCCGTGACATAATTCACAATGAAACATGCTCCAATGAGGAGTGCAACCTCGAAAAGGTCGAAGAGTAATGACATTGGTCGATCGGTCCACCAGCCCAAGAGTACGATGAAGGGCATCCAGAACAGAATGAATTGGATACTCAGGTCAATGGGACGAGCGTTCGCAAGTTGGCCCTGTGAAGAGTTCAACTGAAGATCGTGATCAGGCTAGACCGATACTCACAGGTGGGGCATGTATCCCACGGAAATACTGAATCCAGCTGCGGAGGAAGAAGAGAATTGCAAGGAAGCCGTCCCCAGAGAAGGAAACCAATGGCAAGACAACAAGACCAAAGAATCTGCAAGTTGATTAGCTTCTTGGGTTGACGATTCAGATGAGATTTGTGCGCACTCTTCTTGAATTCCACCCGCTTCTCGAACAAATTCGATACTATCGACCTTTGAATAGTTGTAAGAAGGTAGAGGCGGTTCAAGTGAGTAATACCAACCAGCCACTCGGCAGTTGCAGCCATGATACCAACAGTGATCGCAATGATCGCAATACACACATACTGGTTGACTTCCGGCTCTTGCTCTTCTCTCTCCTTTGCGCGATCGCGAAGCGCTTCGGGAGCGAGCTTGTGATCAGCCAAAGTGACATTTTCGCCTGGTGGATTGTGCAAGAAGATGCGGGAGCAGACATAACTAGAGCAGGGTAAGCGAATTAACAAGACTAGATGGGCGATGCTCACACTCCGAGGAGGATAAATGCGAGACCACGGCTCATTTGGAGTAGCATCCTGCGCGTCGTATCATTTACAAGGGACTCGGCAAGTTGTTCGGCGTTCACGGGGATAACGCCCCGATCAAGAGCCGCAAAGAAACTAGCGGGTAAGAGAAGTGTGAGGACGCTTGGGATCCCGATCAGACACTGGCCATAGAACTATAGAGAACCACATACCCGATAGTCAGTAAAGATTGATTTAGCTGCGTGATGTGCGGATGCAAGTCTTGCTCCACAATTCGTGCACCGCCAGTGACGAAAGCTACTCCGGGTACAAGCAGCAAATGTAACACAACGACTCCAATGATTGTGCTCTGCAGGAGACGAAGTTCGCATTTCTTGAGGAGGATAATAGCCAATGTTGCTTCCACAGTGCTGTAGGAATTAAATCGGCTGTCGTGAAGGTGCCGAAGCATTGACATACTTGTTGAGCGTGATGACTAGCAATTCCCCCAAATCTTCACCTAAATAAAAGGCCATTTGCTCGCCACCTGAGAGGACGTGGTCAGCGTAAGCAAGCAATACATAACCAAGGAGGAATCACAGTAGTCGAACAGTTTTTCGAGTGGTATGATCGCCAGGAAACACATAATGAAGGTGAGGACGTATGGAAAGGTCTCTTCTGGATGCTCTGGGTCTTTTTCGTTGTAGAAGTGGGCCACCCATGCTATGGGGATGAAGATAATGAGAATATTCAGCCCTATCGGTAACGGTGAGCGAACGCTAATAAGTGGGAGATAACGCGACGAACAGGATGAGAACGCGACAGCCTTCAGCGACTCAGAGATGCCGACTCGTCTTTTGCCTTTTCGTAGCCAACGGTCAACAAGGTTTGTCGGACTTTGCTTCAGGACCATCTCAGAGGCCACTGTGGACGTGTTCTGCTGCTCTTCATCACCAGTGCGAGTGCGGGAGAAACGTCGTAGAGCAATAGAAGCAGATTCAGCCATGGTGATTGACGGTCGGAGCCAAGGTCAAGCCTCGTGTGTGCCGCGAGCCGTGAAGAAAGTGAAGGGTGAACGAAAACGGGAGAGAAAGAGGACGGTGCTATATTAGATTCGCCAAGCCAAGTGCCCTGCCATCCCCTGATCACGGGCGCGTTTTGAACTGTTGGCTGGAATCAATGGAGTTGTCCACAGAACTTCTTATTTAGGACATTTTACCGCCATCACTTCCACTTTGGGGCAGTACTCGCCGTGAAAAGGCAAAAATACTGGCATAAGAAAAATTGACCTCGGTCGGCGCCGATCGTTAATCAAGCGTTCCAACGACTTGCCAACAACGTTGCGCGCGCCGACATGGCGCGCCGACACGCTCATTCTCATCCGCCGATGTAGCTACTCGACAAAGGCTCCCTTTCGGAAGTTTTGCTTTGGATCTTGGAACCTTGACTCCTACGGTACACCGAAAAAAAAGTAATATTCGCATTGCAAGATCGTCAGCATAAGCATCATTTATGTCGTCTTCTCAGCAACCTTGGTCTCTACGACCTCTGCGGGCTGCACGTGGCCCGCTTCGTCCATTCGAGCACTAAAAAAATCAGAACACGACCAGGTGACTAAAAGAAAACACGCGTACATGGCCTCGTCCGCGATATCTGTGGTGTCCTTGACCCGCAAATATATCATGGGGAGAGAAAACAGCATCCCTGCGGCACAGAGGGCCCAGGTAGATGCAAACATGTTCCTGAAACTGGAGCAGATGGTCAGTGCACGATACCACCCACTTCAGCGCTATTACTTACGGAACTTTAACAGCGTCTGCACGCCATGAGCCTGCAGAGCCTGCAGACTGGATAGCCTTGTCTAATCACCTTTATTGGTAAAGTGTTCGCAGGTAAATATCATAGACCCACAGAATCCAGTGAAGTACGCAAGCTTGCTGGGGTCGTTGGACATGGCACCCATCATCCAGTAGACGCAGGTTTGCCACATAGCGTCGAGTAGACCGAAAAAGATGTACAAGAAGCTAGGCAAGTCATGAGAAAGGTGGAAAAGACAAGCGATCCGCTTACACTCGGCCAACATATCGCTTCTCAGAGAAGTCAATGCGTTTAGTGGGATCAGTGACAATGGGAGAGTCGCGCTCATATTGACTGTGAACATATATAAGAGCGTTGTCTCTCCAAAAAGAGAATATGCTTACATCACGTAGTGGTATGACCATCCATGCACGACGAAGACCATGACGAAAACGATCGCCCAACCGATGAATGCACGAGTACGGCGGCTCACGCCTTTGCGGTCAAGGACGAAGGCCATGATTAAAGAGCCAACAATTTGCGATGACCAGTAAAGCATACTGTTCAATGAACGTGTGCGAATGTTGAATAAAGCACCTGGGTTACTGTAAGCGCACGATGCCGTTGAGCAGAGTATAGGAGACCGTTGAAATCATTGAATTGCCAGGCATAGAACCAGTTTGATGCGAAGAACATGGGGAAGAGTAGAATGATCATTGGGTCGGTCTTGAGAGCGACATAGAGACCAATGAACTCCACTTTCCATGACGGATTGAGGGGGATCGACAATCTAGTGCCATCGGTACGGATGACATTGCGAGGGTTGGTCATGAAGAAGGGAATCACGGCCCCGATCAAAGTCAAAATGAGGAAAGCAATCTGGTCTAGAAGTTAGATGTGGGTTGAGTATAGAATGAGAGGGCACACATATGTTCCATTGGTAACTGGGGTTAGACTGTCAGAACATGCATATGGCTTCAATCGTCAGACGCACCATTTCCGGCCTGAGGTGATAGTAAAATTAGATCATGCGCTGGCAAGACTGTTGCGGAACAACGCACCGGGTTGTGGAAGTTTGTGCCGAAGGCGATAGCAGCCCCGAGGACACCTCCAAGATTGAAGATAGCCCAAAATATGGCGATGAACTTGGCCTTTTCGCCCTCTGTTGGATACGCCAGCATAAGGGAACCCTGCGCTGTCCAAAGCAAGCCAGCGCAAACACCCAGAATGGCTCCAGTTGCAATGGCGAAGTCAGTAGCGCGTGTGCTATGAGGATGAATGTTGATGGTCCTGTTGTGTTCATGGCTCGCAACAATCTCTGCACAATATCGAGTTGACGTACAAGAAACCACCAATGTAGAGGCAGTAGCTTGTGAAACAGGTTCAAAATCGATATCAGGCCATGGAAACCCGACTCACCCGAGAGTGCCAAGTTGAAGGGTGCGGATAGCGCCGATTCTGTTGTTGATAGTGCTAACCGGAGTTTTAGCGACTGGAGTCTGGAACGGGAACGGGTAAAGCAAAAGTGTTTACCCGGCGAAGAACGACATAACCTACGGGTAAACGATCAGCGGGAATAGCATGGAGCAAGGAGACGTACAGCAAAAGTCGAGTACAGCGCGACATTGCTGTTATCGGCTGGAAGAGCATTAAGAGATTGGTTCAAAAGACGCACAATGAGAATTTTACCTGTCTTTGCATCTTCTTGACCACCACCGCCAATTCCACTCAGGGAATTGAAGAGACCAGGGCACATGAAGCAGACGAAGCCAACCATCGCTACCTGTGTTGCTGGGTGCGAGTAAAAGCCACGAAAACCCTTTGGACGCTCCGTATACTCGGGAGGAGCCGAGCCAGAGCCAGAGTCGCTGGTGGTGTAATCCTTCTCGATGTCAGACATTGTGGTCCTAGACGTGGTCGAGGGAGAGGTTGAGAGCCAACGCAGATCCGCCAGGACATATCGAGGTTTTAAAGGCAGAGTTTGGCCGACTCTCACGCGATTCACTCCATTGATCAAACTCATCAAAGAAGCAACAAAGAAGTCGATTCAACAATCTTTCACTCTGGCCACACGACTGCCTTCGAAGCACCAGAATTCTCCGTCAACCACTAGTAAGAAGAGGTCAAGGTAAGCAATAATGAATGCCCCCGGTGTCGTCCAACAGCGAAAGCGAAAAATGAGAAATTGCACCAAAAATACTGTACTAGTACTACAGGCACTTTAGTCACCGCTCCAACAGCAATATGATTTGGCCGCATGACTACGAGTACCATACAATTCGCCAAATCGAGCCGAGCTTCCGCAAGTTGGACACTGAGAAGGCCCAGAACAGAAAGACGCGTACCATGCGGGTGACTGCCTCGATAACGACTAAAAGTGAGGGTGTTGATCGTGTGCCTTTGGAACACATTGGTTTTTAATATGGACTTGCCCGGTAGAGTCTAGTTGCAATGCGGTTGGTTGACCACCGTTTTTGCGTGACATGTCACGATCACATTTTGATCCGTGACCTACACTGTGTGTACAAAACCAGAGTATGAGCAACGATGTGGTCCTCGCTGTTTTTGGTCATCTCAAGAGATGGTCTGCTGGAGGCGAAGCCGGTCTGTGCGTAATAGTTTTCTCTCCTTCTACTCCCATTCATAGCCCATAGCCGCACCCTCATTCTCACCCTACACTCCGAACCAAGAAGTGTTGACCGGCTCGAGTCCTGTTTTGAGACGCTTATAAATGCCGTTCTCAAGGCAGACTCGCCCAAGCATCCCATTTCTGCTTCCACTTTCGTATCTTTCGTCAAATCCGTTGTCGACGCACTTCCTTCCTCGTCCTCAAATACGTCACCCATAGCTGTCGCGTTTGGTACATTGGTGGTAGATACTCTTTGGTCGATCGACTCGAACCTGGAAGATAGGCTTTATGATATCAAAGCCGTCATTGCCAACTGCGGAGAAAGTCCAACAGGTCAATTGGCCACGACTCTCGCGCAGGCCAAAAGGGCAAAACAAGCGGTTGAAAGCGACAAGGAAATTATCGTCAACGTGGTCAGGCAACTAGTGGTGCGTCGCATCGCGACAGGCACATTATATTCTAACGCGTTCTCAATAGGAACTAGGCATCGCAGCGGGACCACAATGTGTACAAATGCTCGACACATCCGTTTCTTCCAGCGTCGGGTTTGTCGCGGACAAAAACTTCTTCGATAAGAAGGAGATCAGGACTCGTACTGGTTTATTGTGCGTCGTAGTCTTTCGACAAGAAGTGCTGGGTCTTCAACTATTTCTAGTTACAAGCAGAACAAGTTCAACTTGCTACGAGAACAATCCGAGGGTTACAGCAAGCTTACGGCTGAGCTTACCAGCAGTCTTGGGCCCGCTCACTCATCCATTACTGGCCTACCGATTGAATCTTATGAAGCCATTCACCAAAGAGCTCGTCCTGTTTGGGAGAAGGTCATCAGTCTTGTTGGCTACTTTGACTTAGATCCCAACCGAGCGTTGGATATTATCATCGACGTTCTTTCGGTGCATCTCGTCACACACCATACTTTCTTCTTGGCTTTACTTTCGTTTTCTCCATGGGCTGCTTCATACCAGCGACCCAGTGACGGAGAGGGACTTATGTCTGTTGATATTCCTCCGGGTGCTTTCAAAGGCAAGACTTTTGACGAAATTCTTTCTCTGGTGGACACGCAGCCAATTGAGTTGCATGCCAATGGACCGAGGGTGATGGCGCAAGTGATCGGGTTTAAATTTGCCTATTATCAGGTATTTTCTCGTCGTTGTTTCGTGATTATTAACTGACACTTGCAGGCCTCCGAAGCTACAGAAACAACGCCCAAGAACCTATATCTGACAGCTGCGATTCTCATCCGAGAAGGCTTCATAACATTGGAAGATCTCTATCCACATGTAAGAACTTCATCGTTCGAGGTTGACCGACCTGAAAGTATTTCAAGCTTTCTCCTAATGATGACAACATGGAAGAAGCTCACAAAGCCTATCTTGCGGACGTCGACATCAGAATTGCGAATAGGAAGTTGAATGCACTGGCCATGGCTGGTGCCCTTACTTCAGAAGGAGGACCGGCGAGCTCGCCGGCGAAACCAGATCCTTCTCCCGAGACCAAAAAAAGCAACGGAGACCAAACAAATTGTGAACCAAAAGGCTGGGCTCTTGTCGGCGCTTTTGGCCGTTGGCGCTTTGAAGCCTGCCGTCTCTCTGATGTCGAAATTCCCCTGGTTTATTGACGCACATCCTGAGATCGGCGATCTCATGTTGCGTATTCTCAACCTTTCTATTGGACCGCTCTACGACGCGCATCTCGCTGTAAAGGACAGAAACCGGAGTTTTACTCAGCCTCGAGCACGATATGGAACCAGCAGTGTTGTACTACCCCCTCCTCGCAAACCAATGCTCACCATGTGGGCTCCGACGCCACCTTGCACAAGCACTCACGATTTCGTCTTCTTCTTTCCGCAGTGGCGAGATCGTGTGCCCATTTGCTCCTCGCTCGATGACCTTGTTGATGTTATCGAGCCCATGGTGGCTTTCGTCGGAGTCCATCTCTCGCGCGATTCTCTTTTCATGACCAAGCTATTGAGGCTTGGCCGATTTCATGTCCTTTCAACGGTAATCCCATTTTCAAGAGAAGGCTTTCACCCTGAATATGTACTCAGATACCGACCGACCCTGACACGAAGCGAATCATTGCAGAAGCCGACCCAGAAGACCCGATTTTGAGGTTCTGGTTTACTATGCTTCGCAAGTTCCTACTCCCGGCATTGTCCCTTGTCAGAGGCAACGCCATATGCACAGTTGAAGTCTGGAATATCATGCGCCATTTCGAAACCACAGCGCGATGGCGACTCTACGGCGAATGGCGATCAACGACCTACACCTCACATCCTGAGCTTCGTATACGGCAGGCTCAAGTAGAGCGAGACTCGAGCGATGTCATGAAGCGTCTATCACTGCAAACCTTTGACGCTTTGTCGGGCACTGTTGCGAAGCTGGCCCATGCCAACCCCTGTCTCTTCTTCAAGGTTGCTGTTGGTCAAATCATGTCGTACGATAATATGGCCAATCCTCTCGTTCAAGCATTGCGTTATGTCACCAACATGGGCTTCGACGTGCTTGTATTCATCATACTCGACTTCCTTGCCAACCCTCATAAGGAGCGAGTCAAGTCAGATGGTGTCAATATCAGCGACTGGTTACAGAGTGAGTGTGATCCTCTCGACTTGATTATTAATACCCATCATTTCCAGGTCTTGCTTCGTTCACAGGCATGCTATTCAGGCGGTACAGTGCAGACCTCACTCCGGTCTTGAAATATATCGTCAATCAGCTGCACAATGGACAGACGAGTGAGATTGTGGTGTTGCGTGAACTAATCTGGAAAATGGCTGGCATCGAACCGCTGCCCAGTCTGTCGGAAAACCAGATTGTTTGCATGGGCGGTGGGCCCATCTTACGTATCGAGGCGATTGCTTCCTCCACTCGCGGAGCCAGACTGGATCCTGGTGAGGCAGTTTACAAAGGACCACAACGACTAGGCCGAACTCTACTGGAGTCCGACCTCGCTTTCCCTTTGCTTGTTCAAGTCGCACAGCAGCGTGATTCTTGCGTCTTCAAAGCCCCAGATGCCCACCTCAAGTCTTTGGCTAGTCTGTTTGATGCTGTGTGTATCTATGATTGCTCCTGACTAACTTGTTGATCCCTTTCTGTTAGACACATGGAGTTTTGCTACAATACATCGAACTACTCACGTCGGCTTCAGTAGTGGCTCCTCAGGACTACGCTAATAAAGTTGTGCCTTCCCTCGGCGATCTGGGAGAACTTTACGGAATATGCGCGCCAATATCTATGCATATAGTCCGCCCTGTCCTCAACGCCAAGTTACTCGTTCGTCTAGTTTTCAGTCGCTTTACATTGTTGGCTTAACTCGATTCGAGATTTCTGCGGAGTCGCAGCAAGAGCAAGAACGCATCGCTAATACCGAAGCCGAAAAGCGGCTTAAGGCAGCACTCACTGCCAAGAAACCACAGGCTTCGACTTCGCGCATGGCGTCACCCGGGGCTGGCACTCCGGTTCCTGACCCATCCACCGAAGCCAAACCTCAAGACGCCGGTCAAAAAGAAGATGTTTCAATGGAGATCGCAACGGCAGTACCGGAGGTAATAGTCGGAAATTCATTCACTGGGTTCGGGCTAAGTCCATACAGAGCCCTTGGCTTCCTGAGCTTGTCCCTTTGTTCGAGGATGTTAAACGGATTGCGCCAGCAAATGCCTACGACATCGTTGGGTGCGTATGAGTGCGAGGTAATTAACTGATTAATAATCGTGTTCTAGCCCTGCGTTCTATGTGTCTTTCTGGCAAATGTCATCATACGACATTGCCCCGCCAGTAACCAAATACGAAGAGCACAACAAAATTCTGAAAGAGCTCAGCGCCATGGAGGACACAAAATATAATCAGGCAGACCGTTCTCCAGACCGGAATATTCGGGTAACAGCTGCCTCCCATCGCCATCGGCGAGATCGCTACAACCAATTCCTCAATTCTTTGGCACAAGAGCTGAAGCAACAGACGTTGTTGCGTGCTTTTACCATCAAACGTTTGGCTCGTGAGAAGGCCCACTGGTTCGCTCATGGTATCTACTTTCAATGCAAGTCTCAACGTGCACTCAAATGCCTTCAGCGCCAAAGCCCACAGTCCTTGTGGGTGCGATCATCGAACACTGCATCCAACCAAGATGTCTCTTGTCGCCTATGGATGCAGACTACTGCTACCAGATCATTAAAATCCTGCACGTCCTTGGCACACCCGGTTTCTATACTCTCCAATGCTACAATAAGGTGGGGAGTAGCCTTTGTCCTGTGACAAAACTGAATCTTGTTCTAGATCCTGAGTGAACAGATTCGGGTGGTCCTCTTCTCTTGCAGCGAATACGAGGCTCGGAATTATGGTACGTCACTTCTTGACTTCATCTTTATCATCTTAGCTCTCCCAAGGTATATTTCTGCGCGGAGTCTTGTCCGATATCCACAAGTGGTATGGCGACGAGTCGCTTTACAACGCCGACAATCAGACAGTCACTCGAGGAACAGTCGTTTATAACCCAGGCTTCGTTCAAAAGTGGACTGGTGAAATCGCACCATTGGATCTCTTACCATGGGACAGCGGCTTCAGAAGGATCGTGAGAAAATGGCACACACGATTGGCGAAGGTGTGTTGCGTTTCAAAAACTTGACCGTTCTAATTGTTAGAACATGGCGGACTGCATCAAGACGGGAGAGTTCATGCGAATCTACAATGCCATTGTTATATTGAAGGAGATACTGAACGTCTTTCCGCTGGCCACTGTCTCAAGCGAGCCAGGTACGACGCTCATTCAAACAATGGAAAAGTTCTTGGAGACGGAGGAGAGGGACAACTTGAAGGTTCTAGGACGATCGTGAGTATCAACCTCTTTTCGGGTCTCTTCAATTGATCCATCCGTCATCAAGCTATCACGATCAGCTTAAAAAGCGAGAAGCATTGTGGTCCAAGGCTTCAGCAAAAACCTCTACAAAGGCTGCTGCAACTGAGAAGTCTAAATCAACAACCGCTTCGAATGCGACCGGGGGGGTCAACATCGAGATCGTCGACCGTATCCGCTCCGTCCGCCCCCCGCGCCCAACTCGCTTCAGTTGCAACACCACCTCCTGCTGCTGAGAAGCCGATTCCAACTGCGCCTTCAACCAACTCGGCTTTCGCCAAGTATGTTTACCATTTCCACCATTGTTTACTGCTTAGGTTACAATCTAGTATACAACGCCCGCCCGTTGTTAAACGCGTTCGTGATGCTGCTGGGTCCAACACAGATGATTCCACTCCCAAGTCCACCAACTCGCGATATAACAGCCCCGGAGCACCAGCGAACAATGCAAATAAGGACGTAACAATGGGACAAGCTATGGCCCCGCCTGTTGCTCCTAGTCAAACCCAGTCCGCCCAAGAGTTGCGCGAAACGGCGAAGCAGACAATGGGCAGAAAAGACGACGAGAAGGAAAAACGATCGCAAAATGGATCAAGAGCATCTTCTCCTCGGCGGAAATCGCTGTCTCCCTCTAGCCGACCAGGGACACGCAACCATAGCTCGGAAAGACGAGTGTCGACTACGGGTTCTGATGATAAGCAACACACCTCACCTTTAACGCGCCGAGACAGTCTTACCCATCGAGCTCGGGACCGAGACGAACGCGACAAGGATCGTCGACATGAACGTGACAGACGTGACGAACGTGATCGTCATCGACGGGATCCCCCAGCAGCGGAAGAAAAATCACTGCCGAATCGACCTGCAAGGACTAGTGATGATACTTTAGGTAAACGCCGTAGACCCACCGACGACGAGGTATGAGACTCTTTTCAACGAATGAAACTGAGATCAACACATCTGTGTAGTCCGATCGACCAGGGTCAAAACGCGCTGCTCGAAGGGACGGTCATCGCGATGACCGGACCCGCCGGCCCGGAGACAAGGAAGGTTATGACAGGCAGCCTGACCGTCGAAGGAGGGACCGTGAAGGGTCCGATAACGACTCGGTATCGGAATTTTCATGCGATTGATTCTAGGCTGACACTTTTTAGACAGGGGACAAACGAGGGTCAGATGGACCATCGTCGAAACCTTTACCTCTGTCAACACCTTCTGGACCACGTGCTATGTCGTCGAATGACCTTTCCAGGCCAACACCAGGCAAGAGCAATGAGGCACGCGAACGTATGTCCACCAGCGTGTCGGCACCCGGGTTCAACAATAAACCGCCGTCTCCAAGAGAACAGTTCAGTCGTGACTCCCTTCAATCACGGTTGTCAGAACCTCACCGGGGTGATCCAAGCTCAATGAGAAGGAATGATGATAGAGACAGCAGGAAAAGAGCCACGCCTGGTCAGTTGTGATTTCTCCATACTATAATAGTAGTTCATTGACGCTTTCCCTAAGACGGAGAAACCGATGGTGCAACGAATGAAGGAGCAGTCGTAGGCAAACGGCAGAGAGTGATGCGCAGTCGATATGGTGCGACCCATAGCGAGTTTGCCAAACGGACACTTCCGGTTGACCGAAAACGGGATCCATAAGTGAACGTGTCAGTCATTAGAGAAATCTGTCTACGGAGGACGGTTGCTACAATATCATCAGCGAGTTGAATCGCATTGATCCAAGTTCAGCGCCCTTTAACTAGAGTCAGGAATTCTTCGCGAGTCTTTTGCTGTGTTCTAAAGCAGCCCAGCATACAAGAGGTGACTGTGATAGAGCCCGGCTTTTGCACGCCTCGCATCGTCATGCAAAGATGGCTGGTCCAAGATAAGAAACGCGGTCACGGTCTATGACACAAGTACTCACGTCGCCTCCATTACCACCGCCACACCACGCGGCTGAATGGCTTCTTGAACCGCTATGGCAATTTGTTTGGTGAGTCGTTCTTGTACCTGAAGTCGGCGACTGAATGTCTCGGCAATACGAGCAAGTTTCGACAGCCCCAAGACAAGCTGATTATGACCGGGTATATAGGCGATGGCAATCTTAATGGAGTGTCAGTTGGGGACCAACAGTCAAAACACGGGACAGAACCTTTCCGGTGAATGGGACGAGGTGGTGCTCGCAAAGACTGGAGATGTCAATATCACGAACAAGAACCATTTCGTCGTGGTCCTCGGCAAAGACAGCGTTATTTAACACGTCTGAGACAAAGGAGTCAAAGGAAATGCGCTAATCGTAGCGCAGGCTGGCAGACCTGTGAGACGCTCTTCGTAGCCTTTTGTCATCCACATGACAGCTTGGGCATAGCGCTCTGGGGTTCGTTGCAAGCCCTCTCTGTCTGGATCTTCGCCGATGCATTCAAGTATTGTCCTGACTGCTGTAGCAATCTTCTTTTCGCGCTCAGCTCGCTCTTCGGGTGTGGCATTGAGCCGAGAGACTGTAGATTTGGCTGTGTCGCGTTAAGTGCTTGTTGCCGAAAAACCCCGTTTGGAGCGCACCCGGCCAACCCAGTCCATGTTCGTTCGGAGGAAGTGGTGAGCTTTGGGATGACCTTGGTTGAGGGGTAGATATGCCAGAGAGACCTTGAAAAGGAGTCGCCATTTTTGTGAAGCGAAAAGTGCCCGTGACTTCGCAACTGTCACGTCCAAAATCTTGGGACAGCTTGCCCAAATAGATGTCGTTTACATACCCTATGAGCTCTGTCCGTAACCGCCTCTTGCCCCACCCCCAATGCTCGCCCCGGAGCTGCGAGTAATGCGCCGACTCCTCAAGAGCAGTTTATTTCGCTTGACCTCCAAGTCGGTCCCCGTAAATTCAGCCTACGAAGTCTGGTCGGCCTCACGCTCGCTGCCCACCGGCGAAATTCTGGTCCCTGGGGCACACAGGACAGTCTCGTTGCTCAACATTAGACTTGCTGCCATAATTGTCTCGACGTGTGCTTTCGATTTCGTTCGTCGTCATCATACTTCTTCCCCCCCGACTTACGTCTTTTATAGTTTTCTCATATTTGGAGTCTCCATCCCCTCCGGACCACGCTCATGCTTTCGCTGAACGTGGTTCGGAGTGTTTTGCCTGCATTCCGGGGCTACTCCCAAGTGCGCACATTCATCTCCCAGTGCTTACAATAATCTCACCCATGCTATAGGCCCTCATAATCGACCAGTTGCAGCAGCTTGTGACCTCTGGCGACTTCACATGGTCCCGCTTAATAAACTTCCTTATGACGGACGTAGCTCGAGAGGTTGGTCGAAGGATATTGGAAGGAGTCTTGGAGACATACGCGTCGGTTTTTACCACTATCTCTACCCCCGCTTACATGAATCTCTGTAGAACTTCCAACGAAACAATCGTCATGGACTCCGCCAAATTTTTCGTTGAATATGCTCAGCTCGAACATCGAGTCCGCTTAGACATCCCGACGCTTCAAGACCCCCAAATCCGGGACTTATTGGCCGAATCGGACCTTTTCGCTCGTTCGTTTAGCGGAAGCGGAAGCTTCGGTTTATTGTCGCCTCTCGATTGCATTCACATCATCTCCCTGGCGACAGAGATTTTCTCTCATCTTCTCCTAATTCTCTCTCTCACCGGTGGACCGGTCCATTTTTGGGTCTTACTTCTTTCGCTCTTCTCCGTCACTCTACCCATCCTACTCACGTGGATTCGCTGCCCAGAAGTTCATTCGGATGACACTTTTACTCCCCGGGAAGCTCGTGCGGCCGACCGACAGGAGAAAATGAGAAATCTGGCGTATGATGAAGGTCATCGCCCTGAAATAGAACTCTTTGGTCTCGGCGACTGGATATTGAAGACCTGGGCAAGTGCAAGGAAGGTGGTTCTTGATTCCGAACACAGTCGACAACTGCAAGAATCCTCAATCCTTTCGAACCTCAATTTTTCTGATTTCTTCTTTGCGGTGCAAAATGTGGGTTTCCAAGGCTGCTGAGCTTAACCTTATGATTTTTTCCAAGATCCCTCTCGTTCTACTGCTCCAAACCTCTTCTGCATCGCTGGGTTCCTTGACTCTTTATCGAAGCTCGATACAGTCGGTGATTTTAGCCTCCAAAGGCTTAGTCGCGACGTGCCGCATGGTTTTCCAAGGCATATTTTTGATGTCTGCGTTCTGTGCAGCAAAGGATGTCAAGCCCCAACTGCAGCCCACCGAAGAAGATGCAGTTTGTTACCAGCCATGTCCTGAGGGTGCTCGGATTGAGGCTCGGTATGTGTCTAGTTAACAAAGCGATTTCTACTTGACGTAAACACAAAGTGGACTCTCGTATACGTATCCAGGGTGCCCAGAGCCTGCACTTAAGAACGTTAATTTCTCGCTTCGATCGGGAGAAACACTTGCCATCGTCGGTCACAACGGCTCTGGTGCGTTGGATTTGGGTTACAGGTCATGCTGTTTGTGAATTCACTTTAGGAAAATCAACACTGGCAAAGGTCCTCCTTCGAATTGGTATTTACTAATGCTCCAAACCAATCCGTTTCTGCTGATGATGATCCAAGTCGACTGCGAGGGGGACTTAATCGTCAACGGCACCTCCATCAGACGTTATGATCCATTCGATTTTCACCAGCATATGAGCGGCGTGTTCCAAAATTTTTCCAAGTTCAATTCAACGGTCAGGGAGAATGTGGGGTTCGGTCGCGTCGAAAAGATGAGCTCAAGGACCACTATTGAGTCTGCTATCCAGCTAGCAGAGGCGCAATCCCTCTTAAACTCCTTGCCGTATGGTCTTCGGACCGTTTTGGAGACACCGGGCTTCATGCAGTACACTGGATGCTCACCTGTCCGCCAACATGGCTTGTCTGGTGGCGAGGTAATATTATCTAATCTGATTTTTTACTTCCCAGCTGATGTGACGTTAATTAGTGGCAAAGGCTTTCGCTCGCCAGAGCGTTTATGAGGGCCAATGAACCACAAGTCGATTTATTGTTATTTGATGAGCCAGTAGGTGTTACTATACCGCTAGAAATAAAAATTAACTCGGGTTTTTTCTTTCTTGCAGACAGCTTCCCTCGATGCACTGGCTCAGAGTCTTATCTTTGATACGATTGACCGCATCTCCCGTTCTCCTACTACTGGGACCAGAACAAAGACCGTCATATTAATCACCCACCGCTTATCGCTGGCCCGGAGAGCGGACCGCGTGGCGCTGATGGAGAATGGGGTGCGCCAGTTTTAGGACATGTTGTCCTCGTCAACTAACTTGAAAACAGACCATCACCGAATTTGGATCCCACGAAGACTTACTCCAGAAGGACGGTGCATATGCCGCCTTGTACCGAGCCTCGCTCTAGATTTTGTAGAATTAAGTTAAGTCTAAGATTATTCTGTACATATTGATAATATTCACCGCATTGGTGTCCCTATCGATGAAGCTTGCTGGTCTGACCAATCCCGCGGATTCGGAACATACCGACCTATGAGTTCACACGATTGCCTGGTGAGCACACAACATTTCTCTCGTTCATAGATTCGAAGCACCATCTTACCTAAGGAAGTGCCTGAAGTACCTGTGCCTTGGTTTTGACACCGTTTTCACGAAAAAAAAAATACCTCAAACGCACTTCCCGTTTTGTGACGGGTGGGTGGGAGCTATATGATGACATGAATGTGGGTGCGCAAGAGTCACTGGCACGGACGACGATAAGGTCCCGTTATATATAGCTGCTTTATGGGGTATCGGCAGGATTCAGATGGCGATCTGGATGGAAGGAATGCTTCAAGCGACTAGCCGACATATTAGTCAGCGAGATTGTTGATAGTTGTCGATATCCACTTCTTCTCTCTGCTCCCTCACGTTCAGCGACAATGAGCGAGAAAGTTGACGGTAAAGAGTCGCCCAAGAGTCCTTCTCTGCAGGAATCTTTCCAGCACAACACCCCCGGGGACCTTTACCATGGCGAACACAAGCTGAAGCGCCAGCTAAAGAATCGTGGGTCCACTCAAGTTTGCACAAGCAATTCCTTTTTACCGTCCCTCGAGGCCATATTGCCATGATATCGATTGGCGGCGTAATCGGCACTGGTATTTCCTTTATTGTCAGCATCACCCAAGCCTTGGTTGACCATTTTTAGGGCTTTTCCTTGGCAGCGCCAATGGTTTGTTGCTTCAATCGCTTTCTCTGTGCAGGCAACTCACGATGCCTCAGCGTTGCGACACGGAGGTCCCGTTGGTATGTCTTGGGCCTCTAACCACGTCTATGAGTCTGAGGTTCTCTAGGCTTGGTACATTCTCCACGCGTTTGTTTCTTTCGGACTGTTTTAAAACTTTGCACTGGCAGTTACTTGGATATCTGGCTGTTGGCAGCATCACCTATTCTGGCACGTCGTCATTCAACTACGATCGTACCTGTTGACTTATGTCCTTCGCAGTCATGATCTCTCTCGGGGAAATGGTGGCCTACCTTCCCATCCCGGGTGCGTGATCGCGAGCATTTACTTCCGCTGTCGTGAATTGATTATCTTTAGGGGGTCATATCAAGCTTGCAGAGCGTTTCGTTGACCCGGCCTTGTCATTTACTATGGGATGGAATTACTGGTACAACTGGTCTGTATCCGGCCCATGATTTTGTTTTGTCGTCTGATCGTACTTTCAGGATTATTGTCTTGCCTGCAGAACTCAGCGCTGCCTCTGTTTTGATCGGCTACTGGTCAGATATCAATAGCGCGGTAGGTTTGAATTTTCTATGCGCTGATGGAGCTCAACGAGTCAATTACTAGGCCTGGATTACTATTATAATGGTATGGACGCTCTGGTGGTTCAAACCGCCACTCAACTCGCACAGGTCGTTGTGATTATCATTAACCTGTTTGGCGCCGCTGCATACGGCGAAGCCGAGTTCATATTCGCCTCTATTAAAGTCATCACTGTGTGTCTACCTAACCTTTTCACGAAACTTGCGCTCATCTTCCGTGTTAGATAACGGGCTTGATCATCCTCGGAATCGTGCTTGACCTCGGTGGAGGGCCGGACCACGATCGCTTGGGTTTCCGATTCTGGAAACATCCAGGTAGAGCATTATTGCCCCGCACTCCTCGTCTGACCCCCCTGAACCAGGACCCTTTGTCCAATATGATGGCATTGCTGGTGCTAAGGGTCGATTCCTCGGATGGTGGGCTGTAATGACGCAGGTCAGTCAGCTCACAAGTTTACTGCTGTTGTCATTAACAGTAACCTTGAACTTCAGGCCGCTTTCTCGTATATGTGAGTGGAACAATGATCTTGAACTCTCGATATGAACTCCTTGTTGTCCAGTGGTACCGAGATTGTCGCGGTGCGTTTATATGTTGCCAAATGCGGCCTATTTTCTCAACTTTGGTACAGATTGCTGCCGGTGAAGCCAAGAACCCCCGTCGCAATCTTCCCAAAGCCATCCGTCGGGTCTATATCCGGTAAGTAGCTTTCTCCATCATATGCATGACCTCCTCGCTTAAACAACAGCAGTATCCTCCTGTTCTACATTGGTAAAAAAAACGAAATATCTGACGTTGCTTAGGGCTCATTCCATTTAGGCGGAGGTGCGTTTGCTGCTCTAGCATTATATATTCATGATTCAAACCATCGTAGTCATCATCATTGGCCTTCTGGTACCCTCCAATGATCCGGGCCTCAACCTGTCGTCTGGAACTGCAGCCAGCTCTCCGTGAGCCCGTCTCTCACCGCCAGTCTAATAGTTAACTTGATACTGCTTCTTAGTTTCGTCATCGCTATCAAACGGTGAGCAGCTATTTGCAACTCAAAAATTATCTCAAACAGTGTAGTTCTGGTATCAAGGCGCTTCCATCGGTACGAGATTTGATGCTGGACGCGCCCACGTGACTCATATATGACATTCTTCAGATCATCAACGCTTGCTGTTTGCCCTCCATTTATCGCTCAATGGATTCACTCATCATCCTGCAGTGTTGACTTCGGCCTGGAGTGCTGGAAGCAGTGATCTTTACACCAGTTCTCGGGCTCTCTGTCCGTCTCAATAGCCTCCATCGACAGCATGACTGAGTTTTGTCTAGACGGTCTGGCTGCGTCTGGGAATGCCCCCAAGATTTTCTTGAAGACACTCCCTAATGGGCTTCCCATTGTCTCCATCATCTTCTGCTCCCTCTTGTAAGGCCAACCCACATTGCATTCTTGTCAACTCAAGAAATTCCAGCTCAACTCTGGCTTACATGGGTGTCACGAGTGGTTCTGGTAAAGTTTTTGGATGGTTCGCCAACATGACGTCTATCGCCGGATTGATGACATGGTTTGGGATCTCCCTAACCTACATTCGGTGTGTTTCTCCTTTCCCCAGGTAGTAGCAGCCTGAAGTCTCTAATGCCCCGCAGGTTCTACAAGGGAATGAAAGCGCAGGGAATGGACCGAAGCAACTTGGTATCGTCGTTCACACCTGTATTGGGACTTGTTTCATCCTGTCCACAGCCATATGCCAGTCGCTTGAATCCTTATGCGGCTTATTATGCCGCCGCATTCTGCTTGATCATTGCATTTGTTCGCCCAATTTCTTATCAGCAGTCTTTCTTCGACTCACGCTCGGATAGTTCTCGGGATGGGCCACTTTCCTCAAGGGCCATTGGAGCCAGGTACGCGACTTTTGGCAGGTTGCATAAAATTCTAAACTCACGTCCATTGAGGCTGACTTTTGGACGAATTATATTCCTCTAATCATATTCCCTGTCCTTTGTAAGACTGCTTGCATTCCTATTTTCATTACTGATATGACCACAAGACGGGAGCGCCAAATTATTCTACTGGAAGCGGGGCCAACCGCTCCCTTGGAAAGCTCCCCAGGAGGCACGTCCTCTTTGATCTTTCTCTTTATGTTAATAGTCACTCATCTCCGACTAGATGGACTTCGTATCAGACCTTGCTGAAATCGAGGCTGATTGGTGCGTGTTGAATGCTGATGTCCAGCAGGTGTTGAATCCTCCGCAGTTATGACGAACCCCCGCCGAAAAACGCTGTTGAACGCTTCTGGGCGTGGCTGGTACGGCAGATCACTCTACGCCTCCAATGCCCGTATTGAATTTGTTCACAGATGTAACGCGGGTACCATGAACGCAAACGGTGAAAGCGATGGTCGGGGGATTTTGTAGCCCTCAATATTAATGGTTTCTGTCAGTATTGACAACGTAAAACCCGTCCTTGGTTTGCTTCGCATGTTTCAATAATGCTCGTCCATCTTCTGCCGACTGAGGTTGTGGTTGTGGGTGTGTCGAGCTAATGGTTCCACGACGATATGGAGACACGCCGGTTGTATCGACAAGCTTGACGGCTTCCACCAAGCGAATGAGATCCTCCAGCTCCGATTTGAGTTTCGCATGCTCAGGAGAGTTTTCTTTAGGCGGAACCAAGGCAGATAGGTTATGGAGACGCGTTAGAGCGTGTGTAGAAAGTGTTGGTCGGGGATAGGAAGCCAGCAATTCGTTGACAGACCAGGTGGGACTGGTTGGAATGCCAGCTGTGTCGGTTGCGCGTGGAAGGGATGAATAGACCCGCCGTGCGAGACGTTGCAGGGAGGTCATCGTTATTGAGGCAAAGATTCAAGTACTCGTTTTTGGCATGAAGGCAGGAGGAGAAAGCCGCTGTCACTGACCTCCAACCTGCTTCCATGGCGAGCCTAACACAAACACTCCAAAGGCTACTGCCGTCGTCCCAGGCTCTCCCACCCATACTCAAGTCAAACCCTGCCAACCTATACGAAGTGCTCTCGCGGTCGCAGAATGTCGCAGGGAAGGAGGTGCATCAAGTCCGGTGGTCTGGAAAGCAGATCTCGGATTCATATTGGCGTGTAACACGAGCCCAGTTCAAGTGCAATGGGAAACATGGAAAAGCTTGGGGCCAACTGTACTGGAAAGGTGAGCTCCCGCGTTACCTCTCTCGCTTTCTTGACCAACACAAATCAAGGCAAACTGGTCACTGTCGGCCGAGACGAGCGGATTCGCGGCGCTCTCAAATACAAGTGGTGTGATGGACCGTCGGTTGCTTCTCAAGTCTGTCCTTAGCCCGTCCACCGCGTTCTGAGTGCTCAACCAGTTCTCTAGCCGTAGCATAACTGAGTTGTACCATATTTTACCATTTTCCTTTCTTTTTTTGTAAAAATTGCCGCGTGACAGTCGTGACCCGACTTGTCGCCAGATTTCACGTGTGCTTCCACCCGGCACTATCTCCCAGCCCTGGTGCACTGGGAGAGCCCAGTTCTGCACCAAATGGCCACTTCCAATGAGCTCATTGACGCTCAGTTCGACCGCGCTGTCGAAATTGTGCAGTCATTGCCCAAGAATGGTCCAATTCAAACTAGGTTTGTCTTTATTTTGCCTCGCATTCAACCGGTTCGCTGAGTTCTGTCCGTAGCTACGACGAAAAGCTTACTATGTACAGGTGAGAGAGAGCCTGCAGCTTTGTTTCCCTGTGACCTGACCTACTCAACAGCTTGTACAAGCAAGGTATAACTGGTGTGATCGTGTGCGAGGTCAAGAATTGAACCAAGACTCCAGCTACTGCCGGGAATGTTACCTCTCCACGACCTGGAATGTGGGATATGCTCGGGCGAGCAAAATGGTGCGTCGATTGCTACCAATTAGTGGCTTTCCTTGACTTGGTAGGGATGCTTGGGCCAAACACAAGGATCTCAACCCACACGAGGCGAAGTGGCTATATGTCGCTGCTCTCATGAAGGTAGACATCAGTCTCTTGCCTTGAAGCGCGAACCAACTCTTCTAGGTTCTCCGTAAATATTCAGACCGGACGGTCTCAGCAGACTTCATCCACGAACTTGAGTCTTATGGTGGCGACCCATCTAATTTGGTTATGAGTCGTGAGTAGTGGTTGTGGCATCAAGCCCGCGGTAATAACGCTCAGCAGGGACGCTCTCGGGCTCCAAATCTGACTCTTCAGGATCTACGGTTTCCGATGAAGATATTCCTCCGCCCCATTATACCCACGGCCAAATGCTCATAGAATTAGAGGCCTCCGGAGACGAAGATGATGACGATGACGAACCACTGCTGCATGCAGTCCCAGCTGTTAACGACCCGGGCGTCGTTCCGATTCATCGACCTCCCTCGTCTGTTTCATCAAACAGATACCGTACTCCAATGGCAGGCTCCTTGTTGGCCTCATCCCCACCACCCTCCACTCTTTCGCGAGTTCCCGAGACGCAGCCAATGCCAGGCTTCGAAACTCCTTCAGCTTTTGCTGAACCGATGGCGCCATCCTCTTATGTCCCCATCAGCAGCTCGTATGCGACGCATATGCCTCGCGCAAATATGACATCCCCTCCCAATGCCTACCGCGAGTCCGTTCCAACAGCGCCGTCGAATCGGACATATGGTGCCCCCCTCCCGCCCTGTTTCGCGGCCAACCATCGAGTATGCTATCGAGAATGTTCAGGCTCATCTTGCTGCTCTTTCTGAGCGCATGGAGTCATTAGAATCGCTTTCTGGACATCTTTCGCAGTCTCGCACCTCTATAAGCCCCAGAACAGGTGGCTCGCCGGCTTGGCGAGCTGGTCGCGGGTCACCTCACGGCTCCACCGCACCCCAATGGGACCTGGACGATTTGGGAATGTGGTCGCTTGTCGCACATCCCATTTCGAGGGGGATCGAATCTCTTAAAGAAGCTGCAACCTTCTTCAGCAGGGATGAGAATCGGTCCCCGACTATGATGATTGTCCGTCGCCTTTGCTTGGACATCAGTTTCGTACTCTGCGTTCTGGGGGTAATACGAGCGCTGTGGAGAAAGAGCGGCGTCAGGCGGCGAGAAGTGAAAGCCGCGCTAATCATTCTTTGGCGGGCTATTCTGGGGACCAAACCCAATCGTGTGATGGTAGATCGCGGAGTTTGAATGTATCTTTGCTAATATATACATGGTTAATCTTAAGCTTGCTTCGTGTTTCCTTTTCAAGCCATATCAACAACACAACGAATGCATTCTCCTTGCTAGTTTTTTTTGTTTGTCAGGAATAAAAGTTCACAGAGGGGTCACATACGTGCATATCATGGAACCCGTCGTTGATTTCCGCCAGTACGCGGTGGTGGGTGACATATTCATCGATTTTAACCTTTCCACCAAGATAGTCTTCAACGAGACCGGGAATTTCAGTTCTTCCCTTGACCCCACCAAATGCCGATCCTCGCCATGTACGGCCAGTTACGAGTTGGAAAGGCCGAGTGGAGATTTCTTGGCCAGCAGCAGCAACACCGATAACAGTCGACACGCCCCATCCTTTGTGGCATGCCTCGAGAGCGGCACGCATGACGTGAGTCTGAAAGGGAATGAGAAATACTAATGAGGGCGAGGAGGCGGAAAGCACTTGCATTGCCAGTACAATCAAAGGTGTAATCAAGACCACCGTCGGTGATCTCGACGAGGTAGTCCTGGATTTTGGTTCCCTCTTTGAGTTCAGACGGGTTTACGAATTCGGTGGCGCCAAATTTCTTAGCCCATGCTTCTTTCTTTGGGTTGGTGTCGATTGCGATGATGCGGCTGGCACCAACAAGAGCTGAAGTAGTGACAACACCCAGCTTTTATTGATTGAGCTGGTTGGAGAGAAAGAGAACAAGCCACGCACGCCGATAGCACCACATCCGAATACGGCAACAGACGAGTCCTCTGAGTATTCGTTAGCTTAGAAGTTGGGCGCAAATTCTTAGATTACTGATTCCCGGTTGTTTGACGACGGCGCCCCAGGCAGTGGTGATACCGCATCCCAAAAGGCATACTTTCTGGAGCGGCGCCTCTTTATCAACAGCGACAACAGAGACATCGGCAACCACAGTATACTGTGAGAAGGTTGACGTTCCCATCTAATCACGATTAGATAAGATGATCGAAGCTTATCCAGTGAGAACGAACGAAGTGGTGGATTGGTTGTCCGTTGATGCTGAAGCGACTTGTGTTGTCGGGCATGAGACCTTTCCCTTGTGTTGCTCGGACTGACAAATCATGGGCCAAATAACGCAGTTGTGATTTGTCAACTTGCCTTTGCCGCAGAGATTGGTTTTCCCGCTCTTGCAGAACTTGCATTCACGACATTCTAGAGCGAGCGTAAGTCCTTTGAATGACGCGAAGTTATAAGAGCATACCCGCCGTGTAGAGAGGAATTACATGGTCTCCAACCTTGACACTCGTAACACCCTCACCAACGGACTCGACCTGCCCCATCGATAAGATGAAAGTAGAACGGCAGGTGGGATGCCTACAATTCCGCCACCTTCGTGTCCCAGAATAACAGGGAAAAGACCCTGCAATAATCGTTTGGACAATCGAGGAGAAAAATAGTAAAATAACCTCGGGGTCTTTGCCGCTGCGAGTATACTCGTCGGTGTGGCAGATGCCTGGAGTTACGCATGAGTTGACATTGAAAGGAAGAGAGGAACAGTACGTTCCTGTGTGCAGAATGTGGATCCTGACTTCATGGGCTCGTGGGGGCGCAACATCGACCTCTTCGATCTTCAATGGTTCGCCTGCCCCCCAACAAACAGCGGCTTTGCAGCGAATGACTTTGCCCTCAGTAGACATTTGAGAGATGGTGGAGATGAGAGTAGTGGGTAAGAATGGCCTGCGAGAGAGGTCACCAGTTTAAGTTCAAGGGAATCCAAGGGAAGCCGTTCGGCTAAATCATCTACGCGCCTGGTCACACTTATCTCACTTGGCTCTCACCATGTCGTTCACCAACATGTATTACAAGCGCGTAAGGACAGCCACTGAAAATGAGAACTGGTGTGGCTCAACTCACAGACCGCAGGGACACCCAAGCCGTGCTTCATCTGCTATAAACCGACGACAACAGTTCTAGCGACGATCAATACTGTCGACTTTCTTTATACCTGCGAAACCCATCTCAAGGACCCAGGTTTTGCACAACTGAGCGCTACGCCAGCAGTTAGCGCAGAAGACGTGGGAAAGGCTGTTGCGGATTGGGAGGAGCGACAGAAGCTCAAGAAGGAAAAGGCCGATGAAAAGGATAAAGACAAGAAAGAGGATGACAAGAAGGACGATGGTGATAGCAAGAAGAAGAAAGAGGAGAATAAATCAGCATCGCCTCCCTCAAAGCCAGCAACTCCCACCCACGAGAAATACGTGTTGCATCGCGATATTTTTTCAAGTTGACTCATTCCTGCTTTCCCTTTTTTTTTTGAGCGCTTACATATTTTTAGTACGACTTTCTGAGCATCGCAAGAAACGACAGACTGCCGCGGCCAAGGATTTGGCTCCGAGATTTCCTGGCGCGCCTCGAGGAACTCTTTAGCTTTAGATTAGCGCGATTTGTATTATTATTAGTTGAACTGCACGCGTATGTCACGCCTGCGCGATTTTCTCTCTCGCCACCACAACATCCTCCTCCTCGAAGAGACCCTCGATTACCAGCGGCTCTACATGCGATGAACAAAAACCCTTTCGTGCCTCAGCCGCATTATCAACCGCCGTTACCACCTGGTCCTCCCCCTCCCCCACCCGGCCAAGCGGATTATACCGGTTATTGGGCTGCTGCTGCACAACAGCCAGCCTACAACCAGCAATGGACACCCCCCCAGCCACCACGGCCTCCAGCTGACCAAAGCTCGTTATATGCTAATTATGGCTACGGAAACAACTGGCGACAACAACAGCAGCAACAACAACAACAGCCAGCGCAACCCCCTCAAGCTCATTTTCACCCACCCCTTCCGGCCCAACCTCCTCCTCCTGGCTATAATCCATACCAACCAGCAGCTGGATACAGTCAGCCATATGTTCCACAGCCCCAACCCATTCCGTTCGTTCAACATCCGCCACAAGCACCATTTTTTGCTCCCCACCAAATGCCGCCTCAGCCAATGCAACAACAGCAGAGACCGCCCATCCATCACACTCCACCTCACCAGCTACCCCCAGCAAAACGGCAGCGCTTTGACGGTCCCAACCAAAGACCGCCACCGCCGCCACCGGCCCATCCACCACAATTTCAGCCGCCCTCTCAACCAGCTTTATTCCCTGGACCTCAACGTGGCGGTGCTCCCAATACTGGAGGTCGCGGAGGACAACCGAATCGAGGTCGAGGAGGCTCGTTTAATGCTAATCGTGGAGTCAGTGGCGGTGCCGCAATGTCTGGGAGAGGAAGAGGTGGTGGTAATATGGGAAATTTCGCTGCGGGAGGAATGCAAAATGGGCGTGGAGGCGGTCAGTTACGGGGCCATGGCTCACGCGGAAACTTTGGAAACAAGGACTTCCACAACAGGCGTGGTGGTGGGTCGTTCCAGAACTCAAATTCGTTCAGAGGGCGAAATCAAGGAAATTCCTCTCGGAACCGAAATGATGGCAATAATTTTGGGACCCGCGACGGGCCGTCTAATTCGAGCTACGGCTCTGGTAAGAAGGACGAAAACCGAAGGACGCTCACCGACTTTAAGCTGATTGGACTCGAGATTCCTGAGCTTACGTGGTCTTGGGGTGTCATACCTCTGCCCGTGAAAGCAGAGTCTGAAGAGGTTTCTCTGACTTCTGACGATGCAGAGCTCAAACCTGGCGATGTTGTGAAGCCTGTTTCTGAACCAGGTCCTCCGTCAAGGATGCGCATCTACTTCCACACTCCTGTGACTGCAGTTGATTCGCATCCAATTCCCGAACAACAGTTCTTTCTCTCTTGATTCTCTGCCCTCTGATTCTCGTAAAGGCAAGAGAAAAAAGATCGAGTCTGATGATGGGGATGACGAGGACCGTCGAGGCCCGCCACCGCCACCTGGTTTGAATGATGATCGTTCCAGTGTGGCTGCTAGCGTGGCTCCAAGCGTGGCGGAGACAGTCAGCGAAGGAGACTGGCTTATGGCTGCCATTTCTGCTGAAGGGGAAGACGAATCTCATGGGCCAGACGGCCATGATGATGGAACTGACGCTGGAGTTGAGGCAGACACCGATGGTGAGCCCCCACTCCCCAGCCACTTCTTTGTGTGCGCTTCTCTTGAGGAGCGGCACACTGATAATTTTTCCTTTAAAGGACATGTTGCTGAGACTATGTCTGTTCATGACGATGACACCGTTGACGAGCAGGAGCACGATGTTTCCGAAAGCGCACCGTCAACAGACTCTACCCTTGTTCCACTGGTCGAGGACATTGACGATTCTCTTTCTACCATGGTTTCCTCTTCTTTGGACGGATCACTGTTTCCATCCACCACGGATGAATCAGTTGCTCCAGTTTCTCATGACCAGGCTGCTTCAGCCGACGTTTCTTTGACCAAGCCTTTATCTGGTGCAGCAACACTTTTGAGTATCGATAATGCTGTTCCCCTTACTTCTCTTGTCCCGGAGCCAACTGTCATTATCGCTCATGACGCTCACGACAATGAACAGACACAGGATCTAGAAGCTACCCAAGTCGACGACCCTCCACCTTCTTCTGCTGCATCAACTACAAATGGCGACGTGCTACAGACAATCAAAATTGTAACCAAGGTTCCCGCGGCCAATCGATTGTCATTGTCCTACGAAGGTGGCAATCGTCGACTTATTTTGGATGCAGACATTGTTGAGGGAATGACGCTCTTTCGCCGTGAGGGCCGTGCAGAGGTTCGCATCAACCTCGTTTCGGAGGGTGATACTGGCATCAAGGGTGTTTACGTATGTTACTTTTTCCTGCTTTTGCTTCCCCTGCTCATAGTGAGAACAGATGGAGACTTTGTCAGACGTTACCAAGTCTTACCATCTCCTCGAAAACACCACCAACAATGGCGAATTCCCTCCATTTTCTCAAGCTACAACCCCACTGACAGTTACATTGATCATATATCTTGATACCGTTCGACCGTTGTCTGAACCGAAATGGGTCAAAACAGGCGACATACCTGAGTGGCTAAAGAGTCTGTTTGGACGCATGTTTTGGTTTGCTGGAGATGCTTCTGAAAGCTGGGAGAAGAAAATTGTTGTTTCCGACCCTGATCCGGTGAGATTTTTTTCACCTATCTACTTGAACCTTTTTGGCTAACGATTGCCTGCTGTAGCCTCCAACTCTAACGACTGTTCTAGAGGGATGGTCGTCTTCTTCTGGCGCTGGCAATCTCAGTGAACGCCAACGCTTCCTGAAGACCCATCTGAACGAAATGGACAATGTGCTTGAAATTCTTCTTCGACTCGTTCGCGGTAACCAGCCTACACCATTGGCCTCGCAAACCGGCAGTCCTTTGACTGGTCCTCTTCTTTCTTCGATTGCCCCGGGCTCAATCCATGGCGCTCAACAAACTCCCGTTTCCCTGGCTGTTTTGGCAATGTTCCGTATGACTCTAGATTATGCTACCCAAGCTGGAGGAGACAAGGCAAAGACAGATGCTGAAGAACGATTGGGGGAGATCATTCGGTGTCTGCCTCCAAGCCAGATCCACAAAAGTTTGGATGCCATCTTCAAGGAGTGGAAGAACTCGTCCCAAACAGACAAGAAAAGTAGATAAATACTGTATCCCGTACTCCCTAGTCAAGCTTGATTACGAGTACTTTAGTAATCGTCCATCACACCCCTCCCAGCGCAAATTTCAGCTCTCTTGTCACGCTCTAAAATTGTAATGCCGTAGCTAAAATGTAACAAATTTGAAACCCCTCGTCTTCAAATTCCATTAGATCATATTTGTAGTCTTTCAATACACTCAACCCTAACCCTAGTAGACATCTGCAAACATTCATAACGACCATTCCTCCACAAAATGTTCAAGCCTGAGGATACAACCTCAAATATCGAATCTGAATCATGATTTGGTCGCGGTGACCGTACTTAGTGGAGCCAAAGATTGAGTTCGGACGTGTTTGGGTTGTGGTCGCCGGTCGAGAGCCTTTTTTCACCTTCAAGTTAGGCTTCAGTTGTTTGCGGCCGACTACGAAAGCGCGGCTTGGATAGAAGTAAGGTATAGCAACTATGGCACTAAGTACATCAATCTATCGCGAGGAATTGTACTTACTATCGACTTTCCAAGGCTGTTCAAGCTCCCAGCGCCAGCCAACCTTTGAAATAGGAATGCTTGTTCTTGTCTGCTAAACGGTAAAGCGGCATTGGTGGGTGTCCAACTCACACTTGTTTGGAAGTGGTTGGACTGTCCAAGTCTGACGCATCGTCAGACATTTCAAGTTGCTTTTGTTTTGTTGTGCCGAGCTAGGGTTGGGTGTGTGGGTTGGGCTCGTACGCACCCTTTACTCATAGTATTGTGCAATTGAGTACTCGTATCCGCCGCGCACCGCGTCGGCCTTTCTCCCAAGTTATTTTGGTCTCCATAATAACCGTGACCGCGTTACAATGTCACGCTCACGGTCGACGCGCGTCGAATTGAACTCTCATGGTCAAGATTATCCATTACGACGCTGGCCTCTCTTTGACCCATATCTGCAGTTCAGGAACACCTACGACTCTGACAATACCGTTTTCTCCCCGCAAGGGCGATTACATCAAGTTGAATATGCTCTTGAAGCAGTGAAGCAAGGCTCCGCCGCTGTAGGTCTTCGCTCGAAGACACACGCTATCCTTCTTGCTCTGAAGGTATTTGTCAATGTCTAGGCTGCTTGGGACGCGTGCTTATACTGCTTTGTAGCGCTCAACGGGAGAGCTCGCGTCGTACCAACAGAAGATGTTTCGTATAGATGACCATGTTGGGATCGCTATCGCTGGTCTGACCTCTGATGCTCGTGTCTTAAGGTGCGATGCTTACAGCTGCATTTCTTTGTCTTGCTCACATTCTGCTATCCCAGCAACTTTATGCGACAGCAGGCCATGTCCTCCCGCATGATCTTCAACCGCCCCGTACCCGTTAACCGACTCGTGTCTGCCATCGCCGACAGTGCGTTACTCCACTATCTCGACTGCACTGCCTATTGATGCCCGTGGTTTTCGCAGAGGCCCAGGTAAACACGCAGGAATATGGTCGACGGCCTTATGGTGTAGGCTTCCTCGTCATCGGGCAGGATCAGTCTGGGCCCCACCTCTACGAATTCTCCCCTGCAGGAAACTCGTATGAATACTACGCGATGTCGATCGGTGCGCGGAGCCAGAGCGCCAAAACATACCTGGAAAAGCACTACAAGACCTTTGATGATTGTGAGTGCAAGCCCCAAAACTGGAGTCGGGTTAGTTATCTAATCTGCCCACAGGCTCTCTGGAGGATCTCGTCAGACACGGGCTGCATGCGTTGCGCGAGACACTCCAGCAAGACAAGGAGCTCAATATCAACAACACGTCCATCGGAATCCTCGGTCCCGCTGCTCCGCATGAAAAGGGCGTCTCTGGCGCTGGGTCGTTCCGCATTCTTGACGGGGAAAAAGTGGAGGTTTTCCTCCAGAGCATGGTACCCAAAGAACCCACTGAGGCCCCAGCGGCTCCAGCAGCTACTGACGACGATGTACAAATGGAAGGGTAGTTTTGGCAATGATTATAAATTTTGAATTACAAGGGTGAGTAGTGGTTTGCGGCAATGTCAACACAAGACTATGCGACTGGTGGTACTTTTGACGTCTTCCAAGTCCTCCAGGCACGTGCAGCTGCACCTGGCCTTCTCAGGGCTATAAGTAGTTGAAGCATCGCGCTTAACAACAATATACTCCCGCCTTGGTGGGCAGCGGCGAGGGGGACGGGCACCATATAGAGCAACGTGGTGATGCCCAAGAGTACTTGGACATTGGCCATCGCGAACGCTGCTCGTGCTGAAGTCAGAGCCAACGGTGGAATCACAGAACGCCAAGCTGGTCGCATAGTTTGAGCAAACAAGAACGCCATTCCAGCATAGGTCGATGTTGCCTTTCCGAAAAGAGTCAGAACGGACTGACACGATGTTTTCAGGGACATACCAGCATGCGGTGGTCGAACTGGACCAAACTCGGGTTGTCAAAGAAGTTGCGCCAGAGATCGCTCTTGTCTGGATTTTGCGCATATGTCGGGGACAAAAGCTCGTCGGCTGGCGGCGCCAATCCGCCCGCCATCAGAGGCCATTCGTTGTAGATCAATCCGGCGTCTAGACCGGCCACAAAGACACCTGGAAGAAGATAGATGAGGTGTCGCTCAATATTCCACTCGTTTGCTCACCAGAAAGCGCGGTCAACAATACGAGGCCCGTCAAAACCCACGAGAGGGACTTGAAGCGCTTAACGAGCGGGTTATTGAGAGCTTGGTCGAATGAGGCGAGGGGTAGACCCCCAGCTGAGCCGGTCCGGACAAAGCGCCAGTCCTTGATAATGGCCATTCCGGTGCTGAACATGCCAAGGTACAATGCGAATGCCATCGAAAGATGGGCTGCCAAACGGTAATGAGACACGCGGGGAACTGCGCCTGGAGTTTCCAGCAACGAATCCTCCAGTCCCGATCTGACCATGTACCACCCGAGGGCACCTTGTGCGCCGATTAATAGACCCAGACCACTCAATTTGAGTGCTAGCGGTTTAGAAATCTTCTTGGTTGCGGTGAAATATGCCAACGGGACAACGAATGTAAGCCCAATAAGACGCCCGAGTATTCTGTGGCCCCATTCCATGTAGAATATGCGTTTGAACTCGTCAACGGTCATGGAGTGATTCAGCCTTGGACATGAGACGGGAGAATAAACGGAAAGAGAGCGTGTCTGCGTACATTTTGAACTCCGGTGTGGCCTTGTACTTTTCGAATTCCTTGTCCCATGCCTCTTTCGACAGAGGCGGTACTACTCCCGTTATTGGCCGCCATTCAGTGATACTCAGCCCCGATTCGGTTAATCGGGTTATTCCGCCTACGACCACGACCACCAGCACAAGGACTGCGGAGGACATGAGCCAGATACCGACAGCGGGTGTCGGGGGAGGGAGTGGGGCACTGCTGGCATCCTCTTCAGTAGGCGGTGGAGGGAGTGTGTTTTGAGGCGGACTTTTTGAGGTCGGAGTTTTGGTTGCTGCGTCATTAAACGCGTCTTTCGCGAGTGCAGACGCGCCCTTGGTGACTAATGGTGGAGCATTCTTTTGCACGGACGCAGGAGTTGATTTTACTCTCTTCGGCGCTGTTGTTTGGGGGATGTCTGCAGCTTTCACCGAGGCGAAACGGGGTCGGAGGAGGTTGATTTTAGGAGTTGAAGCATGGAGACCTAGTCTCAGCTGAGAGCATAGAGTTGACGAGCGACAGACATTTCGAAGAGAATGGGGAAGGGAGGGAGAAAGAAACATACGTCAGGCCCAAGCCGAGGTCCATTGAGATCGGCGTGACCAATAATTTCTCTGCAATTTGCCATGATGTTGAATGCACTCAGGGCCTCGACGCGTCGCGGGCTGTCAGCACATCTTCGCCTATTGACCACCGCTACACCCGCAGAAAAAGAACAGCTCATCTACCAGAAACTCACAGAAAGGCAAGTGCAGGCAGTTTTCAATTCTATTTTCCTGACAAACACGCGTCATAAGGTTCTCTCCCTCGCGCCTTGCTATTGAAGACATATCGGGCGGTTGCGGGACTTTCTATGCCATATCCATTGCTAGTGAAGCATTCAAGGGCATCCCCATAGTAAAACAGCACCAACTCGTAACGAAAACGCTCAAGGTGGGCTGGTAATGCACTAATAACGAGGTCGCTCATTAAAAATCAGACGGAAATTGAGGAAATCCACGGTTTACAAGTGCGTCTGCTTTCCCTTGAACAACCCAAAAAATCATGTCAACCTAGATAAAAACCAGTACCGAATGAGACTCGTCCCGCTTTACAGCTTGTGCAATCGCAAAAGGGAGATGGCGTCTCGGGAGTAGGCCTCGCGGTCTGGGTCGTCGTCGACCTATATGTGTGCTGGTTATCATTCGGGCAAACTCGGAACGGCCCACACCTCTGTCCATCTAAATCGCTTCTTCAGCAACGTGAAGAAACGCTTGTCAGCCTGTATTTGGCAGTGAATCTTGTGGTAGAGAAGACGAAATGTGTGACCTTTCTCCGTTTCTTATAGCAGAATAATATCTCTTGCGGATTACTGGCGTCATTGTCCACAAGATCACAGAGTGTGTCAACTAGCAGTGGAAAAGCTGGCTCGAAGTAGACGCAATCGGCGGCCAAAATAACGTCCGCACGGGGTATTTTGGCTGGTATTGGTTCGCCCCTTGTCGGAATTCAAGCTCTGCAAACTCTTCGGCTGGGAACCGACCAGTTGAGTTCTGCGACGAGACATGACGACGACATTTGGTTCAGTTCTACGTTGTCTTGCATGACGGACAATAATGGTCTATGGCATCGCAAGGAGTTATGGGTGTTGAAAACAGAGTGAAGAGCCTACGCTTGGTCAGTCACGAACGCGGTTGCCCCCAGCTTTGCTGCCAGTAATCCACAGAGTCCAGTTCCACTTCCGAGGTCGATGACGGTCTTGCCATTGAGTGAATTCGTCCCGCGCCGCACCAAATAACGGCAAAGTACCTGTGTTTGTCAACACGAAGGTGACTACAACCGATGTCTATAATCTTTTACCTCTGCTGCTGGCCAGGCGATGCCGCCACACCCCCATTTCGGGTCAAGCTTGAGATCGATGTCGACCGACGCGAAAGAAAGATTGAGCACGCTGCCTTGCACGACCGGCGGCGGCTGAACGGGGACAATGGATTCATAATCGTGCTGCTCGAAAAAGTGTTCGTCCATCGTCTTGAGCAAGGCAATATCGCGTCACGTCACAGTCACATGGTCGTTCAAACCACATCATGCGGCTTTCTACCCTCCGGAATGTCCAGCCAGGATCTCTGACGCATACGCTCATCTTGGCACTGGAGGACTGTGGCATTCGCACCGAAATGGACCTCTTGTTTTCCACGACCACCGTTGAAATATTTCGTCAAATCCCGTCTGGCACAGCAAGCTTGGCTGAGATCGAGGAATTCAAGGCCTTGGTCGTTGAGAATGCTGCAGCCCCTGGCCAAACAGCGCAAGATATCTTAGACGCAGACAAACTTACAGAGAGTGTCGTCGAAATGCTCAGCGGTTCTCCCCGATTGGACAAATTCTTGAGTGGCTTGACCGGTCCTCGACGATTACTTGAAGTTTCTGGTGACAAAGGCGGAGGAAAGACTGTTCGTGGAAAGCTGACTACCGACGCCCCTCAGCCAACAATTTGCCTTAGTCGCTGGTGCTACAACTAATGTTGCGCCATCTCGTCTCTCAGCCGCATTCCAGTGTGCTCTGGATCGACACGACAAGCGACTTCCCGCTACCATGGGCCTCTGAGATGCTTGAAAGTATGGCTTCAGAGAACGTGGTATCAGTCAGACATTGTGTTTTGGCTATGCTGATTACTCGCAGGATGCTCTGGATAGACTGCAACTCGCACAAGCCTTCGATGTCGAAACTGTTTTTCGAGTGCTAGAAACTGTTCAATCTTCTAATAATGTGTGTTTTGGTCGATTTCGTGGTTTTTAAACTCATGCACATATAGGTTCCAACCAACATGAACATCCGAGCGATTGTTGTGGACGATCTCACTTCACTAATCTCGCCCCTATTGAGCCCCCTTTTCTCCGCAGGGCCATGCGATAATGAGTGGGTTTATGCGGCAATTGCGGGCGATGGCGCAAAACTTGTGCTTGACTATTTTCGTTCGTGTTCATGTCACTTCGGTGGGCAGTGGTCTAAAAGCCAATCTAGGTCATAAACAACTCGGTGGCTATTGACCCGGGCCAGCCGAACGTAAGAAAGCCGGCCTTAGGGCCTTCTTTCACTTTCATGACTGATGCGACGCTGTGGTGCAGTCCATTGAGTCCAGCAATGTTTGGTCTTCGCCTGTATCGGACGAAAATTACCGTGCGTGAGGCGATGGATATGGTTAGATCCTTGCACTCATAAACCCCATAGCCTCACAAGCCGCCTTGCAACTTCAGGATCAGAGAAGCAGTAATCGAGGATTGTGATGTGATGGAGGGAGACTGTGTGACAAATAAATAGAGCCAATCTTAGTCAGACCTCTTGACGCAATTTCTTATGGCCGACCTCCATGAAGTTGTTTTCCACTGGCCCAGTACCGAGGCAGAGCGTGTAGTCGGTGCGAAACCCCGAGGCTTCCCATCTCCTAGCTAACTCCCCCCATTCCAGTTACCGGCACATTTGACCAAGTAACTCAGCCTCCGAGAATCCCCCTCCGCTTCCGCTAACAAACTCACCACAGTGGTCTTCCTCGGTCAATCTCGAAAAAGACGCGACAGGGTTCTCTGGCACGGTCAAGGTTGACTGGGGCTCGAAGGTCCTGTGCGTATTGCTTCTGCTTCCACATTCTGAAGCTAAAAAAAATTGGCAGGTACAAATACATCGTCTTCAAGAGTGCGGGGAGTCGGGAATGGGCCTGCTCCCCTTTGGTGGCCACCGAAAAAGACGTTGCTGGCAATCTCAACAACGTCTACCAAGCCCCACCAAAGCCAGAGTCATCCCAAACGAAAGACACGACCTCGGAAACGACTACGAATGGATCATCTCTGGGCCAGGTGGTCTCCGATTTGGCTGAAACGGTAGTCGCTCGCGATGGCACGACTTCGGTTCTGGATTATGTCGCCTCTGGCCTTGGAGCTGCCGTGCAGTCCGCCATCGGGGTCGACCCCATCAACGGGTCCAAGGCAAGTCCGGCTTAGTTTTATTTTGGTTTGTATTGTGGATTTGTGCTCATTGAAGCCATAGGAGCCATACGAAACACCGGTGCCGACCAAGACTGAATTTACGATAGAAGAAACTGTTACGACTCCAAGCGAGACGTCTGTCGCACAACCGTCACCCGCGACAGTCGCTCCAAAGGTGCCCATCGCCATCGTCCCGGTTTATGCCGAGGAAATTAAGGCGGTCCCAAATGGCACCAGCCAGCCAGTTGTGGAAAACGAGGCGCTTTCGACGCATTCACCGCTTCCTGCGACCATTCCTTCTCCGCCGGTTCCCACTCCAGCGCCGGCTAAAGAACCGATATCAGCCACGGTGGAAGTTACGCAACCAACGCAAGTCGTGGCCGCTGAAAGCACAACCTCCGAACCAACAACAACAACGGAGGTCGATGCCACGCCTACGCCTGCAGTTGTTGAAGAACCAATACCTGCTCCACCGATAGCAGTCGAGCCATCAAAAGAGACTCCATTAGAGATAACTGCGCCAGAGGCCAAAGTCGAAACGCCTGTTGTTGCTACACCTCCACCGGCTGCTGAGTCACCAAAGCCCGTTGAGAACTCGAGCAGACCCGCGACGCCATCCAGCAGACCAACAACACCGTCCAAGAGAGGGAAGCATGCTTTCCCCTCTGAAGATTCCTCCTCCTCGGCACCGAACACACCAGTCTCCAGGTTTAGCACTGCAACTTCGACAAGGAAAAAGCGGCATAGCTTGTTCGGAAAACTGAAGCATCTCTTCGACAAGGACAAGGAAGAAAAAGAAAAGGAAAAGAAATGATTGGCGCTAGCGCTACACATGACTGGTATTAGACGATTTCTTCCTGGCCTTTCTTTCGTACATATCGTGTTTTCTGGATCTACATGCATCTATTCTTTCTGGGAGCCTCTTCAACTCACTATACTCATTACAACGCCTGTAGTTACTTTTTAGTTAGACCTTGGAATGGAAGAGCGTGGACACAAGTATACCTGCAGCGATTGTTTCTCCTTCTCTCCTGATCAAAATTCGTCCCATTGCCTTGTTGATAGCATAGGGCTCTACCGCGATTGGCCGGGCCGGCGTACCGACATTGAGTGGACGCAATGTGATCTGCACTTCCGCTGAAGATGCTTTCGAGAGAACTCTAGGATTCGTCTTGACCACTTTTCCCGTCGTCCTATCCAGTGTTGAGACGAGCTTGGAGATGGTGGCAGGTACATCGCGTGAATGATGGAAGAGTTCCACCTGGCTTAAAGTTAGGGACAACATGTGGATTAATTGGCTTCTATACCACAGCGCCGGCAATAATCGGGACCTGGATATCGAAGATGATGATGCGTGCAGTGAAAGAGGAAGAGAGCGGAACGGGGTCGGAGGGAGGGCAAAGGATGCTCCCAATCGTCAGCTGAATGGGATCGACTGATACCAACGATAGAGTCAGATTCGATCCAGCTGCAGCCCAAGAGACATTTTCCTCTTCAATTTCAATGGCTAAGAAGAAATGTTCATATACTTTACGGTAAAGTGGAACAACTCACTCTTGATTACCCCAGTTTCGTCACCCGGTAGTATGCGGACTCGTTCACCGACTTGGACAACTCCACTAAGAAGTCGACCAGAGACTGAAGTCCCGGAACCTTGCCCTTTGAAGATGTTTGCAATTGGTATCCTCATCGGTGAAGTTATGTCACGGGTAGGTGCCTCCAGCTCGTCTGGAAACAGTGAGTAGTTACAAGAGAAGCTTTGAGCAGATTCACCAAGAAGATCCACCAATGTCGGTCCCTCGTACCATAATGCAAGTTGTTTTGCATCCTCTCCTTCACGATTAACTAGATTGACTCCTCGCATCGCACCAACTGGCACGAATTTCGTTTTGGAGTGATGGAATCCGGATTGGGCGAGGAAAGGGCGAAGCAGCGCGCAAATCTCCTCATACCGGTCTTTCTCCCACTGCACCTGGTCTAGTTTGTTGATGGCCACAACAACCTGTGCGACACCCAAACTCCTTGCAAGGATCAAGTGTTCTCGTGTTTGGCCACCACGCTCGAAGCCAGATTCAAATTCTCCAGTTGAGGCATCGACAACGAGGACCGCGCAGTCAGCCTGAGCGGCACCGGAAATCATATTCGGAATGAATTCTTTGTGACCTGGCGCGTCAAGGACAGTGATTTGTCGGTGTGGAGTTGCAAAAGATTGCTGGGCAATATCCATCGTAATACCCCTGTGGGTGATGGGAAGCTGCGCAGACCATAAACGGCCAGCTCACCTCTCGCGTTCCTCTGTCGTGCCATCAAGACCCCAAGCCCAACTAAAGCTACTCTTTCCTATTTTGTTGCTGTTTCGTTCGTTGGCTATCTTGGTGCGTTCATCCATCTTTCCCGTCTCATACAGCAGTCGACCCATCAAGGTAGATTTGCCAGCATCCACGTGACCTGCACAATCAAGTATTATGGAAAAGAAATAGGTTGAGCAAGTTACCGATCACAACGATGCTGAGGGCCTTCTTGCCCTTTTCTTGGATTTCTAATGACGTTCGAACTTCTTGGAGTAGTTTATCGCGCGCAAAGGACGCTTTGGGAATCTCTTCATCTCCCAGCGGTTCGTCGTTGACCAAGTTAAGAGCCGACAAGTCAAGTTCCCTTTGGTCGACATTTCGGCCGGGCGTAGCCGATTTCGCTGGAGTTGTTGTTGGTTTAGGGCTCGTAGTGCTCGTTTTCTTGGGTCCTTTGGCAAGGCTCCCCATCGGGGAGGCCGCGCGCGACGAATTGGTCGATTTGGTATCATTGAGCTGCTTTTGGGCCAACAGTTTTTGCGCTTTCTCTCGTTCTCGAGCGGCTGAACAGAAAATAATCAATAACATTCCATACAAAAGCGAAACAAATCAAGATTTGGAAGTAAGCGGTCTCGAAGAAGCAGTTGATTTGGTCTGCCCCAAAGATGTGTCACGCCTCGCATTCATGACTATATCGTCCGGGCTCGGTCCGTCAAACGCAGAACCACTCGACGCGAATAGATCGGGAATTTTTGTAGGAGTAACTTGTCGCGACCGGCGTCGAGGGCCATCTTCTGAATGAGCAACAGAGGCGTCATCCAGAAGAAGAGTTGCAAACGCGGATGGTGAAGCACGTGTTCTGGTGGCTGTGACTGGCAAAAACATGGAAGGAACCGGTGGAGGTGGCGGCTCAGCGACAGTTGCCTGGGGCGGTGGTTTCTCTTGAGCCTTCTTTATCTTCATTGCCAATTTAGATTTTTTGGGCTCCCCAGCAGTAGATGACGGTCCAGATGGTAATGGTACAACGACCAGCCTCCCGCTGTCTGAGCGATTAGGGTTTGTGAGGGAGTAGAGCGACTGGTAGGAAGTTGTTATTGCTGTTGTTACTGTGGGACCATTGGCAACCGGCGTCAAGTATTGCGTGCGCTCGGGAGGTAGACGCGGGGGACCAGAGACAATTTCTGGAGTTGGATTACGAGAGACCTTGTTCGCCTGTGCCAGTTGAGCAAGTTTAGATGTCGGCCGAGAACTGGATACAGAAGCTGGTTTGTCTGGTACTTTGGACGGAGTGGGTGCTGATGGACGACTTGGTGCCGGTGTGGGACGACTGGGAGTAGGCGTTGGCGTTGGAGTACGCGAGTCAAGTGGCGGTGTTGCGGGAGCGTGATCGTGAACTTCCATTTGCAAAGCCGTCTCGATAGCGCGCCGAACATGAGAAGAAGTGGACGAAGGAGCATATTGCGATACCACCGACTCCGGTGCAATTGACTCGGCGCTTGGTCTAAGATTTGGATAGGTTTTCACAGAGCCAGATACATCCGTGCCCGCAGAACGAGAACTCTCACTCCGGATGCTACTTGTAGATGCTCTGCTCGACGCTAACATAGCCAACTTGGACTTTTTTGGAGGCTGTGACGTAGCTTGTGGTGGAACATTCCGGCTTGACTTGGAATTCAAGTCTGGAATATCGGGAATCGTGTCAATCGGAGGAACAGGTTCACTGGGGGGCTTTGGGAAAGTTTCGCTCTGATAGCTATCGCTCTCGGATGGTGGCAAGGATGGAGGAGGCTCGAAAAAAGACAGGCGTTGGATTGCTGAATCGGATGGAGAGACCGGGATGAGATTAGGGTTCAAGGAATTGATTGTGGTGTCCATTGGTGAGTCTTGGGCCATTCAGATCGAGTTATTAAAAGAACGAGTTTACATACCAACAGCTTGGCCATATGATGTTGTTATTGTGCTCGGAGGTCTTGGAATCTCAAGAGAAAGATACCTCTGGCGGGGTGGCCAGTTGGGTGAAGGCTCCGTTCGTTCAGTTCTCTCCGATATTGTGCTAAGGTTCCGTCTAATCCCAGATTCAGCGTCGAGCTGACTTTCATAAGGTTGTTGAGCTTGTTTGATGAGTGGAATGCGAGATCGACCATCATGCTCTTCTTCTTCCAGCACAGGCGGGCTATACTGGCCATAACCGAGGTCCGCCTCAGGTTCCTCAATGACACGTCGAAGACCAATCACAGGTGGCGCGTATTCGCCATAGCCAAGCTCTCTCTCAACAGGTAATGGGGGGAGGTCCTTCATTGTATGCGAGGGCGCTGAAGGCAGATTGAGTTCTACCGACACGGAAATAAGAGTGGTCGACGACAATCGCCTTACCGCAACGATCCGGCCAGAGACGATTGTTGAACGGAAGAAAGGAAGGGGTGGGAAGAAGTATAGTAACACACCTTTCCTTTGCTGAGCTTGAAGTATCCGTTCTTGCTCCTCTGGATTTAGGTGGTGAATGAGAGAGAGATCTTGAACTGAGTACCACATACCGATTGCCCACTGCACTGTCTCCTCGATGTCGAAATGACACTCCCACAACACATCCTTGATGGCTTTATCCGACAAACTAGACTGCGTCGCGTCGCCAATGATGTCTCTCACACGATCAAGGCCGTCATTAAGAAGGGCTGAAGGAAATTAGTGAGAAATAAGAGCTCCATGCATTATCTGGACCTTGGTGCTCTGGAGAGATAAATTCTTCGCCTCCATCAGACAGCGGATCGTCGTCCAATTGCTCTACTAGCTTTGAATAGACACATAAGGCCAATTGGATATCATACCATTGTAGTCCATATTGCTGAAGTTCCTATGTCGCGCAACCATGGCTGCTTGACTCTTGAGTCTCAAATCAAAATCACTCACGTGACACAACCTTCCTTGTCTTTTTTTCCACCATGTTTCGCGTCGCTACTTTCCGCCCCACCATTCGCGTTCGTTGCCCCCTGTTATGTAGTCGCAACTGCTCAGTCCTAACAGGCATTCTCCACGTCCGCGCGAACGAATGACCTCGCAAAATTGACCCTCATTGGGAATTTGGGGAAAGTTCCTGAACTGAAGACCACCAAAAACGAGAAGGAATATGTCTCATATGCTGTTGCCACAACTTCCTCGGCCCCTCCCTCTGCAGACGGAGGTGATGAGGCCTACGTTATATGCGTCCGTCCACTGATTTTGTTTTCAGAGCGCACCTTCAACACAACATGGCATCGTATCCATTCGTTTTCCCATGGCACCAACACCTACCTCCAAACACTCAAACAGGGCAGCAAAGTTTACGTTGAAGCCCACTACGAAATTCGTGAACCAGACCCCAATGCGGACCCGTCCACTCCCGCAGGGCCAACGCCAAATCTTCCTCCGCCATGGTCAGTCTCTCCCATTCTTCCGCAACCTAATGATTGTGAATGCTCGCCAGATACTATCCGGGTCATTGCGCCGCCTCGACCAAGGGAAACAGAGGAGCATTAATGGACCGTGTTCTGATATTTAGAATATAATTCTTTCTACCTAACTAATTGTCCCTGCGGGCAAGGTTGCGTCAACAGTAGACTCTGGCCCGCTTGGTGCATTCTCGTCAAGGTTGTCGTGCATTTTCCGCAGATAGTCCCTCACCGTCGTGGACACGAGCTGTAAACCACTGAGTTGATGATCAGGAGAACAACTTGAGACCATACACGATGATCTTCGTATGAAGAACCAGAATAACAAGCCGCAATGGCAATGGGACAACACGGTGCATTCTACGCCGGTTACTTGAGAGTTTAAGCACGCCAAAGCATGACGAACCTCTAGCCAGATAGGAAATGCTGTCGATACTTCATTGACCCTGGCTCACGAAAACTTTAGGGAGAGCGCACCTCCACCTGTGATTCGGAAATCCCCCTGAAGCTCCATTTGCTTTGGTGATTTGCCCATTGACGCAAGAGAGTTCTCGACATAGTAGCTCGAATGGCTGGTCCGTTTCACAATATTTATCATACCCTGCGACAGGTCAAGACGGAACCATCGTCAGGTCTTAACAAACCTCTAACGCGGACCACCCATCAAGACTGAGATCAGTAAGACCGGAGACATTGTCGGAATCCACTGTGCACGCGAAAAGAGGGTGGCCGGCGATCGTTTGGATTGAGATAATAAGTCCTTTGCCTTTCGCATGACGAGCTGATCCACGAAATCGTTTGCGCATAGAGAGTCCCAGGGTGACGGCATCTGCAGCAGAGAACGAGGGAAAGCGGTAGTTGCTTTCTTCCGCCAGAGTTTGGCTGGATGGATAAATCAGCCACATGCCATTGAGAACAACGGACTGAGTGCCTTGCAAGTTGGTTTGAAGAAGAATGCTCGCTGAACATGAGAAAGAAAGGGTTGGGCCACGCGTGCAAAATGGTCAAGCGAGTGACACGCAGTCAGAACAGGCCTCGAGGACGGAGCTACTTTGTTTCGAGACCATTGTGAAAGTCATGGGTGAAGAATCCCGCGCTTAGTCATGTTACTGACTTCAAGTTACCCTCGACCACGAGCACGAGATGGAATTCTTCCATGACGTTGGTTCAGACCCCCAAAAGCCCTCAATATTTGAGCTCGTTGCGCAAGAGCAGCTCCACCACCTTCTCCAGCCTGCATTGAAATATGTTTTAGCTGTATGCTTTCATAATCCAGTCCACCGGCCTTTTTTATAACCGACTCCAGGTATTCGCTCAACGATACCCTCGCTATCTTATACGAATTGTCAACCGACATGAGGAGTTCTATGCCGCGATCATGTTTTTTGTGGAACGGCATTACCTCCGCAAACACAGTGCGTATCCAGTTGGTTGGTGATAACGCGCAGCCCTTAATGCGCTGGTAGACGCGTCTTTCTCTGAAAACTTCTATGGTCTGAAGCGTCGGCGTCGGCCATTCATCGAAACCCCACGTGCACAAGCAGCAGTTGGTGGTGTACCACCAGGAGAGAAGCTGCGCAATCAAGAGATTTGGCCGTCCCTTCTGTTCCTTGTAAGCCTCGTTCGCCAATGTTTTCATGTTCTACAACATTGTTAGGTGGGAATTCCGTATCTGCGTGCAAAGGCGCAAGAGGGCGGAATTTCCTCCGATATAGAACACACCCAATCTAATCGGCTGAGGCAGCAAGTAAGGGCACCGCGTTTTCTGGGCTGAACTCACAACTTGACAGACGCTTGCCCATCGCTTTTATAAGAAGATTTACCCTTGGCTGAATACCTCCTTTGAATTGTGGCTGTTTTCGTCCAACATCGCATATCTGTTTGGCAAGACTGCCTACTACAGGCCTTGGTTATCTTGGATAGGTGTAGACCTGCGGCGTCTTGGTTTGGATGATTTCGTAAGCCTGGTCTCCCTGGGTTAATTCGTCCAAACTAACGTATCCGTGCAGCGAGAAGCGGCAATAAGACAAGGACAACCTTCTACTCAGCCAAAAACTCTCCTTAGTTGGATTCGCCACCTCATCTTTTCCTCTCCTCGAATCCTCCTCGACTCACTCAGGCTACTATTACCGACTGCCATCTTCTTTATCAAATTCTTAGAATGGTGGTACTCTCCAAATTCCCCCGCCCGATCCTTTTCCACATCTCCCATCGGTCCCGCTGTTCCGCCACCACGAATGCTTCCTCCGCATCCCCAGGGAGTTCCGTTCGACCCACAAAGCTACGGAAAATGTCCTCTTTGTCAGGATGACTTCAAAAATGCGACAGCGCTACCTTCCGGCTACGTATTTTGCTATCGTTGTGCACACGAACATGTAGAGAAACACGCAAAATGCCCAGTTACTTTACTACCCGTACAGATATGGCAGCTAAGGAAAGTGTTGATCTAATAGTACATAGGGTTCAATCTAGAATTGCAGTTGGAACCTCATTATATGCTGGGGGTTGTATTTCGGCGTCATAGCTTCCCGAGGCTGCTCCATTGGCATTATTTGACCCACGCAATTGGTTTTTGAGACGCTCAACTTCTCTCGCAAGTTGCCGGAACTCACGCCGCTGAGTTTCAAAACGCGTTCGGATAGTCTGGGCCTCCGTTTGTAATCTTTCGTTAGTTTGAGTCAGTTCCTCGTTTGCTCTTTGTTGGTCTGCTTGTCCCGATGTTGCCTGTGTAAGCTTGTCCTGAGACTCGCGACTTTCCAGCCGTAGACGAGCATTTTCGCGTGCCAAGTCCTCGTTGATGAGGGTTTGCAATTCTGAATCGCCACCAGACCACGGTAACTGCCAATTAATTTGTCAGACGACGCTGATAGATAGCTTGTTGTGAGGCTTGCCTGTGTGGTTGAGGCCCGCATCTCGTCAACTTGGCTACGGAGACGCTCGTTTTCTCTCCTGAGGTCATCAACCTCGATGCGATGAAGCTCCGCATCGGTATGGGACGTTTGAAGCTGCTTGACTTCAGTTACAGACAGCTCTAAAGCTTTCCGAAGTCCCTCGTTCTCCGCAGCGAGAACTTGATTGACTGCACGTGCACTAGCCAGATCATGGCTGGCGAGCTGGCATTGAAGTTCTTCAATCACGACCCGAAGCGAAACGTTTTCTTGCGTGATATTTGCCAATGAGACAGCTTGTTCGGTATTCGATAGTCGGAGTTGGTTGTACTTGGTTTGCATGTCTCCAATCCGATGTTCAAGTTGATGGATTATAACGTCTTGGGGATCTGGGTTTGTGGTCGATTGACGAGGAGAACTTTCAGTTAAGGGAGCTATGTCATATAATGAGGAAGATGCATGATATCTAGCGGTGCCACGAACCGAGCATTTTATTGTCTGGCGACCAGACGGAAGAGAACCGAACATGATTTGCATGCGCAGGTAACGTTGGGTAGACGACTGATGTCGCCCGTCTGCGGAAAGTGTCGGCAGGAGTAAAATTGTCATCGAAACTAGGTATCGAAAGTCTTGGTTGGGCTGGCCTCTCGAAAGACCGCGAGGACAGCGTATGTGGTTTGGCTGGTGGCGGTGGTGGTGGTGCACTCTTGGGAGGAAGAGGAGCTGGGCGTCGGATTGTCCCAGGCGCTTTGGGGGACTTTGGCGGAACTAATGGAGGTTTGATTCGTTCGACCTCGGGCTTGAGAGAAGGAGGAAGGGTGGGAGGGAGAATACGTCCCCGTAGTCTCTCATCCACTAGATATAGTGCAATGGCAAAACCCTCCCGCGTCAAGTTCCCGTCGTCATTGAGATCAGCCAGCGTCCTATAGTGATCTCAGAAAGACAATTGAAATTGAACGGAAGAACCAACCAGAGGTGGGCGAGATCTTCTGTAGACAACTTGGACTCCATTAGGAATGGCAGAGAAACATTGTCAGGAATGGAGCCGCTCTTGAGAGGATCAAGGGCATCGAATTCGCGGTTAGCCCTTGCTCTTAGATCATCGGGAATTTTCCAGTCTACAGAAGCCGATTTCTCATCATTTCGCGGAGAAGGAAGTGGAGAATATGAAGCTCGCCGAGAAGGGCCAGCGGCCGAATTCGGAGACAGCATAGGGCTCGAGGGAGAGGCAAGGACAGAACGGGAAATGCGTCGATCAAAGCCGCTCGAGTTAGATCCTGGGCTCAGCGATAGGCGAGGCGGGGAGGATGACGGTGATAACGGCTTGGGGACTATCAATGGCGATGATGGTCCAGACGCGGCTTGTTCGTACAGTCCTTTAGGTAGAGTTGTAGGAAGAACGACAGATGGGCCGTCCTTCGTTATCCATTGGATGAGATGCATGGCTATGGCAAAGTCGGTAATGTCCAAAGCTTCTCGCTGCTGAGTGTCTGCAAGCTTCCTTGTGTCTCGTTAGAAAGAGATGCTCGGTATCAAAAGAGAAGAGAAACACACCATATTCTCGAGACAATCTCTTCAGATGCTGTAAACTTTGCAAACATATTGCGTGCCTTTTCACCTGAAATCGAGAGTGAAAAATCACGAACTCAACTGACAGCATATACCCACTCCCAACAAGTCCATCCAGCTGGGTGCGACGAAACAAGCTGCGGTATTTTGCCTTGTCTTCTGGTGTCAACGCTGGAATCGTTGAGGCAACATCTGAGATGTCCGGAATATGGGCCGGTGGGCCGGCTGCATTGTTGAGACGATGCACGAGTCGAAGGACATAACGCACGTTGAGCAAGCAGTTCTGAATTAATAGGTTTCGCGCCAGACTGAGCCAAACCTATCAGTCGAACTGCAGCACCAGTTTGCTGCGGGGTAAGCCAGCCATGGCGGTCGGTATCCACAACGTTCCATATATCGCTGAGTGTCTGATAGTGAAGAGTCAGAATGAACCCCGTTGTCTAGTTGCGTATCTCACCTCAAGAGGAAGGTTGGTCTTGTTGAACAATTCGAGCGCTATATCTCCGGGAAGGATGCCTAGGTCGTGGAGCTCCTTCTGAGAGAATATTTTGTCCACTATGGCGCGTTCATTGGCGGTTGGGACGAACGAGGAGGCCATAGTGAGCCCGACTGCGCGGGAGGCAGTACTACAGTAATAGTTCTTGATGCCTGTTGCGGGGAAACGCTCGATGTTCGACACGCGTGGATTGCTTCCCGACAGAAATGTGACATCATCACATCACATCACTCTTTTTATCTGAACTTTTCGCTCATGGAATGGATTCAAGTTCCTGGCCGGCATTCTCTCGTGAAGGCCAAGATAAAATCTTTCACCCAGTCATTGAGCATGGTGCCGTGACCGCCACAACACTCGTAAACGACAACGGGCGGCTTGTTTGGTCTAACCTGCTGAATTCAGATTTGAAACGAGCACTGCGTGCAGGGCCGCCTACACTGGTTTATCCTGCGACGCGTCTTCCGCCAGTTTCAGAACATCAAATTGGCATTCGCCAGCAGGCAGAGCAAGGAGTAGTTGTATTTCACAATTTGTCGGCCATCGAAGCTGACGACTTCATCTAGGCGAATTTCTTGCGTATGGAGTTACCTGACGTTGATGTAGCTGCGGACCTCATAAGAGGCAAACTCACTGAAGCGGCAAAACTTCAGCAAGAGTGGGACATTTTCGATCCACTTGTGGGAAATCAACTCGATTGTGTTCACGGGCAAAATCTTGCCGTGCTTGCATTCCCTACTGGCGAACTTGGCCGCGACCTCAGTCAGTCATGACAATCTAGAACCGATTCTATTGTTTCCAACTTTTGATTAGATCTTTCGCCTCTAACCCGACAAACTGGCAAATGGGAATTCAAGCCGTTTGCGCAAGCAACACAGTCATACGACACCCCAATTCTTCAAATATCGGCCATTCGAACGGCGGAGTCAAAGCTTGGTTCGTATTCAACCTATCACCCTTGCAAATCTCTCAATATTCCTAAAGAGCCATATATCGCCGTTCGCACTTTTGGAGGAACCTCGTTATTAGAAATCGGCGTCGATAATGGCCAATTGTCGACCATGGAGTCAGATACCATCAGGTCGTCAAGCACTGGAGAGAAGCCTGTCGTCGATGTGCAGCTATATTCCCCTAGCCATGTCCATCTGGTCAACAGTAGCGGCATAGTCTATCAGTGGGACCCCAGCTTCGGCAGCACAACATCGTGAGTAGTAGTGTCAGCTCCCTTCCGCAAGTCGCTCAACAGGTTACAGAGAGATTTTCACCTCTGATCAGATCAAGTCCGATATCTGGCGCTTAGGGTTAACCAATGACCCTGATGTTTTTCTCTTGATGTCAAAGAGTAACCTGACGATGGTAGATTCAAGGGTACAACATACTGATACTATATCAAGGTGCTTACTTATCTTTTCGTCAGACTTTTCAAGTCGCCCAAACCGTCTACGATACCTCATCGAACGAAGTTTTGACTGCAATGGAAACACATTTTTCTGATGTTTTTCGAATTTGTACAAGCAATCAAGCTCTGTGGATAGACCGCCGTTATACTAAACGGCCACTCGTGGCGTTCAAGCATGGTAGAGCATTTGACCGCTCTATGGAACTGAATACTGTCTTAATGGATGATGGCCAGTTGTTCACCATCTTGATGCCTAATCGTGCTTATACTCAGCAGGGCCACTGACTATTCTTTCCTCTCGTAAACATGGCTTATTGACGGTGTACGATGTTGATGTATCTGGCAACACAATCAGAGAGGTTCATGCACCATATGCCTTGACGGCTTCTGCTGGTGGATATCAAAAAGGACATTTCTTTCTAGGCGACTCCACTACGGCAACATACTTCAGATTATCAGACACTGGCTCTATCCAGGCCTTCAACCTGTCTTTCGACGTTCCCACCAATGTTTCGTATACCTGGTCAGAGGATGTCACGCGGTTGCACTTGGACTCAGCCTACCTCAAGGATGAGTTCAGCGATCCTGCCCCACCTGCTGAGGAGACCATGCTCGACATGCGTCAGGTTTACAAACGTTGGCCTTTTCTTCTTTGCGTCGTCCTTTCATTCATATTGACAACAGGATTCCTACGAGAACCTCAAGAAACGAGATCTGAGGAAGAAATTGCAGAAAGTTTTTATGACCTCGTTGAGAGGGCGTCCTCCTTTTGGCAAGAAATGAACGAGCCTGTTGATCACATCCTTACATCGTTCGTACCTTCGTATACTCATCATACTTGCCTTAATCAGTCCTAGCTACGATATTCTTTTCCGTTCTGGCGAGGAGCCCAATCAGTCCAGCCGAGCCGATTTTTTGGCTGAAAGCGTGCTTAAAACTAAAAGAGGATTTCGTTCTTTCTCTCAGGGTCGGGTGTCGTCCAGCGCACTACAAAAAGACGCGCCATGGGTGCATGATCTCAGCCAAACCTTGAATAAACTGGACGGGGAATTCGGCCCTGATATTCGCTCACTTACTGAGGTCCACCTCAGTCGATTCGATCTGAAGGCTGACCCACAGCGGTCGATCGAATCGGAGCGACGTGAAACGACTGCACGCGAACAACTAGCCCTCGACCTCGAATTGTCGAGACATATATATTCTCCTCACGCATTTGCATCTCCTTCCAGCGATTTGGAGTCTATGGCCCAAACATTATCTCTCGAAGACAAGACTGAATTTGGATATTTACGTCCTATCTTAAAGGAAGAGGACAGTCTACGGCTCCCAAATGCGGTACGGCTTATTACACGGGACTGGGCTGTTGGGCAAGACCCTTCTCATTTTGTTTTCCGCGAACGCTCCGACATGGTGGACGAAGAGCATTCGCCTAAACAGCAGCGGGTGCGGATTGAGGATTTTAAAATCGAATCCCAAAAGCCGCCAACGCTTGTTGTCGCCTCTTCTCAGAGGCCCGCAGTTGCGGCTAGCCAGCCAGTACAACCTTCGATAATGTTTGGAAGTCAACCCAACATGGATATGGACTTTGGACTTGCGGGAGTTAGTCAGGATTTCATGGCGAGCACGCAGCCTATGCCTGGTGTGTACGGAGGACGACCAAAAAAGCCGGTTAAGAAACGAGTAGGAGGATTTTAGAACAAATGTACCTAGGCCGTGGCTAAATCGAGATGAATGTGACGCATCAAACGTGATGACTAGTTTACACGTGAGGATCTGATCTCATTTTTACACTCTCCTTCCCGCTCCCTCAAGATGAGCCACCGTAAGGTTGGTAGTAGTACACTTCTTATCTGTGTCACTCAACGTGTCTAGTACGAAGCCCCCCGTCATGGCTCCCTCGGTTTCCTCCCCAGAAAGCGGGCAGCCCGTCATCGGGGCAAAGTCAAATCCTTCCCTCGCGATGACCCCAAGAAGCGGGTCCACTTGACTGCGGTTTTGGGTTACAAGGCTGGCATGACCCATGTTGTTCGCGACCTCGACCGTCCTGGCTCCAGTGCGTAATTATTCATTCAAAGTTTCGATAAAATACTGAAATCCAATTTTTTCAGAGATGCACAAGAAGGAGGTGGTGGAGGCTGTCACGATTATCGAGACCCCGCCGATGATGGTGGTTGGTGTTGTTGGATATGTCGAGACTCCCCGTGGCCTGCGCACCCTCACGACTGTCTGGGCGAACCATCTCTCTGACGAAGTCAAGCGGAGATTCTACAAGAACTGGTATCGCTCCAAGAAGAAGGCGTTCACTCGCTACGCGAAGAAGGCTGCTGAGGAGAATGGCAAGTCCATCGCCCGCGAGCTGGAGCGCATCCGCAAATACTGCACTGTTGTCCGTGTCTTGGCCCACACGCAACTACGCAAGACTGGCCTGTCACAAAAGAAGGCCCACCTCATGGAAATCCAAGTCAACGGTGGCTCCGTTGCCGACAAAGTCGAATACGCCCATGGTCTGTTCGAAAAGCCAATCGAGGTTGGCACAGTCTTCGAGCAAGACGAGTGTGTCGATGTCATCGCTGTTACGAAGGGTCACGGGTTTGAGGGTGTTACCCACCGTTGGGGAACGAAGAAACTGCCGAGGAAGACACACAAGGGTCTCCGAAAGGTTGCTTGTATCGGTGCATGGCATCCATCCAAAGTCATGTTCTCGGTTGCCCGTGCTGGTCAAAGTACGTGTTTTCAACCTCCATTTCGCTGCCATATACTCAACTCTGTTTTATTTTAGACGGATACCACCACCGTACGGAGATTAACAAGAAGATCTACCGCATTGGCTCTGGCGCAGCTGATGACAATGCTTCAACCGAGTCTGATATTACCAAGAAGACCATCACACCCATGGGTGGCTTCCCCCATTATGGTATCGTCAAGAACGACTTCGTTATGCTCAAGGGCTCCATTCCGGGAACTAAGAAGCGTGTCATCACCATCCGCAAATCATTAATGGTTCACACCTCTCGTCGGGACCTCGAGAAGGTCCAACTAAAATTCATCGATACCTCGTCCAAGTTCGGCGTATGTTTGTTCACATTGAGCTGCTATTTTGGTGCTTATTTCCACTTAGCATGGTGCCTTCCAAACTTTCGAGGAGAAGGCTGCGTTCTTGGGTGTCCTCAAGGTCAAGGCCTAGTCATTTGTTTTTCTGTCGATGTTTGTACCGTATGCGTAGCCTATGTTTCCAAATGCATGCTATGAAGCTACTTTCGCGCTTTTTGTGACCATATGTGACCGACATTTGCTCTGAATTTTCGACCATGACCGTTCGTCCATGTTGTCGCGTTGCTTGGCTTGAACTCACTCATTCCAGAGCCGTTGCTCATCTGTTCTACGAACTGCAACGCGTCCGACATTTGTTGCAGGGTACGCTTCCACTTTCCTCCCGCAAGTTTCCGCAAAAACGCGTCTCATAGTTCCTCACGACATCCTATATCTCGACGATGGCTGGCAACTGAAGCTGTCTCGGTAAACTCCACCCCGCCCCCACCGCCGAGCAAGTCGGGCGACCAAACGGTGTCGCGCCTCGTAGATGACATTTCCCGTCTTACCCTACTGCAAGCCGCCGACCTCGTTACCCACCTCAAAGTGTGTCCCATATCTGGGCTTTCTGTTCATGACTCTGACTATGGCAGTCCCGGTTAAATATCCAAGAAGTCGCAATGCCTATGGCTTCTGCTGCTGCTGCCGCACCGGCGGCAGCTGCCTCTGAAGAAGTGGCTGCAGTGAGCAGCTCCTGCATGTGGAAAATATTCCCTCTGACCATTGGTATAGGAAAAGCCCAAGGAAAAGACGATATTCAATGTCATGCTCGAGTCTTTCGACGCTGGTTCCAAACCAAAAATTATCCGCGAGGTTAAAGCACTGGTGCCAAACCTGACTCTTATAGACGTGTGTTCGCAGTTGTTGTTCTCTTCACCCAATACTGAACCTCTTTGACTAGGCCAAGAAATTCGTCGAGTCTGTACCAAAAGTGCTCAAGGAGAATCTGCCCAAAGAGGAGGCCGAAAAACTCAAGGCCGCTTTCGAGGCACTGGGAGCGGTCGTCAAGTTGGATTAACGTGTGGTATCCAATTTGAAGTAAGGAATACACTAATAAGGTTGAAAATTATCATGGTCCTTGATTAGATAGTGTTGAGTTGTTTAATCCTCCGAAAGGTAGCGGTATTCGAAACGAAAGTCTGACTTCTTTCGCTGGCACCATGACCCTTCCCAGTCAAAGTAAACATAGACGCCTTGCTCGTATTCCTCAGTGATCGCCTGAGGTTCAGAGTGTCGCTGGAACCATGTCAAATATTTGACATGGAATCGCCACGACTGGCGCTTCAGCTCCTTGGCCGCAAGGTATCTGCCACAGACGAATAAATCAATAAGCCACAACAACCGGTAGACGCACTGCTGGTAGGTCCCAGGATGGAAATAAAAGACGTAAAAAAGTGTCTCCACATCAAGCTGAGAGAAGATGGCGGCGGTACTCAACAATGCAAGAGGTGCTTGAGGGTAATATGAAGCCGTGGGATACGGATTGCGAGGAACATAGTACTTCGGTCTACGAACCCGTTAAGAAGCGTGAACGCAACAGGTATAAACTTACTTCTCCGTATCTTGGGGCTGCGGGACATTCGAGTACCCACCTTCCAACATTTTATGTACTTGATCCAAGTTGTTCATTCGGTTGGCGGCTGGAAAGAAATAAGGCATATGTTGACTCCGATAATCGTGCTTGCCTTTCTGCTTGACGGTCTCGAAGGACACCACGAGATCAGAAAGAGAGCCTGGAAACGCGCTTGGATTTGTGCGCGGGGGAGTTGGTTGGGCCGCTGAGAGTGGTCGTGAGCTGGGTTGTGATACACCATCCACTGTTGATTGTTCCCCTTGAGGAACCTTGACCCCTGGCGGGAATTGGGGCTGGTCAAACTTTAGAATATCGACTGTGGGGGTAGAATATAGAATTTACTTGTTGGGACTGTGAAGAAGATGCTGCAGGCATTTGAGCCTGCGAGGCCCCAGATTCGAGCAGTTGCTAATGAACTTTTGAGACTGACAGTCGTAAAAGCGGACGGCACTTACAGAAACGCTCGGTGATTGGGAGCCGGCTCGCGGAGAGACCAAAACATCTAGCAATCGTGAGAATTTGGTTATTGGTGGGATCGAATAAACCTTTCCGCTGCATCGTCCTTGGTGGGGACGATGTGGCAGCTGGACCTCCCAGAGAGCTGGTAACTCCATCAGACAATAAGGGCGAGTCCTGACCAGAATAAAATGAGCCATCGGGTTGTTGCGAAACCGATGCCGCCGACGAGAGCATCGGACTTATTGTTGATGGATGCGTCAGGCTTGGCGAGGACATGGCTGGATCTGAAGGGGGTGGTATTGGAGGGGCAGTAGGTTGAGGGGGATTCGAGGGAGGTAACGTTGCTGATGGCGGTGGAGCCGCATGAGACGCATTGGTACCGCCCGCTGCAGCTACTGAATAGCGGACGGGCGGTAATGTTGCTGGGCGGGGAGCTGCGGAGGGAAGTCCGGCTTTCAAGATACTCGACATGGGCTGTTGGGCAAAGTTTGGATTGGGCGGAGGTTTCGATGTCGCTGCAAGAAGTCAGTATTCGGTGGACATCGACTTGGTGACCGACCATCTATCGATTGTTCTTGTGGAGAAAGGAGTCAGTTGAGTATTTTCAGATAGGAAGATGGCTGGTACTCCGTATTTGCAGGGCTGCTGCCGCTTTCTTTAATATCGGACTTTCTGCCGGCTTGCTGGAAGAGGCACTTTCTTCCTCGTGCTTCTTAACGTTGGGTCGGGGCAGTGGTGGAGGTTCTTTGAAGGGGTTAACGAGCACCTTATAGTCTCTTGGCTCACCTTCGCTGCCATTGTCAGAGCCATCCGATTCATCGTCATCTGCTGCGATACCGAATTTCTCCTCCTCTTCATCTAGGTTGAGGTCGTCATATATGCCTTCATCTTCGTCAAAGTCCTCTTCCTAAAAAGCCGCATTAGCTTGCTTGCTAGATTGGAGAACTACACGTGCCGTATTACTCTCAACGAAATATTGGACATCGTCTTTGAGAGCTGTAACACGATCCGCAGCTAAAGAACCATTGTTGAGGAGACGTAAGATGATTTCGAGGCGGCTGATATGCCACTTCCGGCGTTCATTCAAACCCTCCAGCTCCTCGAGACGCCCAGCGGTAGGACCCGACTTGCTTTTCTTCTTTCCAGCCAGTCCTTCGATCTCCGCCTCGGCCTGCTCCACTTGCATTTGTAACTCTTCAACTTGATTTTGCAGCCATATAGTGGCTTCCTCCTTCTCCTGTTCTTTCGGATCGAGTTTGGCAGCTTGGATGAGTCCTTCTTTGGAGAACGCTTTGGTTTTCATTTCCTTCTCCGTAGCTTTAAACTTCTCCATTTGCTGCAGACCATAAGTCGGCGTCATGATCTATGAAAAGAGTGGCCAACCGTTTCGATGAGCTTCCTGTTCTCCACCAGCTGCGACTTGTCTTTGATATCATTGCTGGCAACCCACGTCTTAATTTGGTCTCGTAGGCGCTGAAGTTTCTTGATTTGTGTCTTCAGTTCCAATTCAAGCTTCTCCTTCTGCGGCTGAACGGGTCAGTCAGCCGGACGCTAACACATAAAGGACGACGCACTTGGTTCGTTGAGGTTTGCATTTTGTCATATATACCCTCGAATAATTCGACTCCTAGGAATTACTCGGTATTTGTGGGTCATAATTTATTGGAGCAACCACACAGACCTTCGGAGACCTTCTTAAGGGTCCGGTCGATCTCAGCTGGAAATAGAGTCAGCGAAAGAATATACGAGGAACAAGGGGGAACGGACTCTGCAGCTTCCTGGCCGCCATTGCCGTAGAGGAGAGAAATGATGGAGAGGGCGTCACAATTTACTGGCCTCCATTGTCCAAGATTACTACAAAAAATTGACCATATGTTTTACATATGCCAGTTTGACGCGGTGGCAGGTTTAGCAGCCGAGTGAAAGTGCATGTGCATTGCCTCGAAACGCATTGATCGCGTTCAAGCTTGTCTTTTACCACCGTTATGAAGTCTCTTCGCAAGAGCTTAAACTCTAGCAAAGACGGTGGAAGCATTCGGGCCCAAATCTCGACCCCGTTGCCTGCCGTCAGCAAGGCACAATCGACAATCCAACCCCCTCAGAAAGTAATTCGCGCATTGGGCGACTATCGGCCTCAAGCGCCACAACAACTACCTTTCAAGAAAGGCGACTTCTTCCACGTCTTGCGCGATGTCGATATTGGCGGAGCTTGGTATGAGGCCCATAATCCAATGACTGGGGCGCGTGGGCTGGTCCCAAAAGACCATTTTGAGGAATTCAACAAGAATGCCGCTGCGTGTGTTTATTGTTCGCTATCGTTGACTCTTCTAAACTAATGCACTATTACTACCAGCCTTAGAGCCCTCAGCATGCCTGCCACACCATCGGGCCCACAATTCCTGGGACCGCCGCCAACACCGCAAACCCCGAACCCTCAATCACCCAAATCACCCAAAACACAAGTTTTCTACGCCATCGTCCAACACGACTTTTTGGCCGAGCGAGATGACGAACTCGATGCAAAGCGAGGAGATGCGATAACAGTTGTCGCTCAGTCTAATCGTGAATGGTTTGTGGCCAAACCAATCGGGCGAATAGGCCGCCCTGGACTAATCCCCGTCTCCTTCGTCGAAATTCATGACCCTGCCACCGGGCGCGCTATAACCGATGTGAATGCGCTCATGGACCGTGGAGACTTACCTCGAGTCGAGGATTGGAAGCGGGCTGTTTACAACTACAAGCAGAACAGCATCGCCCTCGGTGTTATTGATGGTCCTTCAGCCAGAGACTCTGTTCCCAACAGTCCATTCATCACCAACCAACCCCCTCCACAACTCGCCGCAGTGTTGGAGCCCGCCATCAGTGTCCAAGGTCCATCACCACAAGATCATAATTACTCTAATCCGCCCAACCCCCCTCCCTCCTCAGAGCCGGAAATCCAACCAGAAGGCATACTACTTTCCGCTAATGTGGTTTCTTTCCACTTCGAGATGGATGAATATTGGTTCCGTGTCGACGCAATATTCCAGCCCTACACCACTCCTGGTACCCCTCTCCCTCCCGCCAAATCCCTCATTCTCTTCAGAGTCTACAACGACTTCTACGACTTCCAAGTCTCTCTTCTAGATACGTTTCCCAGAGAAGCGGGCCGAGAACCACCACATCCCAGAATGCTACCATATATGCCTGGTCCAGCGCAGGACGTTGATGACGCGCTTACGGCGACACGGAGAACTGAACTGGACGAGTATGTGAATGGCCTGTGCGATTTGAGCAACGTTGGTGCCAAATACGTTTTGGAGCATGCTGTTGTGAGGGAATTTTTGGCCATCAAACCTGGCGACGTTGAGAACTCGATTCCTCCACGCACACAAGAGATTGATGCCTTATTCGGCGATGATGTTCAAGACTCATTTGGTCGGTTAACGGTGGACGACCGGCAGAGTCAGTATGATGATGAGAATGGTTATGTCTCTCCCGGGCAGCAAATCCAGCATCCTTACAACCAAACGGACCAACGACGACCATCGGCGGAGTCAAACCATCTCTATGCACCTGGACATCAGAGAAATGGGTCATCATCCTCCCGCTCACAGTCTCCGCCTGCTTCTGGGTGGAACGACCCCCCACCGATGACTTCTTCCCCTTCCACATCCTCCCGTGGCTCCAATCCTCCTTCGACACGGTCACGGTCTGATTCGGTTGCCAACATCAACTCTCCTTCCATTTCTGCTCAAAACCCTCAAACGGCGTTTGTGAAAATCAAGATCTTCGATCGTGTTGCTGACGATCTGATTGCTATCCGTGTCCATCCGCGAGTGACTCATATTGAATTGATGGACAAGGTGCAATCAAGGTTGGGCTCAGAGGTGGCCAACCTGAGGTATCGGGACAGCATGAGCAATGCTTTTGTGGGCCTCGACAGTGACCAGCAACTACGAGCGTGGATAGATGCCACCGACAAGCACGTGCTGTACGCGGATTGACTCAATTTCGACTCTGTGCAATATACTGTGGTTATATAATACCTTCCCTTTGGAGGGTTACTGGACCATTGGTTGTTAAATAACGTTGTTGTTGTCTTTACATGCTGTAATAGTATCTACCATGCCTGCCTTTCTCGAGTTCAACAGGGTCACAGTTTCACAGTTGTGACTGTGACCCGACTTTCCAACTTGCTTCAAGCCATGTGCGTCTCAGTCCGTCGAGGAGGTGAAACCGACCTCACTCACCGCTCCAACGGAAGGCAGATGGCACCCGCTGTTCCGCGGATGCGCTCAAGACATGCCCCTCCCCGAAATCTCTTAAATATGGTTTTAACACTAGAGAGTATTCAGCCTCTGGGCACCCTTTACGCCGTCCTAACGAAATTATGAAATCTGTTACGATCACGACTCTTTCTCTGTTATTGGCGGCCGTCGAAGCTTTGCCCCGGGACACCAACGCCCAGCGGCTAGCTCGTGGTCTGCCACCATTAGCACCGCGTCGGCGCGATCCAGGTATTTGCTAATATTCTGGTCGCTGCTAAATTTTATTGATATTTTTTTGTTTTCCGTAGCCGATGTGAATGCCAAAAGACATAAGCCTTCTTCTACCCCGTTCAACTGCGCCCCGAAGCAGACCTTCTGCTGCTCGGGCTATACATCTTCCAACAGCCAGCAAGGCCGCGACATCCTCAAGCAACTCGGCATCCGTGCGGATACCTGTGGTGAGACCCTCGGAACCGGTTGTGCTGCTCTTTCGGGTGGGGTTTGGTGAGTTAATCTGCAATCTAACGCTGCCCGTCTCCTCACTTAGGTTTCGTAGTTCTTCTGGGACACCCGCTAAATGTTGTGGAAACCTTGTTGGCGGTGATCATGGAATGGACTGTCAGAGAAGTGAGTCCCTTCGCATTTCCATTTTTGTTGTACTTTTGCTGACGGTTGCCGCAGTTGCTCAATCTACTTCCTCATCACGTGCTTCATCATCGTCGTCGTCGAGCTCTGTAAATTCGCGCTCATCTGTTCCCGTTTCGTCGTCGAAATCGAGTTCTTCCTCTGGTGCATCTAGTTCTAGTGCAAAATCATCGTCGTCCTCGAGCTCTGTTAGACCCAGTTCGCAATCCAGCTCCTCCTCTGTCCGGGCGTCGTCTAGTTCGATCCGGTCGAGCAGCGCCTCCAGCTCACGTGCTAGTTCAAGTTCGTCACAAAGCTCGTCCAAAGCTTCCAGCTCTTCTGCGCGATCATCGAGCTCTTCATCTGCCAGTTCAGCCAAAGGCAGCAGCTCTGCTGTCTCGTCATCGGCACGGCCTTCATCGTCATCCAGCTCGGCTAAAGTTAGTAGCTCAAGCTCGAGTCGGTCAAGTTCGGTTGCCTCCAGCTCCCGTCTCTCGTCTTCTTCCTCTCGGGCTAGCTCTTCGCAGTCATCATCATCAGCACGCCCTTCGAGCTCGTCCAGCTCAGTGAGAGTTAGTTCAAGTTCAAGTCGATCGAGTTCCGGAGTTTCATCATCGGCACGACCCTCTTCTTCTGCGTCCAGCTCGGCTAGAGTTAGCAGCTCCAGCTCAGCCCGGTCCAGTTCGGCTGCCTCGTCCAGCTCCCGTGCCAGCTCGTCGCAGTCCTCATCATCTGCGCGTGCTTCCAGCTCGTCCAGTTCAGTCCGAGTCAGCTCATCATCGGCCCGACCGTCATCTTCGTCTTCGTCTTCTAGTTCGGTTCGGTCCAGCTCGGCTGCATCATCCAGCTCGCGTGCCAGCTCGTCTTCATCGTCTGCACGCCCTTCAAGCTCGTCCAGTTCAGTCCGAGTCAGCTCATCATCGGCCCGACCGTCATCTTCGTCTTCGCCTTCTAGTTCGGTTCGGTCCAGCTCGGCTGCCTCGTCCAGCTCGCGTGCCAGCTCGTCTTCATCGTCTGCACGCCCTTCAAGTTCGTCCAGCTCGGTCAGAGTTAGCTCCAGTTCATCATCGGCACGGTCTTCTTCCTCCAGCTCGGCCCGGGCAAGTTCCAGCTCGGCCGCCTCGAGCTCCCGTGCCTCTTCGAGCTCGGCTTCTTCATCAAAAGCTTCGAGCTCAAGCCTCTCTCAGATCAAGCTCGGTTCCGTCCAGCTCACGTGCTAGCTCCTCTTCGTCCAAGGCCTCGAGTTCGAGCTCTGTTGCCTCCAGTTCGCGTGCATCATCTTCAGCGCGTTCTAGCTCATCACAGTCCTCTTCTTCGCGCCCTGTTTCACAGAGCTCCTCTTCGTCCAAGGCGTCGAGTGCTAGTTCGTCTATCCGCTCTTCGAGTTCTGGTAATTTTTCTTTTTGACTTGACTTTAATAATAATTGCTCATATCTTTCCAGTTCCGAGCTCCTCCAAAGCCAGCTCGAGTTCCAGCCGATCCAGCTCGGTTGGCTCCAGCTCACGTGCCTCGTCATCCTCTTCATCGAGTGCGCGTGCTAGCTCGTCGCAGTCCTCCCGGTCTTCTTCGCAGAGCTCGGTTTCGTCCAAGGCGTCCAGCTCTAGCGCCAGCTCTTCTGCACGTGCCTCCAGCTCGAGTTCCGTTCGCTCCAGCTCTGTCAGCCCCAGCTCTTCGTCATCCAAGGCTTCAAGCTCTAGCGTTGCCTCGTCATCGGCGCGGTCCTCCAGCTCGGCCAAATCCTCCTCGAGCTCAGCTGCTTCTAGCTCACGTGCTTCGTCCTCATCGAGCATCCGTGCCAGCTCTTCTTTGAGTTCATCTTCCAAGGCATCATCCAGCTCGTCAGCACGTTCCTCATCGGCCTCCAGCTCCGCCAAATCCAGCTCGGCTGTTTCTAGCTCACGTGCCTCATCTTCGTCCAGTGCGCGTGTCAGCTCTTCCAGCTCGTCAGCCCGCCCTTCGAGCTCTGCAGCTTCTAGCTCGGCCAAATCCAGTTCCAGCTCGATCCGATCAAGCTCGGCTTCTAGCTCACGTGCTTCGTCTTCTTCGTCCAGCGCGCGTGTCAGCTCCTCGCAGAGCTCTTCCTCCAAGGCGTCCAGCTCTTCAGCCCGTCCCTCGAGCTCCGCCTCTAGCTCTGTCAAATCCAGCTCTAGTGCCAGCTCGATCCGATCAAGCTCGGCTTCTAGCTCACGTGCCTCGTCGTCGAGTGTCCGGTCCAGCTCTGCCCAGAGCTCCTCGTCCAAGGCGTCGAGTTCCTCCGCCCGTTCCTCGAGTTCTGCGGTTTCCAGCTCGGCCAAATCCAGCTCTAGTTCTTCGATCCGATCAAGCTCGGCTGCTTCTTCTAGCTCGCGGGCGTCGTCTTCGGCTTCGTCCAGCGCCCGTGTCAGCAGCTCGTCCAGCTCGTCAGTCCGCCCATCGAGCTCCTCCGCCTCCAGCTCAGCTAAATCCAGCTCGAGTTCGATCCGATCAAGTTCGGCTGTTTCTTCTAGCTCACGTGCTTCCTCGTCCTCGGCTGCTGCTTCGTCGAGCATCCGCTCCAGCTCCAGTTCTGCGTCGAAAGCCTCGAGCTCCAGCTCGGTTTCGTCGCGCTCTTCGTCTGGTATGTCCATTGCTTTATTTTATTTCTATTTTAATGAACTTATTTTGTGTTGTTACAGCTTCGAGTTCTGCCCGCCCTTCGTCGTTGGTGTCCTCGTCCAGCGCGCGTTCCAGCTCATCGGCATCTAGCTCGGCCAAGTCCAGCTCGGCTGTCTCTAGCTCACGTGCTTCGTCCTCCGCATCATCGTCCAGCGCTCGTGCCAGCTCTTCCCAGAGTTCTTCGTCCAAGGCATCGAGCTCTTCAGCACGTTCCTCGAGCTCTTCAGCTTCTAGCTCTGCCAAATCTAGCTCCAGCTCCAGCTCTGCTAAATCGAGCTCCAGCTCTGTTGTCTCCAGCTCGCGCGCTTCCTCTTCATCCTCGAGTGTCCGCGCTTCCTCTTCATCTGCGTCCTCGAGCCGCACCAGCTCTTCGCAGAGCTCTGCTAAATCCAGCTCCAGCTCGATCCGATCAAGCTCGGCTATCTCCAGCTCACGTGCCTCCTCATCGGCCTCCTCTAGCGCTCGCGCCAGCTCTTCGCAGAGTTCATCCTCTGCACGCCCATCCAGCTCTTCGGCGTCCAGCTCTGTGAAATCGAGCGCTAGCTCTTCGGCCCGATCCAGCTCGGCGGTTTCGTCTAGCTCACGTGCCTCTTCTTCATCGGCATCGTCGAGCGCCCGCTCCAGCTCTGCACAAAGCTCGTCCTCCTCCAAGTCGTCTAGCTCGTCTGCGCGCCCGTCCAGCTCATCCAGCTCATCGGTCCGATCAAGCTCGGCGGTTTCCTCCAGCTCACGTGCCTCGTCCTCGGCATCGTCGAGCGCCCGCCCTTCCAGCTCTTCGGCGTCTAGCTCACGTGCTTCGTCGTCGTCGGCATCGTCCAGCGCGCGTGTCAGCTCGAGCTCCTCCTCTGCTCGCCCGTCCAGCTCCGCATCTAGTTCGGTCAAGTCCAGCTCTGCCGTCTCATCTAGCTCACGTGCCTCCTCTTCGTCGGCATCGAGCGCCCGTTCTAGCTCTGCGTCGAGCTCACGTGCCAGCTCTGCATCAAGCTCCTCCCGAATCTCCAGCTCTTCGGCGCGTCCTTCAAGCTCCTCCGCGTCTAGCTCGGTCAAGTCTAGCTCTGTCGGCTCTTCCAGCTCACGTGCCTCTTCTTCGGCATCGTCGGCATCGAGCGCCCGTGCTAGTTCCAGCTCCGCGTCCAAGTCCTCGAGTTCTAGCTCTGTCCGCTCCTCGTCTGGTATGATTTTTCAATCTTCTGTTGATTATTGTCTGATTTTTTGTCTTAGCTTCGAGTTCAGCGCGTAGCTCGTCTGCATCTAGTTCGGCCAAGTCCAGCTCTGCCGTCTCAAGTTCTCGTGCCTCCTCATCATCGTCGGCATCGAGCACCCGTTCTAGCTCTGCTTCCAGCTCCCGTGCCAGCTCCAGCTCGGCGTCGTCTGCCCGCTCTTCGTCTGGTATGGTTTTTTTTTTCAATTTTTTGTTGATTATTGTCTGATTTTTGTCGTAGCTTCGAGTTCAGCGCGTAGTTCCTCTGCATCTAGC